TTCGAAACGACCAAGAACACCTTCTTACAATGATAAAATGCGTTCTAGTTCGTTCCATTTGAGAATGGTTTACATTTGTTGTGGAACGTTTTCTTTTCTTAAAAAAAGAGCTTCAGTTCTTTTGGAACGCATTCTTTACCGTTCTTTTTTAGTAATATTTTTCACTGGGAAGTCTCATGTTTGTCATAGAACTATCTCCAGATCTTTTCAAATTGTTATTTTTAAACATAAAAAGTATTTGAGTGATTCTCTTCAGAAAGTTTTGTCATACAAGGGTAAAAGCACTCCTTTCGAGATACCTTTCTGCGTATGTTGCAAGTAATCTGTCGGCAAGATCATGCTACAAATAACTTATAACCACGATAAGAAAGACTGATATTAAACTCAAGCCATTAGTGTTCTGGAACTTTAATATACACTTTTACCATTCATTATTTTGTTTTTATTAAGATATTTAAAGTTTAATTTCGTTATTAACTGCCTCACCAACTAGATCGGTTGGATCAGATAAGTCCTTTATCTTACGAGCCACACAGTTTATTCAAGTTTTCTCAAAAATTAAATTGGTAAACTTTTCTGTAGTCTTGGACGATCGATCGTTCGATTCCCGCTTTAGGTTAAAGATATGTTTCTCGGGTGAAGCAAGCACGACGTGCATGAGGCTATCAAATTTAGAAACCGTCGGAGAAGATAGCATGTATCCATCTGGAGTAAATGAGTAGGTGACAGGTGAAGATGATATCGAACGTCCATCGAGGGAGCTTGCGATTTTATTCGAGCCGAAAATATTTCAGATTACCAACAGCCCAAGAGTCGAAATGAGTCGAAGAGAAAAAATACAAATTGCTATTCTCTTCATTTTCAAGTGTATATATCAATTAAAACATAATGTCAACCTTTTACACGTGTCAAATGAGAAAAACGTTATTTCGGATATCTAAGGAGTTAAGCCTTCGAAGTTTGAATCGATTGGACTCAACTCGAATGGAGGTCTGACTCGACTCCACATGTAGCCCGTCTTTAGAAACAATGTACATTGCAATACATGAACATGCCAATGCATTATCATGTAATTTCATTCATTATTTCTTTTAATACATTTCACTGCATTTTAAATTTTCATTTATTATATTACCATGACTGGATCCTCAAATATATACCCTTATCGCTATAATCATATACTTCTCTACCTATACTAACATAGCTATATCGGCATGTTTATATTTTTATACTTGCATCTATACCTATCCGCTTCACCCTATGCCCTTAGCCCTATATCCTCAACCCTATCCTCCAATATCCACACATTTATGCCTAAGCCTAAACCAATACCCTTACCACTATAATCTTATACATATACCCCTATATCTATACCCTTATACTTATACCCACATCCCGAAACTTATGCTCTTGCGAAGGAACATTTCATGGTAAACCGCATCTGCTGCCTCTATATTTTACTCAAATATAGGAACCACTAGACTAGCGAAACCTCCAAAGAATTCCTGCTGTTGTTTAGATTTGACCGAGACAGCGACTTTTAGTTGATGCCCTCGTTAGAATTCAGGTTCAGAAAAGAACCATATTGCTGGATTTTGATCAAAAACTTGGTACACATGAGTATCTCAATTATACTATCTCATTTATAAAGTTTCATTAGGTTAGGATATTGTGTTGTGAAAAGATGAATTTGTTAAAATATATACACTTTTCTTTAAGTGCTGTGTAAAATACAGTAGTCGATGATTTATGACAATACGTCTGGGTCACTAAAAAATCGACGATTAATCGCGATATATCTGAATTACTCAAAAAGTCGATGATCAATCGCAATTAATCATTAACTTTTCTGCAAATCGCGATAAATCATCAAAACTTTTGCGATTTTGACGAAATGGGTAAGATATGGTAAAAGCAGATGCAATCGAACAAAAAGTCGTAGTCTCATAAATCTTATGTTAATACTTATTATGACATTCTTGAAAGATCTTACCATTATCTAATGTTTCCTATAATTTTACATTTATATCTAACAAGACATCAAGACATTTCAAGAATCGTAGAATATCAATTATGGTCAGATTTTTAGACTAAGATTTTCGTTTGAGTTTTCGTCGCATCTTACAATACCAAATCATATTAGAGAAAGAATCTTATCAGAGCTTATTATCTGATTATTTGACCTAGATATTATTATCTTTAAATATCTTTGAATCTTACTAATCGAAGATAAATGGTTTTCTCGAAATTCAAACAACGAAAACCTGTAGTTTTCCTTCTTTTTTAGAATTGCTCGTGTTTACAGTCTATAGAGTTGCCAGTGAACCAAACTCACTCAACTGTAGTCAGATTAACATTCCTATATAAATTATTGGAAATAGATTGCTTATATTAGAATGGACTACAGCTCGATTGTCTTTCGCGAGTTCACGCACGAATCACTTCAACGTATTGAGTGTTATCGACAAGAAGAAGCTGAACGTATTACTTCTGAACGATCAGAGGAAACACTATGCAAAAACAACATTAATGACCATCATCTTATAAATAAATCATCAAAAGATCCAGCAAATGCTTCTAAACGAAAGCCTAATAAAGAATTGGCCACTGGAGAAACATTACCATTAATTTTACAATATAAATTTCCTCCTAAACTTATTGGAAAACCTATTGAAGAAATTGATCAGTATTATCGTGTTGAATATGTATGTAGCATCATCAATAATTTAATCGTACTATAAACAAAAAATTATTTTGTTTTCTTCTTAATCGTAGGGATTTATGGTTATTAGTGCAAATAACACAATATATCGATTTAGTTCAACACGCGCTTGTTATTTATTTTCTCCATTTAATTGCTTTCGGCGCATAGCTATACGTATATTAACACATTCACTTTTTCTTACATTGGTTATGATTACTATTTTAACTAATTGTGTATTTATGACACTTAAAAATGCACCAGAAGTGAATGAGTAGGTACTATTTTTTTAGATTCTTCTTTGCAGTATTATGTTCTTTTCTGCAATTCGAAACAAATAGATATATTTTTACAGCAATTTACACAGTTGAAGCTTTAATAAAATGTGTTGCAAGAGGATTCATTCTAGAAAAACATACATTTTTACGTGATCCATGGAATTGGTTGGATTTCATAGTAATTGTGCTTGCGTATGTATTTTCAAAGAAAAATGATTTAAATTTATTTCTCGATTATCTTTAGATATATAACATTTTTTGTCCATCTAGGAAACGTTGCAGTATTACGAACTTTCCGTGTATTAAGAGCATTAAAAACTGTTGCCATTGTACCTGGTATATTTTTTAATATTTATAGATAATGAATTAATTGATTGACTTTAGGGTTAAAAACTATTGTTAATGCTTTGATACAATCGTTTATTGCTCTACGAGATGTGTCGGTTTTATCGATTTTTATTCTTTCTATATTTGCTTTGGTTTGAGACTTAAAAAGAAAAATATATTGTGTAAATTGTTATTTTTTATTATAGGTTGGATTACAACTTTATATGGGTACTCTCCGACAAAAATGTGTACCGAGTTATGACTCGTTTGTAAATAATACAAACTCGTACAGTGAAGGATTTAATATGTCATTTGAATCCTATTTGACAAAAATTGATAATGAAAGTATGTTGAGAAATTGTTTTCTTTAAGATTAGCCAAACAGATTTCCGATTAATTTATTGATAAAAGAAAATTTTGAGATCGAAACTGGTCAGCTGATTATCCTGTATTAGTTTGGACAGTGAAGACTGAATTGATGAGAGTAAATCAGGATCGAAATCGGTACTCGTAAGGGAATTTATTATAAATTTGAATCATGTCTATAGCTTCTATTTTCTAATGAGGAAATCATTTCATGGAATAAATCATGATGAGCTGGAACTAGGTTTTTGAAACGATAGATAAGACTTTTTTAATCTTGTATTAATGAGACATTTGTTCATGAATGACCAATGTAATGAAACTTACATTCATTTATATTTGATTGTCATTGTATCCATTCAAAACCAAAACAAGAAAATCTATAATTAAAGTCATGGATTTCTAGGTCCATTAAAAAAATATATGATGTTGATACTGTTATATGGGGATCATAAGGTTTGAAGAATTCACGTGCCATTAAATACATCATACGGATATGTGAAAAAAAATTTAAAAAGCTAAGTCTGAACAGAAATACAGTTGTCATTGATTACTTAGTACACATTTCGGTATAAACACAGACATTGTTGATGAATAAAAGAGCTGGATGAGCTTCAATCACAATTTTTGAATGACTCTGACATGACTTGAACTTAAAAATTGGGTAATAGCGATTCGAATCATATTCGTGTCATTGATTCGATAAAAGTTTTACATGTTCTCGTGAAACACGATCTAAAAGGAGTATTAAAGTATGAGGGTAGAAAATTGTATTCAGTTCCCAGCCCCCCTTACAGACCGTGGCAAACATTCTTTAGGAATCAGCTTGATCGAACTTCACATTTGTAAACCCGCATGGATCACCCTAGCAGCTTTTCTTAAAAGAATCATAAATTATAAGTAGCTAGATAATCTATTGTTTTAAGCAAATCATCATAAAAATCAAAAAAAATCAAGAGGGATGATCCTAACTGTCGCGAAAATAATTTCAATAATGAGTGTTGCAGAATTTCTTTTAAATGTGCTACGAATAAATTCTGAAGTAGTTGTCTCTAAATTGAAATTTGCACCAGAAAAAATTAGTCTTTCACATGTTCTTACCATTCTTGATGCTAAAATCCGCATAAAATCCTTGCAGCTTAAGAGAAGAAGTCCAAGAATGCTAACCATTATAAGACTTGCCATAGCGCATTGGGACCTCTCTCTTATAAAGAGTTCGAACTGAAAACAATATTTTCCTTGAAGTAGTTCCCTCGTTAGACGGTAGTTCAAATTATCGTTTCAATAAATTGGCCTATTAACTGTAAGGTTTATGAATGAGTGAATGGAAAGTCAAATATGTCTAGCTTTAGTTTGAGATCTAAAAGTTATCTTCAAGTTTAAAAGAATAAGAAAAGCAATTAGATTTACAAAACGAAAATAGTGCACACTGTGTATTATTGCGTCTTTTTCTCAAAAACCTTTCTGCTATAGTCAAAAGTTTAGAAATGCCCCTGTTTTTGAGGCACATTCAATTATGTTGTCGTGAAATTTCCTACCTATATACTGGATACTTTTGCAATTTATATTTTCTTCTGATTCTTATTTGCTCTTACACAAAAATATGTGTTAAAAAAGCGTACAGTTTTTACCCTACCTTGGATATTTTGTTCTTTTGTTTGAAAAAAGAAAAAGCAGAGAGAGGCTTACACTGTAAAACAGATTTCAACTCGACCAAAGGCAGTATATTGATGAAGCAAGGGCATAAATAGGATGTACTGCGATGTCAATACCGTATACGAGGCAGCATCTGGGAAGTTTGGATCTACGATAAATTTTTATTTATCCATGATGATCTGTCTGTCATCAACATTTCAAAATTATCTGATATATTGTTCTTCCGAAACCATCTGAAAAGGTGAAGAGTAGGAGTTGGAAGGCAACATACAATAACCGTATATATATATAATCTTGACATTTAGTTTTGTATGTTTCTTTTTATAGTTTATTGGTATAAAGAAAATGGAGATTATCTCCTTTGTGGCAATGCAAGTGGAACCGTAAGATGTCCTGCTGGTTATATTTGTTGGAAAGATCGAGGCATGAAGTAAGTTTTCATTGTGAATCATTAATTTAATAAATTTTTGCTGTTTTTAGCCCTAATTTTGGATATACTAGGTAGATTTTATTCAATTTCATTCTCATGTACATTTCTCTTGATATAGTTTTGATAATTATGGTTGGGCTATGCTTTCATGCTTTCGATTAATGACACAAGATTATTGGGAAAATCTTTATCAATTGGTAAAAAACCTAAGAATTCAATAAATTATTATTATTATATTTGAATCTAGGTATTGTCAACAGCTGGTCGTTATCATGCTGTATTTTTTGTTGTTGTCATTTTCTTTGGGTCATTTTATTTGGTTAATTTAATACTAGCCACTGTTTCCATGTCCTATCTTAAAGAACAAATACTAGTTGAAGCTGAAAATAAAGAGCGTGAGCGACGTAGAAAGGATGATGAACTGGAAATACAAAAGGAAGAAGAAGGAAAAGTATTAGAAGCTCATGCACTTTTGCATGTTGATAATGAACAATATGTTGAAAATAGACGAAGTTTTGAAGATTCAAATCATACAAATTTACATCCTGATTTCCCTATTGAACTTGAACAAAATGGAAAAGTAAATAATTAAAAACTATTTTTAAAATAAAAACAGAACTTTCAGAAAAAGAAACTAAGTCACAAACAATCATTTCAAGCATCACCATCACCATTTCAATGTGATAAATTAATAGCTGGTGCCACAACAATACCATTCTTTCGTGAAACACAAAATAATTCAACAGATGAAGATAGAAAAAGCGAACTAGTAGTTAGTTGTTCTGATCTAGCAGATCTCGGGCAAAATGATAATCGATTGACTATTACAGTAAAGTGAAAATACTTTTAAATTTAAATTTTAAATTTATCTTAAAGCTCTATCAAGCCGAACCTCATGTCCAACATGTTCAAACTACTGAAATATTATCTGCTCAGGAATCGAATAGAACAAGTTTTCTACCAAAAAGTGAGTATTTTTGTAATGTATCCTATAAAATTTGCATTGATTAACTTTTCCATGCCTTCTTTATAAAGGTTTTCCTTTTTTTTCTTTCCTTTTGAATCCCTATTCTTTAAGTCAACATAAAAATACATATTATTTCAATGATATCATGTTCATGCATGTTTATGGTTTTGCATGTGCTTGTTTTCGATTGATTATCGATGAGAGTGAAACATATTTTACAAAGTCGATCGTTGTAATGATGATCAAGACTGTTGATTTGTTGAATATGATTTGCAATCATCTATGCATGAACATTAACAGCAATTACAGTATTTTTATAAAAGGCATATGAGCATCATCATTTCAGATACAGCTGCAACGAATACAAGTGGAGTGTTTATCAGACTTGTACGAATTTATTGTTGTGAATGGAGCTGTAAACTGGCAATATTTCAAAAGATTCAAGTACGTTCTATTAAATTATAATGTATTGATTGCTTATGCATCATAATATCATCACAACAGATGTTTAGACCTTATTGTCGCTATAATCCAAAATTAAGTGTATATTTAAAAGTTGAGGATTTGAAGTTGTTTTGGTGTAACAAGGTCATTACACCAAATTCACTAAAATTCCTCAACTTTAAAATGTACGTTCCACGTTTGGGACAATGGTTTCATATCTCTTAATCGATAGATATTTCGTATTTAAACAGATTTATCGCTCGCTTTAATGGGAATATGACATAACTTCAACATTCAGAAACTAGGTTTCTTGATACTTCTGAGTAGGAGTGAGGCATTGATTCCACAAATAATAGAGTATTTTCGAAGAAATAAGTCTAGATTTTCAGTTGTTTCCAAGAAATGCATTGTTTATTACGGTCTGCATGATGCACATTGTCTCCATTTAAAAACCGATTCGTTAATTGAGAGAACTTCTCTGGTTAGACAATTTCTCAACACTAAATTTGAAGTATGATACTGCAATAATATATGTGAAACACTGACCAGCATTACATATTGGTTTCAAGGATGGGGAAAATAGGGTCTTAAGATACCTTACATGACTCTCTAGAAAAATCGATTCACAATTCTTCAAAATATTGTCCTTCAACAATATAGATATTTTCAATAGCAATACTGACAATGTTGAAGGCAATGAATACTCGAGAGGTCTCATTGTGGATGCTTTATGTTTTTGTCGGCCCGGTCACAATATACTTATTTAAAATTGAAGTTTCTCATTTTATTATCGTTCGCAAGATATTAGATATTTAACGAATTTTTTCTAAGTAGTTGATGAAGGTGATTTATAAGCATAAATACTTTCTATTCACAGCTAAGTCATAAAATAACCATGCGTCTTTTTACAGGCCGCCGTTGCTTTTATTGTACTGGATGCATTTATGGATTTATTTATTACAATATGTATTATATTAAATACATTATTCTTGGCACTTGACCATCATGGCCAGAGTGAAACAATGACACTAATTTTAACAACAGGCAATTATGTTTTTACAGCTGTATTTGCGGTTGAAGCTACACTTAAAATAATTGCACTGACACCATCTAAATATTTAAAAAATGGATGGAATGTATTTGATTTATTAATTGTTACAGTCAGTCTTATTGAATTATGTTTTGCTCACGTAAAAGGTTTAAGTGTTTTACGTTCGTTTCGATTAGTAAGTAATTATAATAGAACTCTTATCTTATCTTATCTTATATTCTGTTAAGTTGCGTATATTTAAATTGGCTAAATCTTGGTCAACATTGAATCGTCTTATATCCATTGTTGGTAAATCAATAGGAGCTTTAGCAAATTTAACGTTGGTTCTCATTATTATAATATTTATTTTTGCTGTCGTGGGAATGCAGGTAATGCGAATGATATTTCGAATGAGTTTATCCTTAATTTTTTTATAGTTATTTGGTCAAAAATATGGAGAAAATTTTGGCAAAGATATGCCAAGATGGAACTTTTTTGACTTTTTTCATTCATTTATGTAAGCTTATTTAATAAGTTTCAGTAGAGACAAGAATGACTTTTAATTTTAATTTTAAAGGATCGTATTTCGTGTCTTATGTGGTGAATGGATCGAATCAATGTGGGTGTGTCTTGAATGTGCTGGATGGCCCTGTGTTCCATTTTTTTTGCTTACATTTTTCCTTGGTAATCTTGTGGTACGTAATATATGACTGAAGAAATTTCTTTTTAATGAGTAAGAATTTCGCAAACTTTTCTTCTTTTGTGAGACATGATCTCATTGTAAAAAAATAGGTACTTTACGGAACCTCGAAAAAAGGTTCGGTACACGACAAAAAGCTTGCAAATGTGTTCAAAGTTTCAAAAAAAAAGAATGAAAAATTGAACGGAACCTTTAAAGGATCTTACCGTGTACCCAAGTGAAGATCCTTTTTTCTTCGAAACCTTTTTAAGTTCCTTACTTGAGAGTGTGGGTGTGGATGAATAGACATCACACCCACCCACACCCACACCCACACCCTCAAGACAAGTCATGCTACGCGTTTTCTGTCATGTTTTTCTCACCTGGATTGAATTATAGAAAGAGTTCTTAATAAAAACCATTTCTATGAATTTCCTATATTAATAGATATTAAATTTATTTTTGGCACTTTTACTGGCTTCATTTGATTCAAATGTTTTAACTGAAAAAGAGGATGAAGACGATAAAATTGGTGAAGCAATTGATCGTATCCAACGATTTTTTCATTTGTTAATTGAAAATCTTGTTTACTTTTTTCGTGGAAAAAAACAACGGCAAAAAGATGCTGATGTCGAAAATAAGAATAATGAAAATGTAACATATAATCAATTTTTAAAATCATTTATTTATTATTCGCTTTGATTTCATTTTCGTTCTTTAGCCACTTTCTACTGCAGAAGAACTAGTTAATAATATTCCTTCAGCAAACTTTAATCAATCAGAAGACATTAACTTCGCAGTACCTTTAATTCATGATTTGTCAACAACACATGAAGGCACTGAAGAGCAACCAATCCATGATGAAACTATAGAATTTCATCCAACACAGAGTATTCTTTATACGCCACCATCTTGCTGCCCTAAAATGATATTGAAGCATTTTTGTTGCTGTGCTAAATGTATTCCACAAGGTATTCACGAGCGATGGACAACTATTCGTAGACATTCCTTTAGCTTAGTTGAACATCGGTATTTCGAATGGTTTATTATTGTTAGTATAGTAGGTAGCAGTATAACTTTAGTAAGTTTATTATAGATAAAACAAAATTCCGAAAACAATTCGTCTTATTTTGACAAAAGGCTTTAGAAGATGTTCACACTCGACAACAGCCAACATTTTCTGAAGTTTTAGAGATATTCGACAAGATTTTTACGATTATTTTTACACTGGAATTAATATTGAAATGGTTTGCATATGGAATTAAAAATTATTTTACAGATGGTTGGAATATATTAGATTTTGTTATTGTTGTTGTTAGCGTTCTTGGAACTGGTCTTCATTTGTTTGGTGTAGCTGATATTCCGGCATTTAAATCAATGAGAACATTAAGAGCTTTACGTCCATTAAAGGCATTATCAAAATTTGCAGGAATTCGAGTATGAAAATAATTGCGTGAAATAATAAATTGTTTTGTATTCAAATAGATTGTTGTCAATGCATTATTTGGTGCCATACCATCGATTTCTAATGTTTTACTTGTTTGTCTTGTATTTTGGTTAATATTTTCGATTATGGGTGTACAATTATTTGCTGGAAAATTTTATAAATGTGTTTATGTTGGTACACATGATCGTGTTGCAGCATCAGAAAATGTAACGAATAAAACTGATTGCTTAAATAAAAATTTTACATGGGAAAACTCACGCCTAAATTTTGACAACGTTCTTAATGGTTACTTAGCATTATTTCAAATTGTAAGTTACTAAATTCTATTTAAAATAACAGAATAGATTAATAGAGTTATCGATTTATGAGACCGGATATAAACAGAATAAGCAATTTTTAAGCCAACCGTGGTTTTTTAAACTCTGTTATATATACGTATACAGTTGTTTAATATTTTGAAAAGTGACTAGCCAATTATAATCATTTCTTCAATGCTTGTTGGAACACAAGATCGAAATAATGAATCGCATTTTAACATTTAGTTTTCCAATATCACGATGATTACTAATGCCAATTTAAAAGTACATAAAGTGTAGTCGTCTCAGGAATAAACCGTGAAAAGAACTTTCAATATTGGTATCATCGCTCTCAGCAGATGGAATTTGAACGAAATTTTATCTTAAAAAATTTTGTTGAAACATAAAATGAAACATTTTTCCTTTGTATTGGCAGCTTTTTTGTGGAATATGATCGAAAAAGAGTATTGCATTATACAGGCAACAGTTGGAATTCCTGAATTTCGCCAATAAGACTTTCGCCAATTGGCGAGTCTCATGTGTATTCAAATTTGTAACATGAAGATTAATAGACAGCACCGAGATATATACTAGTACCCATCCTCCTTGCTCATATCCAACATTTATGTTCTTCTGTGACAAATGGTAAAAATTCATCGAACTCTTCTCAATTAGTGAGAGTCCACTGTACTTTCAGCAATGCACTACCGAACTTTCGCCATTGGTGAATATCCAGTTGGCCAAAGTCTTATTGGTGAAATTCGGGTAAGCCCAACAGTTTGGATCCACCCACACACATTGCACATGAATAAAATATCTATTAGGGAACTGTAGTCTCATGGTTTTGTAGATTCCGACTCAGAACCTGAGATAAGCTAAACCGATCTGCCGGGGTTTGGGGGTTCAAGCGTTTCAGTTTCCTAATTGTTATAGTACATGAAATACTTCTATAGCGGTAATTCCTCAAGGCTATTCAGATCAAAATTGTCATTTTTGTCCTCTTGCGTTCAAATTTGAGTGATGGCATTATCACATTATACGTTGTAATGAGTTTTACCATAATTGTAACTCACAAGAAATTACTCAAAGCTGACTGTACATTGTGCTGGAACAGATCGAAAGGAAAAATATCAGAAAAAGCTATGTCTTCAGTAATGGTGACTCTAATCAAGAAAAGCTCATTGAAGTTTTTATTATAATTCTAGTAATCTAGATTTATAACCAGTAGCAACAGTGATGAATAAAACTTGATATAAATTAACCAAAAGCATTGAAGAAAGACCTACTTTATTACTAAAATTCTAGGTACATATTCGCACTGATTGGTACGATTTAAGTGTACAGTACTGCATGATGGTGAGAAAGCTATGACTAAAATGAATCAGTACCAGATAATATTGTCATAGCTACAGTCGCAATGTCTTCATTGCGCTTAATTGAACCGAAATCTTTAGCTATTCCATTTGTAAAATTGCTACAAGGTGATGAGAATCATTTTCATGATTTACGTGTTCAGTTTAGTGCCAGTTGAGGAGCAAGCGAAAAGTACTTACAAAAATTACTATTCAATGGCGTATGGATCATAATGGCGAATGATATTATGATTGGTGTCCTAAATGCTGTAGAATACTTACTTCATTTATCATTTCCAGTTGGTAAAATAAAACAGTCATATTGAAATTTTTTTTCTCTTTACTTGCATTTGAGCTGTGTTAGAATCTTAACATTATTCCATGCAATAGCGCATGCCTTTCTCCAGTTAGCATTCTCAAAAAAACATTTGGAAAGTTTATACGTCGATATTTTGCTTTTCGACGTTTTTACGCCCAGTTGGTCACACTGCTTGCAGAAATTTCATATAATAGCCACCAATTATGTTAATCCCTCTAAATATGATTTTACCCTAAAGGTTGCGGAATTTGAGTTGTTTTGTTCTCTTATTCTAATGCACAATGACTTGAATACAATAAGATATAAGTAAGAGTTCTTAAAGGATGCCTTAATATGGTAGTGGCATGAGTAAGGTAATCAGAATCATCAATGACGATATCCGAAATTATCTCTGAAGATTCTAGTTGTAACGATTAATAAGACTCAGTTGAGTCTATATCGTAATGACAAACTGGATAGAGGTGGAGTAGCTTACCGCTACTCTAGGTAATGATGTTTATTCGTTTATTCACATATCCAGAGTGTAACGACACAACTAGAGAGTGTCGCCTATGCCCGTCGACATGATGGTATATTGTGTCATCTGACATCTCTAGAGTGTCCCAACTTCATACATAACACACGTATATATAGGAGAGAGATAGAAGAGAGACAAGAGAGAGAGATATTACACCAATGGAAAGAGAACAGAAGGAAGAGGAAGGAGAATCATCGAAGCGTGCAATCAATATCGGCACACTAGTAATATGCTATAAGTAAGTCCGTGGATACTAAGACCATGTCTCAAGATAGTAGAAGTTCATATTCGGATGGTGCAAGCATTCCCAAGGAAGCCAGCAGCATGCGTGGTAATGCTGTGATTTACCTGATGATAGTAGCGGTATAAATGCAAATACCAGTAGCATTCCTCTGGATGCTTACTTTATGGCTGGAGATTCAGGAATCATCAATCAGTCTTCTAGGATTTTCAGCGATCGTACTGGCAACTTGCGTCATGCTTCTGTCCTCTTTAGCTATGATTCCATAGCCCCAAAACATTCGACCATGTTTCCTGGGCATGATTCCAAGCATCGCCAGGCATGCTTTTCATTTCGCTTGGTATGTCTGTCGCATCACCAATAATGTTTCTTGCTCCCTCAGCGATGCCTGCAAGATTGTCAGAGGTTCGTGTAGCGTACTCAGCGATGATTGTAGCCTGTCTATCAAGTGGGGATCTCCGGCACCTGACTTTTTGATAATAACTCTTTCTGCTCCCCAGCCTCGGTTCCTTCCTCAGTTGCAATTAAACATGTATTGCTTCTCTCTGTGATTTTGCTTCAACAAAAAGTCATCTTTTGATTATCTGTGCGATTGATTGAGTATATATATATATATATATTTAGTTAATGCCAATTGTTACGACCAAAGTGTTCCCCTTCAATCTTAAGGCGGAACAAACGAATAATACACGCTCCTTTCTAGTATAGTGTTAGTACAGCTGCCTGGAAAGCAGAAGACGTTGGTTCGACTCCATTGGAGGAAGATTATCGTTTTGTTCCGTTCTTTTGTCATACCATCACGTTGCTGTCTCGCTGATAACTGAGTTTAATAATGTGAGAGAAACGAATACATAGTACCAATGATTTGAATAAATTAGCAATAACAGTAAGTCTTTATACGCATGTACTAGATCTAAAAGCAATGTAAGCAACTTTTGTCCTGCTCCAATATTTTTTCAGGTGTATTTCTTCCGTATACAGAATCCTCTAAGAGCGCGCATTTTTTTTGACTAATGCAGGATCCCAATAAATGGTTTTCAATCAGTGTTTGCTCAAGCATCACTTCAATGGTATATAAATTTCGGAAATGCCGAAGTACGACTACTTTTAGAAGAGATATTGAGGCTAGTCACGCGATTGAAGAAAAATGATCTTGCACATATGCAGTGTCTTCAGAATCATTAACCAAAAGCCAAACCGTTGGCTCTAAGCTGAAACAAAATAATAAATATGAAAATATAGCGAATAACTCTTTGAGCAAAACGTCTACCAGAGCTACGTTTTCAAGTGATTACTCCCGGTCCATGAAAATTAACAACAAATATTCCAAAATTCTATCCCCACAGGATCGAAACCAGTTTTCAGATCCATATGACCGATGTTTGTAGCTTCCACAGAGATGTTTTTTATTCTCATGCATCCTGGAACCATTCTTTGGCATAATTCTAGCATCCTCATAGGTACCTCTCAGAGATGCGTCTGGTGTCAGCAGTCATACTTCTTCAATTCTCAGATAAACGTATGATTGCCCAAAGAATGCTACTAGTATCCTCAGATATTCCTCTAGGACCGAAACCACTAAGAAAAATACATTGAAGAAGCTCAACTTCGCAATTCTTAGAGTATGTACTTGATTGGAAAGAACGAAGGGAGATCGATTGGTTTCGGTGCTTATGAGTAGAGATGAATGCTCTAATTTTGTTACTTTAATGGTATCTTCACATTGACGTCTCGATACATCGTATATGGACATTCTGACATCTAAGCTTTATAAATGGCTCCTTATTGTATTTCTGGAGGATTACTTATAAGAATAGTGAAAAAATATGTTCCAGCACACAGTCTTTGTATGATCGCTAACATATACTATATTTTATTGAAAAATGTATGCGATCATATTTTCCCAACGGGGGAGGGGGACCTGATTGTCTGATTGCCTAGATTGTCATTGATTGCCTTTGATTGTCTGTAGTTTTAAGTAGTTTTTAATACTTAGAAATATGGGAAACGTCTTTTTGTGTACTCAAAAAGTGAGTACGCTCTAGAATCGGTCAGTGTGTCCGGCCGTCCGTTTACACGATAGCTTTCGAAAGGAGAGTTAGATCATGATGAAATTTTCTACACAGTTCAGCCTCATCAATGTCTCAGTCGAGTTCGAAGATGAGAAGGATCCGTCAAGAAATGGTTGAGTTATCGAAAAAATTGTCATTATTGACCAGACCATCCCTGTGGGGGAGTACAGGGACTTTTCAAAAAAACGTTTTTTTTCTCAGAATTATCTACAACATATATAAATTGACTCAGTTTTTAACGCTGATTTTGAATCTGATATTAGTTTTGAAAAAAATCGTAGCTTTTTAACGACACATTGACTGAAAAAGGTCTCAAAATACACAAAAACTGCATCTGAAACCAAATTGCCTAGATATGTTTCAGATGACCAGCAGTTTGGGGGTTTCTCAAATGCCTGGTTTTGTAGCTAGTCAAAAAGACTATCGAAAGGTAAAAACCCGAACTCGATAGCTATTACTATTGATGATTTATTATGAAAATACTGATGCCTGTATCTATCATATATCTTTTATAAATTCATGAGGTTGCTTACGATCGTAATCCTGCTAGATACAAACACAAAACCATTCAAAAAGAACTGTTTTTATCCAGTTTTCGAAGCTGAGCACGAATCTGAGCTCAATTTCTGTGATCTCTAAAGATATTATATCATGCTGAGAGTAGAGTCAGTGATCACTGGATAGAGTTGCATACAGTGCGGTCCATGCTAACTTAGCATGCCTGTATTTTCTCCTTGTAATTTAGCGAGAAGGGATGCATCTTGATGAGATCTATGTCTTATAGAAAAAAATGGATGTACATTTTCGCTTTTTGAAGTACACATAACAATCGGATGCAAATCCGATGCTTCCGCATTTTTTTAATTAATATGAAAATAAGTATGTGATTCTGAAGCGAGAAAATAATTGATTTGTAAAACATAAATTATACTTGTATTCATAATGTTTATTAAGATTTTGTCGTGTGCTTTTTTTATAGAATCGACTAGAAATATCGAATGAAACTACTTAAAGTATTAAAATATAAGAAAATTATTATGGAAATTTGCATGCCAAAGTTTATCGTTGTTAACTCTAATTAATATTATGATTTGAGATATTTGCAGCCGATCTATGTTATTAATGATGTGTTGCTGCTGTTCACTTTATGTTTCTTTTACTCCTTCTATGATTGAATGGATAATCATTTTTAATAGAAGATTTAAACCTAAATATATTTCATCAATATACACGAAAATTTTCTTTCTATAATCTTTCTTTTTTTTGTTCTCACAAATTTATCAATTCAGACAAAATAAAGATTCAAGTATATGTTGAAGATAGTCGAAAACGAAACAACTGAGATGAAAAATTGAGATTTGTTAAATGGTATCGATATATTTCGTAAATATTTCTCAGGAAATTTCTCATAAACATAGACTAAATGAAAAAAGTTCAAAAACCGATTGATTACCATTTCAATCATGTTAAGGTTACACCAAAATTTTATTTGTATTAAACTAAACAATACTAACCGAAGTAAATCAATTATTATTCTATTTTTAAAATTTATTTTAATTAACTCAAGAAAATATATTTTCTATTAAGGTAAATTTGAAGAATTAAACAAATCTCTATTCATCATAAAATTGTGATAGAAAAAAATAATTACAAAAATATGTTTTAGGATGCTCTCACATATGAACAAAATCAGCTGCATTTCAATGTTTCAAAACTAAATTCGAATCTAAAAGTGATTATACTGCAGTAAATTAACAAACTTGATCGATATTTTTGTATTGAAAGAATAGTGTACTTAACAAAGTGATATAGATAATATTATCTTTGGATCATTTTCAAATATTGAAAATAAAAATAAAATAAATTTAAGCTTAAATGAATTGATTATTTGTTTTAGATATTCTATATGTTTTTATCGGTAATATATCCAATCTAATTAGTTACTTTTTCTTTCTATTGCTGATTAAATAATGGTAAGAATGTCATCATCCCCACCATCAGCAACCGCCGCAAGTAATTCGAATGATGTATCACCACAGCAATTAGGTAAAGCCTTTGTTGTTCAATATTATCGTCTCCTGCATGAACATCCTGAATCGTTACACCGTTTCTATTCATCATCATCAACATTTATGCATGATGATCCGAATACAACTGTAACTGGATTAGAAAATATAGCTAAGCGTATTGAAGAATTATCATTGAAACAACGTCATGTTAAAATACGTCAAGTTGATTGTCATTCAACTGTTGGTGCATCAGTTGTTGTACAAGTTTGTGGAGAAATATCTTCAACATCAATAATTGATAATCAAACACCAATTATGAAACGTTTTGTTCAAACATTTGTTTTGGCACCAGCAGTCGATGCTAAACAAAAATACTATGTACACAACGATATTTTTAGATATCAAGATGATACAGTATGGATTCCGACAATAGATAATACGAGCACGAAGATATCTTCGCCAACAACAGCATATGCTAATGAAGGTAATTTATTAATTATTAGTTAAACCTTTTTGTTCGATATTGAATGATTTTAATATAGAATCAATCAAGAAGTAGGTCGAGCTAGAAATAACGTTTACGTAAAATAATTATACTTTTGAAAAGAAATACTTAATTTTATGAGACTAGATTACTATGAAGTGTTTGAATATATTTAAATTAATTTTTCTAGAATTTTCTGGGTTTTTACATAAATAGCTCGGAAATTTATGATTAATTTATAGATCAATAGTTAATGATTAAAATCATTGTCTATCAAGTTCAATCTTTATCAATAGTACAGTTATATAAGAAAAATGTTCGCATGATACTAAGCTTTGTTCTTGAGATTTCATCAGACTGTTTGATCTTTTCTTCCTTTTTCTCTTCGAATAGAAAAGCTTTTTATATGATAGCACTTTAATACTATTGATCTAATGAGAGAAAAACATGAGAATTCTTTTCAAGCATAACTAGATAGATAGTAAAAAATCTAGTTATCTTTCCACTGACAACTAACAACGGAGAACATGTTGACGTAACGTGTCTTGTCAATATGAGTCCACATCAAAGTCACTGAAAAAGTAACTAACTAAAAGTAGAATTTCATATTCTCTCTGACTATATATATATGCACAGTTCATTTTTCTTTATCAAGTTTAGTTGACTAGAGAATAAGTTTTAGTGCCGATTAAAAACGATATTTGTATAAAATGTTAAATTCAACAGTATTTATACATACATTTGCTCATTGTTTTAGATGTTCATAAAGAAGCGAATGAGATAAACATCAATCAGGTGGATGTCACAAGTTGATGTTCCTTTGACATAAAATACTGATAGTTTATTTTTGTTTTACGATTAGTTAACTACGAGTAAACATTAAAATATACTGAGAACTGTCGGTGGTGCCAATTAAAGAAACTTTTCTATATTTTCTGTCCAGATTTTCATCGTTACTTGAAATAGACATGCTCAGTGCATCATGGATAAAATAAAAATTTTCAAAAAGTTCATGTTTCATAGATATGAAACCTTTATATAATTTACTATGTGTGAGACATTCAAATATAGTCAACATCGAGAAAAGGTCAAACAATATCACTTTTCTTCAACTTGAAACTTCACAAACTGACGTTTTCTACACAAGCCTTGATTAAAGATACATATTCACAGTTCACTAATTTCATTAAACCTTACAAGTATTTCGAATCATTCTTTGTTTTCTCGTAAACAATATTGTTCCTATTTTCAAGTTACAAACTCTCTGGATAAAACTTTTTTAGAACGTGAACTCTTTCAGTAAGATTCTATTTTACTCGCCTTTTCATATATGAAACTACAACTGATTTCAATCTTTGATACTCCTACGTACAGTAATAAGAACCAAGGCAATTTCCATTGAAATATGGCTTTTAACTACGGAAAAAGATTGATACAGATGTCATTTTTTTTCAATTTTCTTAAAGATTAATTCTTAATCAACTAAGTTTCAAACAAAAAAAAATAGCTTGTAAATTTTAATTTAGAAAAAGTATAAAATGTTGATTATAACTTCTTATGTTAGACTTGTTCCATAATTTATTAATGGATAAATAGATGACAAGCTGCCAGGTATGTTGTGACAGAAAACAAATTCCAAGTTTGAGTCATCATCTATCCACAAATAATTAGCATCGGAATGCCTTGTCTTATTTTTAAGCGTATTAATTTTAACAGTATTATTTTCAAGGGATCGTGTAAACTTTTTCGTTTGCTACATTAATTTTTCTGGATCTAATTATACATCTAAACGAAAACTTTCAAAATCTGTAACTTTTATTAAACAATTCATTTCAGAAACATCGTTCGGCGCTGTTTCAACAAAGTCAACATCAAAAAGTTCATCAGCAGCAGCAGCACACATTCAGTTTTCAGATAATATCACAAATAAAAAGAAAGAAGATAAATCCGGAACAAATACAGATAGAAACGCTAATGTCAGAATTTCAGCTACACCTGTTGATAAAAAAGAGAAAAATCAAGAAACTGAGCAATTATCAAAGCCAAAATCTTATCGGGATGCCATTGGGAAAAACGAAAAAGTAGACACAACTCTAACAACAAATGAAAATCAACCGAAACCTGTCACAGATGGAACAAAAGCTGCTAAAGCTAGTAAACAAAAAGCATCAAAGTCGGGCAATCGAAGTGCAAGAGCACCTCGTGGTCATCCTCAAGACGTTAACGATTATTATGATGATTCGTGGTATTATAGAACTGGAGAAGAAGCTTATTTACATACTGGCTATACGGATGATCAAGAAATATTCATTGGAAATCTTTCAGCTCAAGTTACGGAAGCAGAAGTAAAGAATAATAATAATAATAATAATAATAATAATATCTAACTATTGTACATAAATTTAGATTCATGAATTATTTCGACCGTATGGCCGCCTCCTTCTTGTTCGCATTGGCAATACAGGATCTCAAGTCGGTGCAGCAAATTTTGCATTTGTTGTTTGTCAATCAATTGAAATGGCTAAAGCAATCGTATCTGATCGTGAAAGTCTGCTGAAAAGTCAACGAATTAATGTAGAAGCCAAAAAACGTCGTCCATTTTCACATACATTTCGTCCGACATATCCAACAGCTGCATCTCCGACAAATTATCAATCAACTGGTTATCCAGCATCATATTATGAACATACGACATCAATACCATTTCATGATGGAGGAGCTGCTGGACGAGGCACACGACGAGGTGGAAAGACAGGATTAAATTAAAGTTTGGTTGTTTGACTTTGTATTGCACATTCGTAGTACATTTCTAGACTGTTTTGTCTTGCTCTTGTTGATTTATGGTTATTCAAAACATTGTTTTTTGTTAGTTTTTGGGGGATAAAGTGATTTTGTTATTGTTCTTATAGTTTTTGTTGTTATGTATTTCTCTTTCTTTTATATTACGGATGAAAACTTGAAAATTTAGAAGAAAGAGAAAAGATCATGAGGATGACTGTCATTTTTGTTTTATTTTGATCTTTTTTTGTTATTGCGCTTATTGTTTGTTTTTTGTTTCATTCTTGTTATGCTTCAGTTTCAACTGGAATAAACTTGAAAACTATCCATTACCTTATGCAGAATTTTTAGGTTCGTTTTTTTTAATCGATGAAATCGAGAAACTCTACTGACAATATTATTCCAAAGAAAATAGTTTTCGTTTTTTCGTTTATTAACGGATTGATAGGAAAATATTTATATAGAATCAATTATTTATTATTGTCAATGAAAGGCTTGACATTACTTTTTGACAATAGGTTTCTGAAGTCAACTTTTTTCTATTTTCAAGTACAAGTAAGATGTCACTAGAATCTCGTTCTGTCTCATTTCATTTATGATATTCATTCGTTCAATATTAAGAACCATACAAAAATGTCTTAGCAACAAGAAAAAAAAAATAGAAATTCAATTCAATTTTGAATTCTCTCTTTTCCTGAAAAAGAAAAAAATGTCATCGTTAGCATCTCTGGTTCCATTTGAATGGTTTGAAATCCACAGTAATTCTCGTTCACCTCAACTTCGTGTTGGTCATTCAAGTACATTTACTCGTTCATCATCGAATATTTATATAATTGGTGGTGCAAACCCATCGGAATGTTTTGCTGATATTCATTCACTTTCATTACCATCAAAGACATCTGATTCATTTGTTTGGACAAAACTGATTGGTGACGATCCAGCTCTTCGACGTTATGAGCATTCAGCTGCTTTATCATCCAACAATAATGAAGAAATTATAATTTTTGGTGGTGCTAATACAGAAAAGAACTTTAATGATGTTCATGTATATAATATTTCAACGAAGACAATCGATAATTGGACACCAAACGATAATAAATTAGTATCACCGCGAACTCATCATTCTAGTTGTTGCATTCAAAATGGTTTATATATATTCAGCGGTGGTTTTCAAGGTGTTAAAGCAGTTGATGATGCCGAATTATATCGATTTGATTTAGGTATGCTGTCATGAATTTATTAATTTATTTAGAAAAATAAACAAAAAAATGAATTGAGTTTTTAGTCTCTCGGACGTGGTCATGTGTACCAGCACATGGTTCTCCGCCTGAACAACGGCATGGTCATTGCTTATTATCGCTTGGTAATACTCGTCTTTATCTTCATGGTGGTATGGATGGAAGAACTTTTTTTTCATCACTTTATTCCATCGATATTAATGAAAAGCCACCAAGATGGAAAGAGCACTCATCATCATCATCATCATCATCATGTCCAATGCCTAGAGCAGCACATGGTGGAGTTTCGATTGAAGATACATCAACATTATTTATTTTTGGTGGGCTGTCACGTAGTGGTCAAGCATTGAATGATACTTGGTCATGGTGTGCAAGTAATGAACAATGGACAGAAATTCTGTGTCGATCTTTGCCAAGATCTCGACTTGATTTTGCATATTGCCTTGTCGAATTCATAAATAATGAACAAGAACCAAAAAAATCTATACCCTACATGTTTATTCATGGTGGCACAGATACACAAGGAGAAGTTTTTGATGATTGTTTTTTGTTAAGATTAACATTTGATAATGATCAATAAAAACCACAACATAACTATGAAGAACTTACACTTCATAGAAAAAATAAAAATCAATAATCCTAAACTGAACTGTAATAAATAAGGTCATGCATTTAATACAATATCTAAAAATATAGCAATCCATATCTAAATTATATCAATATTGCCTGACTTAATACAATAGTATCTATTCTGATGAAAGGATACCTTTAAAAAAATAGTTTAATCTAATTTTGTAATTCAACATCTTTTAAATGAATTAAATATCTCAATGAAAAAGTGTTCTGTGTTTTAATTCAATATATTATCACTTTTAACAAATGACTATCAATGAATTTATCGACCTGTCTAATTAATTTGAACGCAATCTATAATTGATAAGTACTTATCAATTAATTGAAAGAGTATATATGAGCTGGGAATGACGATAAGTGAGAAGAAATAAGCTATTTTAAAAAATCTCGTGGGTGGGGTATAGGTGTAAAAAGAAATAAGAACACCCACACTCCGCACCCTCAAGACTTTTTTCTATTACTTTAATAATTAATTGTATATAACTTGGTGTTGTTAAGTAGTGTTATTTGATAAATTAGATATAAATTTATTTTCAAATTAGATATAAATTCATCCTATATTAGATATAAATTTGTTGTAAAATTAGATATGAATTGCTATGTTTTTAGGTATAAGTTTATACTTGCCCCAATGAATAATAATCAACTTTTTGATAACATTACATGCAAATATTGAATTAGCATTTCTAACAGAAATCGAAAATCCATGGGAACTTTTTAAACCTTGAGTGCGATTCGAATGAAATCGAAATTTTTCTATTATACTCGATAAACAGTAACTTATCTATACATAATATAGCATTATGGTCTTATAAAAGATTATTGCTAAGAGACGGAAAATAGGATATCTCTGTTATTTCTTCATTTTTCAGTAGATAATGTAATCATGCTTGCAACTATTGATGTCTTTTTTCTATTTTCTTTGTCGTATCACTCACTGTTTGAAGAGAGCAGAGTCGAACATGGAACTAGTTGATCCATAAACAGTTAGCATCTGCTGCAGAGGACACTTCCATGTAATATTGCTCATATGCATACAGTAGATGACAATAATCATGTTTTGTTAATACAAAGATCTGAATCGAATCCGAGTTGAAATTTGTGAGTCATTTCAGTTTCTAACTTCTAAAGATAAAAGTAACTTGACAGATAGTTTCTCCTAGAGTAAAATCGACTCGACTCTAGCTGCAAGAGTCTTGTATATCAATAAATAAAAACATTGAATAGACAAGAGAAGCATCATTGTCAGAATCATCTTCCTTGGAGTAACACAATAATAGTTTGCATTTGCATTTTAAAAAATAAGAATAAAATTTTCAATAGAAATACTAAATATTTATCATTGATTATTCGATAGCAATATGTTAAGTAGTAACTGTTAGTGAATTAGAGACTAGAAGTTTTCTTTAATAGAAAAAGGAAATATCCGGTTTGTGCGAATTCATCTTATCAGTCGATAAAAAAAACTTGAAAAATCTTCTTGTTTTCTCGAGTATCCACCATATATGGATTGATCTCTTTGATTTTTTTTAGTATTTCATTGTATAAATTTACTTTGTACGATTGTGCAGATTTTTTCTCTATAATTGAACCAATTTGTATAAACCGCTTGGTAGCGCCATCTAGTATCATTTAGTTCAAAATCTTGTTGACCAATAATTAAGTCAAACAAACATTGATGTTTGCAATTCATCGATTCATTCATAATCATCTCGTGTAGAATGGAAGTTACGACACGTTTAACAAGTGAACATTCGATTAAATTATTTATTCAGCGAGATTATTCGGAGGGCACAGCTGTTAAATTTCAAGAACGTTTTCCGGCAGAACTTGAAGGAAAAGTAATAATTTTGTTGAATCTATAAAAGTTTTTATTCTGTGCAATGGATTTAGATTGATCGAGGAAAATTTGTGGATATTATACGTCACGTGAATTCAATTTATGCCGAAGCTGAATCTCTATCTTGTAAAGCATTTATGGAAAATTGTTGTGCTTGCTTAACAGGCTATTTACTATTACTTTGTATGCCAACACATTATGAGAAGGTTTTCATTTGATTTTAATTTTGATTATATTCATCGAAATTGTATATTGTAGTGTGTTAGACGTGCTGCACAATACATATCAGAAGAGAATGATCGCACTCTCACTCAGAATGGAATATTTATGATTGATCCAATGGAAAAAGGACTTCGCTGTGTAATTGATAAAATTAAACTCTACTCCTATTTCTTTTAATGTTTCTGTTTTTTTTTTGAAATATTTAGATTGAAGTATGTATTTCAAGTAATCGTTGATGATCAAAATACAATAAACAATAACGAATTGAACGGTTTAGGCAAAGATACATATTGCTCTCAGCTATATGAGACTTATGTTAAACAGTGTATAGAAATTTTTCTGTGCTGTAGTCTCTTAATCTATTTCGAATTTCTTTTGTGTATAATAAAATAAAATATATTTATATGATGAGTTACTAATTTCAATGCCTTTAATCGTTAAATGTGTGAATTTTAATAAAATCGATTATCATGAAGTCGACTTATTGTACCAGTTTCAAATATTTATTACTTCAAGAATTGTCGTTAAATATTTATCTGAAAAAGAGCGGCAAAATCTAATAGATTCAGATATGTAAGATTTTTTAATTTAAAAATATGTCATTTTTATTTGAAAGGTAATATATTTTCATTGAATAAAAGATCACGATATGCAATACTTTACTATTGATCATAATGACTTTGAATTATCAAGACGGACACGTCGTTTGAGTTGTATTTTATTTTTTATAAGATATCTGCCAACTGTGTCTAGTCTTAACTATCAAAGATATTTTGAATCAAAAACAAAATTATAAAAGAAAACGAGCACGAATTTATAGCAGTGTTTCATAGTTCTGGTTCTTGTAGAGATATTTGTAGTTCAATATCAAATTCTTTTTTTCTTGAATTATAATAGCAGAAATAGAATTGTGGTTAACTTAGAAGGAGATACTGCTACTGATACAGAAAGAGTTCATATTGCAGTTGGCATACTGCACTTTTTTTAGTATGAATACAATTGAACTTGAGAAAAATCACTAGAAAAACTGATTTTCGAATTTAAATTCAAAACTTTCCATAAAGACAATGGTTAGCGAACATAATTTATTATATTTTGGTTCTATTCTGGAGAAAAGAATGTTAGATCTGTCGGTTTGTACTATTAATGCAAAAATAAAAGGATACAATTAATTTACTTACATCTTTGGGGAGAAGCATCAAATACGTAGATCTGAAATATTACTAGTAATCTATTCTTTGTAGAGATCGGTCCCTACAGAATGTTTCAAGTAGCAATGGGCTTTCGGTGTTTTTGAACAAGCCAAAGAATTCATTTGAAGAATACGGAAACGTGTTACAAATTCATAGTAATAAATTGAAGAGGCGAACTCTTTTCAGTATACGCATAATTTATTTGTTGTTAAATAATTGAACTAGTCTGGAATGAAAATCTATTTATAAATTATAACTTTCCCTTTCTTATTTGGAAAGCATTTCGAAAAAAGACTGAGCATCGAGTACTATTGTCCTTAGTTTTATCATTATTTCCTAAGTCCTTGATTTCGCTTTAAACGAAGTTCTTCATTGTCAAAACAATTCAATCATCTTCTAAGAGTTCCGCAAAGCACACGCTAAATAGCATATTCTTAATATATTCATTTTGTTTTTGCTTCAGTACGTCGTGAATTTTCAATCACCTTTTCTTTTCTTTCCTTCTTCTCTTTTTTTTATTTATATATCGCAGTAAATGACCGTAAAATGACTGACAAAAGACATTTTATGATTATCTTCCTTTCATTTGACAGAGTTTCAGAGAAAATATTTCCGCTGCATAGCTAGTATAACACAGAGAAAAGCGGTTTTTGGAAGTAAATTTTGATTATTCTTACAACAACAGGCAACGTATCATGCACATCTCTAGTTTTAAATAAGTCTTCTAATTTTGGATCAAATCTAGAAAAAGAACCGTTTGATTAAATATTCATACTGAAAGTAAGATCTGAGATGATTGTTTTTGAATAACGACGTGGTAAGCATTCTATTCTTGGTATAGGTTTTACTCTTAATGACTGAGCGCGGAACAAACGAGTTGATTTCTTTTTTTTCATGTTAAGATAGTTGAGTAGGGCAGCTGATTTTCGGGAGATTTTTGACAAAAAAAAGATAAATTATAGATCATGCCTGTCCTTTCATGATTAACTATATCTAAATAAGATCTTGATTGCTTTTTCAATCAAGATATTTGGTATTTGCTGATTAATTGTTAAATGAAATCAGGTAGGAAAATCCTAAAATATTCTTTAGACAAATAAGAGTTTATAAAAGATAGAAAAAGCAGCATTATTAGCATGACTGCTTCATTTATTTTGAGAACTAATAAACAATGTAGTTATTGAAGAAGAAGTTGATCTTTGACAAAAGAAGATATCAATATATTTTTGATCATGCTAAGATATTTTATTTTTAATCATCAGATAAGAGCAGGATTACTAGCTATAGTTTCTTTTCTGTTTTTGTAGATGCATTTATCATTATACTTTTTTTTCCGATGCTGCTTGACTTTATGTTTTTACATTGAATTCTGTATGAGAATCATATCATTTATTTTTAGTTTTCAATTAAAAAGAATTATAGATTTATAATTGAAATCTGGTGGTTGAAACGTTGCTTGCTGATACTGACGATAGTAGGTATTCATTAAATGCTAATATATAAATATAGCTCGAATCAAACTTCTTTTTAGTAATTCTAATCGATGAAAATATTTCCAAAGTTTATTTTGCGAAAAGACAAAAAACAGTAAGTAAAAAAAGCTATTCATTATAAAAATTTTAATTCTTTCAAGTTGTGTGATTTAAGTATGAAAATTGAAAACAAAATTCAGAAGTACTCTAAAGAAAATATATAAATTAGGTAATCGAATAAGAAAAGTTCAAGTTAAAATGCTTGATAAAGCAAAAATTGTTTTAATGATTTGAATAATTAACTACGAAGCAAGCTGAGAACAGCACACAATGCTTTGATTAGCTTTATATTTCGATGTACTTTATAGAAATATTAAGAAGACTTTTGATTAGACAATGCAAATATTTTTTTTACGTTAAATAAATTTTATCGTGCATTTTGTTCTTAATGATATAGCTATCATTCTTCTTGCGCTCTTCTCTCCAGCATTCATACGTAACATATAATCAGCTAATAATACACGATATGCTTGAATAAATACAATGAAAAAGGTGAAAAATTTCCGGCAAAAGTCACCTTGTGTACTTCAAAGAGTTCATTGATTAGGATTTTCTCCGATTTATCTATTCCATCTCAAATTAAACAAAAGTATTCTATCAGTTTTTGTTAATTCAATTGGATCATCATTTACTATAATTGCTTCGATGAATTCTACTACAATAAAAAGTCTGATCAAATTAATTGATTAAGTCCTTCATTTGACTTTATCATAGATTTTCAAATGAAAGTTTTGAAGGAATATTTACATCGAAGAAAATTTCATAGGATATGCCTAATTTTTCTTGTTTTAGTTAAATTCTTGATTTATCATGTGCGAAATAAAACTGTTTCTTGATAATTTATTTGGATTTCATCAAATCGTATGAAGTTAATATGCAGAATGCCTATTCTTTTTAATACAGACTTTTTCTTGTAAAATCTTTTGTTCCTATTAATATTTATCTTACTTTTACTTGAGGAAAAAATACGGCATCAAATTATCGAGGTACTTATTATGTGATACACTATTTATTATAGTTTCGATAATTAAAAAATACATTATAAGTACGAGCTTTCCGTTAGAATAGGCATGATGACAGAAATGGAAATTTAATTGAAATGAAAGGGTAAAATTCAGTGAAGAGCATCAAGTCATAAAAGAATATTCTGTATGGAACGGAACTAATTTATTAAAGAGGAGAATTTCACTAATTTCTTTGAAGTTCCTCAGTACAAGATTGCATATTTTTCTTCCGTGATGTAGTTATATGTAATTCATATAAAATCTTTCTATGCTTTTCGTTCATCCGTTTTTTTCTCGGTCGTAGATTTATAACCAAATTGAAAAAAAAAGATGTACCTCACTCATAAGCACCCCTCGTGTAAGTCGATGTTTCCATAGACTGTTTGCATAACTTTATTTGCAACAATATCATGTTCACCAAACACAGACAAAGTTATCAACTCTGAGATAAATCTCATCTTGGTAAATAACATTGTCTATAGTGTTCAGCATGTAAACATAATAGATCTTATATAAAAGATCGGATAGTTGCTATCCTTGGGTTCGGGGACTTTCCCTCGAGTATCAGCTTGAATTTGAAAACAAATTCTAACCGATATAAAGAGTGATCATAAATGACACTCGTATGTAACTCGAACAGCAAACGTGTAAGATACATCGGGACTTCGAAATGTCAATGCTCTATATATATTGATATATCTATAACAGAAAAGAAAAACGGTGAGTCAGTTAATTAATAATGTTGATAAATGGCGACATCTTTGCTATTAAAATTAGACTTAAGAGAATGAACACTATTGAGAAATAAAAATAAATTTAATGAATAAATAAGATTCGATTAATTTGCGGATTGCGTCAAAATACCATCTGGATATTTTCTATGATTCTGTAAGCCTGGATCTATTTTTTTTTTTATAGAAAGCGGTTTTCTTCAGCTTTTTCAATGTTTCATATTACAAAGACATGTGTTATTATTCCGTCTGGTATTTGCCGAATCATGTTGTAAAAAATGTAGATGAATACTAGAGACAACGCTTATTCTTCTTTTTACGAGAAAAAAAAATGCCATGATGAAAAAAACGGCCGAGAAAAAAATAAAGAGAAGACGAAGAACTTCGGGTGGAAATTGAGAGCTTTCTCTTTCTTCTTGTCAGGTTAATATGATGTTTTAATCAGAGTTAAACTTGAACAGGATAATTTTTATCTTTATTTTTGGAGTCAATGATTATTTTGGTATATATATACGTATATTTAAGTTCTATCTAAATAAATCTAAAACAAATGTGCGCATGTTACGTACTTCAAGCTTCATCATCAATTCGTAGTTCTTATCGTTTTGTAAGTATTTATTAATATTGTTCTATAAGCTAATACAAATTTTATTATCTATGGAATGAAACAATACTCTTAATTTATAAACAAAAAGGATTAAAAAACTATAGTCGGAAGTTATTTAATTGATTTTTTTCACTATTTGTTTAAAAAAAACAATAGTACGTGGTTGTAATGGATTTTTTAATCTATATTGTTAGAGATATTTCGTGTAGCTTTTTAATTAACAATAAATAAGAATTTCTAAGATAAGTCTTATGTTAATCTATTAAAATAAATGATAATGGAAAAGAAGATTAAGATTAAGAAATAAATAACATCTTTCCTATTCGATACTAGACTTTTTTAATTTTCGTTATTAAAAATAATCTACCAGATAATGTCTAGAACATTGAACTAAACTAAACAAAAGACATGCAGCTGTGCGTGTATGTTGGAGATTGAATAGCATTTTGATATTGCTCGACCGATAAATATGATGAAAAATGCAATAGACACAGATAGTCAGAGACAAAGAAAACCGATCATGATAATTCTATTCCGAATGCTTCACGTTCGCATTAAGGAACTCGCTTTATTGGTGACGGTACTCTCATGTCTGGTTATTTTGTGGAAAACTCGAGCTTTTCCTTGTCTATGCTTCCGAATGTGTTTATGTGAGTGTCGGCATAATTATTTTTTCTTGAATTCATTTATTTTTCTCTCGTGCTTTCTCTCTATATATCTTTCGCATTCTCTCTCTCTCTCTCCCCCTCCCCCCTCTGCGTCTTTTCTTATATATCTCTTGCGTTGCCTCCGTTTTATGTAGAATAGCGCCTATTGTAAAAAAACATTGCATGTCGACATCGGCGAGCGCTACAGTGCGAGAATTTTTAGTACTCCCGTTTCATGTTCGTGACATAGCTCAACAGAGCATTTGACACGAGCGCAGGTGTGCTTATTTTTGGTTGTTATTATTTGAACATGCATCGCTAACAGCATCATTTCTCTAACGACAACAACTAATAGGCTTTTTTGAACAGCTAGATCTACAAATAATTATATCTATAGTAATTATTTGAACATGGAAAAACATTTTTCATCATCAACGAAGACGAAGCGTTCTTTTTATCGACGAAAACTTCAGTATCAAGAAAGAATTATCGAACAATCGACATCTTCTCTTCCAACGGCATCAATGCTAGAGCCAAATTATTTAACAGTCAAGGTTATTGGAAATAAATGCTCAAAACTTGCTTCTAATCATTCTGAAGATATACGGATAGTACAGGTAGAAAGAAAGAGAACAGATCATAAATTGAGTTGTGTCTTTGTTTTTTTAAAGATTCGATTGTGTAGTTTGTCTCTTTTCTCTTTCTTTTTTGCTTCTCATCTCATTATATGACAGAAACAGTATTTGAAAAATCACTGTTACTTTTTAAACTAGTCACAACATTATTCTACGTGAAACTAAGAATCAACAAGTGCATCATATTTTACATAAATAAAAACTCCTGTCATTTTAATTTACACGAAAGATTTTCTTAATTTTTATATTAAAAAATGAATGAACACGGAAGAAAAAATATACTATGACAAACTATTTGATGATTGAATTCCAATTTTTTGAAAAGAAAAAAAAGAAAAAAACTTCTCAAGTAACTATAGAAATGAATGAACATCTAGCACATACCTCCTCTACTAAATAGAAATCTAAAACTTGCTGTATATTATATCTTTGATTATTATCAAAAGGTTACTTCAGCCCAAAACTATGCGTAACTAATGATACACATGTAGAAAAAACTCAGAGTGATGAAGACAAATATGATTTCAGTCGAATCGGTGGAACTATAGACTAAAGCCAATCAACCAAATGTCATCTTGGGAATTTGTTTTCGTCGTTCGATGATAACAAAAGGGTGACAAGTAAACGAAGAAAGTAAAAAAAAGAAAGTTTCCGGTGTTGTTTTTGTTTGCGTTAGTCGTATAATGAACAATAAGACATATAAAGGATAAATAATGAGACATGAGAAATGAGATAATAAGAACAAAACAAATAATAAGACTTTTAGTTTTATTGATTAATATCTGACAGAATGACTGTAACACTTCAAAATATTGAATGGAAAAAATATATTGAATCTTTTTTTCATAATTATCATATAATTAAACAATCATATATCGCTTAAGATCTAGTAACAATTAACATTTCTTTTAATTAATATTGTAAAAACTAGAACACAAGAGAAAGTTTTATTTGATTTTTTTACGTTTTAGGAAATGGAATTGAAATCTGTTGGCAAATTGGGTATGGTCAAACGAAAACAATTTCTTCACAAAAGAGATATCAGTCGGTCACATGAGGTAAAACATAGTTTGTCTATTATTTTACATAACTGACATAGTAGATTATTAGAAGTATATTTTGTTAAAATCTATCGAACAAGATCGGAATTTTAATTGTTCTCGTGGATTTATTTTTTTCGTTGATAAATATCTTAAAATAAGTTTTAATGCTCAAAAATATTTGAACAAAATGAGCAAAATGAAAAAAAGTAAATACTTTGCATTGATGAAGTTTTTTAGTTTTGATTAAAGAAAAAAAACTGATAAGCAACGCTGACTCTGTTATGCGTAAATTAGAAAACAATTTCATTAAGATAAGAGAATAAAACGGATATGCAAAAAATGATAAAATGTTCACACCAATATTATTTTCGAAGGAAATAAAGAGTAAATAAAGTTGAATATATTCTATTTTTTATTACGAATATATTTGATCAGTTGTTCATTTGAAGATCGTTGCAATAATATTTAATGAAGTCAACTACCAATTACAATAGTATTTTTTAATATCAATCAATACTCAGTAATTTACTGATTAAATGTTTGTAAGATACTGAAAACTGCGAATTTCCACTAAAAAAAATATAAATTTCTTTTCTAATCGTTTGTTAAAGGAAATATTTGGCCAATAAAAAAAACTGCGCAAGAAAGTAATTTTTAATTATGTTAGTTTTGAACGAAGGACTAGGCTCTTGTTTTGTCATTTTTCTTATTGTATATATATATAAATAAATAGAATATGATTGTAATATGTGTGTATATGTCAATGAAAAACCAATTATAATCAACTATATAAAGTAGATCGATAAATACTGTTTCATAATCCATCACGCATGTCTTCTTGTTTCTATATTTCAAACAAACGTATGAAACAACGAGACAAAAAGAAATAATAATAGCAACACTTATATTGCTCATTATTACACGTCTAGTGGTTTCTGTGAAAAATATTCAGTAAAGAATGATTGATTTGCCAGAGGAAAAAGAAAATGAAGGTTTATGAATATCATCACCTTGCGATTATAATATTTCTTGAAGGAACAATAAAATTAATTATATTCAAAAGAGAGAAGAAAGATTTCATATTTGTGTAGATTTGTGTTTTCAAAACGAAGAAGATAAGATGTATGCTATTGATTACACTGACTGAAGATACAATCGAATCACTTGTATACGCTTCGGAAAACACAAACAGCAGATGGTTTAGAATATTACTTAATAACTGACAGAGAAAAACGAACTCGTTGAACCATTGAAAATTATTAGTACAATCATCATCATCATCTTTAGTGTTATTGTTTGTGTTATTGTTATGACTCAGACTAAATTTGATGTATATTTTCCGTTTTTTTTATATAAGAGCTGATTTTTACGTAGCCAACGAAAAAAATGCGGAAATCTCGTTAATTAAACCAATAACGAACTAATTCAACTTGATATTCGGTTTGGAATCATTTTTTGCCTCCTCGCTCTTTCCGCTTCTTCTTTTTCTCTGAAAACTATTACCAAAAAAGAAAAAAGAAAAGATTGAGATAATGACAATGATGAGGGAGATAACGACGGGCGGTCGTTCGTTGTTGAGCAAAAAGAGAGAAACATATCCGTATCGCTGGTGTTGTTTCTTAATGCATGTAAAATATTGGTCGAAAATCGAAGCTATATTCGACATGGGAAAAGCGGGAAAAGCACAAGGGGCTGAAGAGGGGGGGGGCAGAGAGGAAACAAACCGTCTCGTCATCATCATCATCATCATCATCAACGATTATTGTATTCGTTTCAATGACGAACTGCCAGACATAGAAAGCCTTCGTTTCTCGCTGTTCTTCTTTATTCTCTGTTTTCCGCTTTTCTCTGATCTCTTTCCTTTGAGAAAAGCACACATCATTGCGTTTTTTCTTCAAAAGCAACGAAACTAAACAAATTTTGTTCTCTATTTTTCTCTTGTATCCCATAAACACACAAGAACTAGTTCTAGTTTTAGTCCTTTTTGTCTTTCTTCTTCTTTTGATATGTGTCAATGTATTTATGAGTCGATGAAGTGGTTACCAATAACAATAATGATCAGAAAAAGAATACAATAAGAAGATCAATACGTTTTCCATACTGACTTTCGATTGAATTATTCATCGTATATATCGCTTTCATTTTCTTTTCTTTGGTCTTTATATCTCTTATTGCTAATATTTATTATCATGCCTTTATACCGTCTTGATGCTTCATTTAATTCATTGGCAATCACTTCAAAATCATCAGTACCAACAAAAGCAACAACAATAACAACAGCTACTTATCATCGCTTGCTAGATGTTGATTCTCATCGTTTATCTATAGGTAATGCAGCCAACATAAATGTGACTGGTGTCAGTAATCATCAGCGTCGTACATCGATTGTCAATCATCATCAACGTCGAAATTCTCAATTACGCAAAGCAAGTTTTACTACTTCAACATTGGTATGTGCACAGTATATAATAATTCTTCTTGTCGAGTATTGACATTTAGAAAGCGAGAAAAATCTAGCAGGATTAGGTATATTTTGTTGTCGAAGATATACACACGTATATGTTTTTTCAAGATGTATGATGTTGATGATAATGATGATGACATGGAATAGAAAAATATTTCATTTCTTAGGTAAATATATCTGATGCCAAAAAATATTTGAAGACTAGGGTAGAAGAAAATTATTTGATTCGAATAGAGGTTGGTTATGGTGTCAATATGATAGTTTAAATGAATTCATATGTACATAAATTGTTAAATACATATATATATATATATATCTCAATCATGCTTCATTATTTTATTCCTTCGTTTTTTGTTTTGTTTTGTTGGCATATTCACATCATCAATAATCCCTTCCTTTTAGCAACGACGGATGCTGAATTTGTTGAGATCAACTAAACTAAAACTCTTTCAACAAAGAAAAACACTAAGAAATTACGCTAAATAACACATGAGAGATAAACCATGCAAAGCCATCAGTAATAGCTAGCCGAAGTTGATGATAGGTTGTTTATTCCTGTTAATCGCCTTGAAGAAGGCATGGTTGCAAGAAAACGATCGCTAGCATTTAGTATGTGTCTATAGAACTAAATTATAAAAGACAACAAAGAGAAAAAATAATTGCCTTTCTAATCACTTAGCTAATTTATCCTCTTGGGAAAAAGATGTCATGTACTCGGCCTTATAATCTATGATGTTAAGTTTATCTATTTGATGTCTATATGGAGAGATGAATTTCTTCTCATCTGTACATTAGAATAATAATATATATATATATATTCGATTAAAACAAGAAAAAGAATATATTTATTGATAAAGAAATGATATTTTTCTACTTTTGAATTAGATCATGTTCTTCGTTTCTAGCTTCTTATCAATAAGCTTAGTTAGATAGAGAAATTAAAAAAAAAGAAAATTCATGTAATAAGATTAATTAATACGGAAATTTTATTTTGCTCGGTTTTTATTGCAAAATTCATTACTTATTCGAGAAACCCTCTAAGTCATGTTATTCAATGATTCTTGTTTATTTAAACATATATTCATGTTCTAATAGAAACATATTGATTATCACTAAAAACAAATCCTTAATATTTAGAGAAACATATAGATTCTTTGCTTGAAGTCTAAGTTATTGTGATCAATAGAATTGATTAGCTAAGACATTCGTTTTTATCATACTTTTTTTATGCTCTCTGTCTCTTATCTTCTAAAATTTTCTCTATCCAGTCAAAATTGACGTTTCTGAAATAGGCATTACGATAGTTGTCGATGCCATAACATGTATGACTACTAGAGTATTCATCATTTTTATGACAGTTTCTGAGCGTTTCTTTTCTTTATTAGTCTTAAGCGTTAATTTATTACATAAAAATGTGTTTTTGATAGAAGTTCTCTGTTTGTTATTGGCAGTATTCTACGAGCTAATGTATTCTTTAGCATAAAATCTAACAATGCAGAAAAAAAATGCGATCGATCATGCTCGACATTCAAGTGCCTGCAAAGTGAGCATAAGCAACAAATATGCTTTCCAATAAACATCTCCAAAAGAAATCTATATTCTCATATACATTACTTGTGCTGATAATTTAATAAATATCTTTCAATAACATCGTTGTATTACGCCGAAAATTTTACTACAGTATATTTAGTATAGTCAAAATCGATTATGAAAATCTAATGAAATTTTAATTACACTGGAATAGAAATCAATTTTTTCAATGTGAAGAGAAATGTCTTGAAAATAAGTTTAATAAAAAAGATGCTTAGTTAATTGTCATTTTTCATAGAAATTTCTTCGAAGAGCACTTAATCAATATGACTCAATTGCTATTAATTTAATTAAAAACTAGAAAGCTAGTCTGTCTAATTATCTCTAATTTATGCCAAAAACAATTGATAAATTAATTATGATAACACACAATAAATCTTATTGAATAAAAATGCAAAGATCATTAAAGATAAAAGAATTCTCAAAGGATACATAAACGTGATGCATTATCGTACAAACTGATCCTTGTCTTTCTTGTGTTTTTCCTTCGAGGACATACATTACTGGTTTGAAAAGAACGGTGAATTTTTTTCAGGCTAGATTTGATCTTGTTTCCCATAGATTTACATATAAAAGAAAGAAAACTGGCTTTTTTTGATAAACGGAAAAGGCCTTTTCTTTTACCTAATGGCGGTAAATGCAATACCACTACGATTACCGAGAAAAACAACGTTTCTTTTTCATTTTCGAGTGTGTTAATGCATTAAAGTCTAAGTAAAGGAAACAACAAAGTTTTCGAACAAGTATATCGGGAATCTTTTTTTTAATTTTCTGACTAGTTGATTTATGAAAAATGTTGGCGCATAAAAAGATGAGTTGAGCAATTAGATTACTGTATAGATACTATCAATGACGACTTTTCTAATACTTTTTAATATATTTATATAAGCAGATAGAACAAATCTAAGATTTCCTTGAGAATCAATTCACTCAATTTTACAATAGATTTTATTTTATTCAAAAAATACTATCCTGCGTTGTTCATAGAAGTTATTTTATTTTTATGTTGATTAAGGTCGTTTTTATTTCATGACTTTTGTTCGGCGGCAATTTTTTCTATCTTTGTTCATCTGATAGGCAAGCCAAAAACCCAATATTTTTCTCTTATTTACCCTAAAGAAATACATCTCGCATGGTCTTTCTATTCCATCAGTCTATTCAGTTCAGTTTGTAACGCATTTGTGAATACGAGATTTGTTCATCACTCTGTCTATAATTCTATCTGAGCGAACGCATGCGCGAGAATCGAATATTGCCTAGTGATGAGAAGATATATATTTTACACGGGGTGTGTCAGCGTGCAACTTCATGTCTGAAGAAGAAAAGTTTGTTTATAATCGTCGTTGTCTCGATGAAATGTGATGATTTGACTATCTATATCTGTAGTTCGGCCTTCTGTTTGCTTTTCTAATACGATTAGAATTAATAAGACTCTCGTTCGCTCTCATCACTCTTTTCCGCACGACATCTGAAATCATCTTAGCCGATATTTCTCGTTTGTCGTCGTTCGACATCGGCAATAAACAAAATGATATTATAAAATATGCGCACAGGCATATACGCTTTGACATTTTATGAACACTGAGTTTGAAAAAAAAGAAACCACAAATAGAAATCTATGTTTATATTATTATTATCTATCGATTGCAAATTACTATTGGTATATTAACAATGTCCACATCAACCATCAAAACTTTGGGCGACTTTATGACCGATTGTGCTCGAACAACACATCGTCTTTCTTGTTACGCACCATTACCAAGTCATGTTGTTCAGGTTCGAATTAAAAATTGAATCTTATTATTAATTTATTTGAGTTTAAATTCGGATAAATTCATTTTACCAATACAAAAAATAAATATATATTTATGAATTATGTGAGCATCAGCTAGGGGCGGCACTTTAACTTTAAACTTTAAGAGTTAAAGTTAAAGTATAACACTTTAAAACTTTAACTTTAATAAAAGTAGTATAAAAATGAAAAGTAATTTTTAGCTCTTTATGTATGGTTGGTTCTATATAGTTTTTACAGTAACTTTAAACTTTAAACTCTGTTTATTAAAGCTTAAAATGCTTTAACTTTTTTAAAGTTTAAAGTTACTCTAAAAACCACATAAAATTGCACATAAAGAGCTTAAAATTATTTTTCATTTTTTACAGTACTTTTATTAAAGTTAAAGTTTTAAAGTGTTATACTTTAACTTTAACCCTTAAAGTTTAACGTAGACTTTAAACTTTAATTTTTCAAGTAAAGTTAAAGTGTCACCCCTAGCATCAGCATCCTAAAATGTTGTTTTCTTCTTTCTTTTCAAACAAAACATAAGAAAAATATCTAAATTTATCAAGAAAATAAATTCTATTAAGCATAATATAGTATTATTCATCTTGTGATGAAGAAAAGATTGTTTTAGATGAACATTTTTGTATAGGCACAGAAAACATTACATATACATAAGATAGAAATTAGTTACTTAATCTCTCCTGATCGAATATCATTACTATGCAGAAGAATATTAATTAAAGGAAGATTCTCATACAAGGAAGTCTCATTAAAATATATTCTACTGATTTTCTTACTAATTGAAGATTTTGCTTGATTAATTCCTTGCGTTTTTTTTTGTCTGTTTCTTCGTCGTAAGTGAAGCATGATGATGAAGATCATTGTCTTTTTTTTTGTTTTTGTTGGAACGTTGTTTTCACACTTGAATAATAACAAATGAGAGAAAAAAAACGAGAGATATTTTGCGATCCTATCCTATCTAATAGTCGTGATCAGATTTTCTCATATTTGTACGATCTAGTGAACAAAAAAAAAGAATATATATATATATATCAATGAAATAAAAATGCAAAGCTATCATAGTTGTTCTCCTTCCAAACCCATGGTATTCATATCACGAGAAAAATGACAAATAGAAATAGAAGTCATCAACAAGAATGTTTGAATATTCAAAACTATAAAAGAATCTATAAATCACAATTTACCAAATGTCGACAAAGTAAACGAGCTCAGGTATATATATATATGTATTTAAAATTTATTTTTTTCTTGATTAATTTTTAAAAAAATTTGCAATTTACAAAAAAAACTCGATCTATCCGTATGATAAAAATTAGATGTAGTGACAAATTTATTAGTTCCGTTGTTTTCTTTATTTTCAAATCCTTGTAATCTTTCTTTTTTTATTATTATTAACGTTTATAGTATAACAACAATAGTTGTTCAATGAGAAACAATTATTTGTCGTTAAATCATTTTGAGTTATCTTTCCTGTTTCGAAAGCCTCGATACTTAGCCTATCTATAATCTGGGGAATAACATTTTGTTTTTTCTCCTACATTTATTTTTTATGAGTTTGCGTGTACGCACACTCAGCATCACATCATTTGGAATCGATCACTTCCGGCACAATGCACACGATGCATTTTATTTTATTGTTTGGTTCATATCTATACATTGAAAGTCTTCGTTCTCCTTTCTCCTATAAAACATTATTCTACGTTAAACTATATTTAACTTATTATTTCTTTTACATAAGCGCTTAATAAATGCATTGTTATGAATTGAAATAGACAATTTATGTTTTTAGCGAAGATATGAATCACAAGAAAGTCTATTCATATTTATTGATATACACATAATAGTATCTAATCGATGTAATCAATAGAGAAAATGAATGAAACAATGTTGTCTTTACTACTTGGTCTTTTTGTTCTCAGTCGGTACTGTCAATCGAAAAAGACTAAATTATTGATTCCACGCGCGCTGCCATGCGTCCGTTTTAGCATTGGATCTATTTGTATGGACTAGTGAAATGACTTGCGCGTAGCTACGAGACAGAAAATATGTGTAGCGTATGAATAACAGACGGCGATGAAAAAGAACAAAGAAGGACTAGTCGTTGTAGCATTGCATGCCATTGAGTTTTTAAGGATTATAAGAGTAAGAAACTTTATTAGTCAACAACAGATCGTAGCGAATCGAAAATAGAGTTACTCTCTTTTCTTCCATTCTATTTTTGCTTCACATTCACACGCATAGATTCACAAACAACAATCAATCACTATTACTACAACAACAATAACAATAAGAACAACGATGACGACGACGACGACGACGACGACGACAACGATAACAAAATCCATTGAAATAATCTTTTATATATATATATTTATATTTATATTTATCTCATGTTCATAAGAGAATTATGCGGAGTAATAGTACTAGTGCGCCTGATGATCGTGATCATAATCACCATCGTCATTTATTTATTCGAAATTTTCTCAGCGACTTTCGTCGTCAGTCGAGTGTCAATGATTATAAATTTGCAAATGCATTGGTATGTACAAAACTTATCAAATAAATCTATTCTTCTCAGGAGATTTAGATAAAATTAAATTCACTCGACATATTATTGTAGTATCAATAGACTTCATTTTTTTTTCGTTCTTCAGAGATTGAAATCTCTAATGAAATAAGAATAGATGTCAAAAGAGAGAAGCTGCTATTTTTTCTTCTGATTATTATATTTATAGAAATCTATTTTAGAATCTCTCCAGAGATCTATCTATTGTTATCAATGATATATCTTACAGGTTAAAAAAGATTCTTATGCGTAACTCCCTAGGCGATTTAGAAGCATTTTTAAGATAAATTTTTAATAATATTAGTTAAAGATTCTTATGCGTAACTCCCTCGGCAATTTAGAAGCATTTTAAAGATAACTTTTTAATAATATTAGCTAAAGATTCTTATTTCTTTTTGTTGTTGTGTTTTGTTTTGTTTTCATTAATCTCTTTTAATGAAGAAAGATTCAATGGATTTATGTTTCGATATTTCTGTTAGATTCTTATATTTCTAACAACATGACATGTTTTTTCCTCTGGCATTTTTCTTTTCTTCCATCACAATGAGACTCAATAAATAAAATAAAAAAACATGGGATGGAATGACGATCATAGCTATGATCCGAGAATAAGATTTCAAAATTGTCTTGTTTTTTCTTTGTCCGATTTTTTCCACGCAATCTATCATAGTTGTCATCTTGTTTTCTCCCTCTTGATATTCTACTGAAAATATTACGTTAGATCAATGTCATCATATAGCTGAATATCTAAAAACGAAGAATACAGTGTTGATCTCTTAAGAATTTTCTGTTGTTGAAATGTCGAGGTTAGAATTCTAATGCTAACAAAAATAGATAAGCTTTAACCATATCGAGCGATTCGGAGAGCAATAATGATGACGACTTGAGTGATATGAAATAATGAGAATTTACTGTAACTTAATATTTATTATTTCATTCATACGAATAATACAGATAGACAGAAAAAAGGAGATAGAATCGTAATTTTACTGAAAAAAAAATCGCATGTGCTAATTATCATCAAATGAAGAAAGACATGAAGACATCTTTCCGTTTGAAATGAAAGTAATCATTCGGTTCATTATTAGACTTCATCTTATACCACCTTCTTTTTTTTTACGGATATAGGCGTTCTTCTTTTCTTCTCTCGTAATTTTGAAAGAAGTCTAATGAGACAGGTAAAATGTAAAGAAGTAAGTTTCGTTGTTTCGATTTTTATGCATATCAAAAAGAAATGACATATTCAAACAGAAAATCGCTGTTCTTTCAGTCTTTTTTCTCCATTGATGCGCTACACATATTCTAGTGACAGAAAAATACACCAACTGATGCTTAACAAGAATAATATTTATCACTGCTGCTAGCAACAGTGAGAGAACGACAGAGAGAAACGATCTACCAAATAATAAAGAGATAGAATAGTAAAATGATAGACGAAGAGAAGAGAGCAAAAGCGTTTTGATTCATCCAAAGCTCATTTTGTTACTAAAACTAAAAACAAAAAAAAAGAGACAGGAAGAGAGACAACACACATTCTACTCCCTCGTGTCGTGTTCAATTTCCCACACTCCCTTTTTGTTTTCTCTTTCGGTGTCTGTCTCTTCTCTACACAAAAGTTCTGAATCCAACAGCAATAAAAAGTCATGATACCGTCAAAGATTACATTTTATCATGCTCCGCTAAAAATCATTAAGGCTAAGGTATAAAGATTTATAGAATAATATTTGATCTCATCTGATCAATTGGTTTTAAATTAATATATATATATATATATCGGCTTGTCCAAACGTAACGCTGTAATATTTTGACAAATTGTTTTGCAATTATCTCGAAAGGCATAAGAGTTAATAAGGTCGCTCAAACGTCATTCGACGCAGCTCATCATAATCTATTTATGCTGCAAAAATGACCTAGTTTGACTGTACTCTCACGCTTCTAGAAAGGTGTTATCATTGCGTAACACTGCCAAAACAGGATCCTTTTTTCTAGGGCTGCTTTTAAAACTCTAATTTTTTGACAAATTATTTCTTCAAATGAAATGCTTATGGTACCAGTTTTTGTAGAGAATTGAATGGGCTTTTAAGCAGTAGAAAATATTTTTTCTAAACTATTTTCGCTCAGATAAAAAATGCAAAAGACAAACGTAACGCTGTGACACGTTTTTTTGTCGACCAAATTTGAAGCACTTAACATGCCTAAAAATATTTAATATTTATATATATATATATATTGATCACCGCCCTGTATATATCCTTCTGTAAAAAAAATCAAATTGCTACATCGAAATACTAGCTCAATAATTGTAGAGTAAGTTAGAAGCTGTACAAGAGCTTAGGAGTTGTCATGAAGAATGAGAGTAACAAATTAATAGACAGTTTTGTAGAGAATGGAATTCTGCATCGAATGGTATATTACTCTGCATTTTTGTTTTAAATTTCTTAGTTAGACAATTGAAAATACGAATTTTGAAAACTTTAAAATGCGGTTTTCGATGCCAAAACTCAATTCTTTAAGAAAAGAGTCCAAATTCATAATCAGCGTAAAAGACTGTACCAGAAAATATGCTTAGATCTGTGCATATCGGAAAAAAACGTTTTTAAAACTTGATCAGCGAAGTAGCGTGTTACGTGGACAAGCCAACATACTATATATATTTTTTTTCTTTTTTGTATATTTCCAGTCACTTGCAGTTACTGATGAAGAAACTGGAGATTTATCAGCAGCACGTTTGTCGATATCGAATTCTTTAACAAGCGTTCATAAACAATGTGAGCAAGATGATTCTGAAGCTGCAAATAAACTATTAGATATTGGCCGTGTTGCTTCATGGGCTGTTGGTTTTGAAAAATTGCTCAATGATGATATCGGTTTACATGTGTTTACAGAGTTTTTGAAAAAAGAATTCAGCCAAGAGAATATACAATTTTGGATTGCTTGCGAAAAATTAAAAAAATTGTCAGATCCGGAAGAGGTTTGATTGATTTTTTATTTCATCGTATTAATGAATATCTTTTCTCTTTCTTTTTCCTAAAGATTCATCATGAAGCCAATGTAATTTGGTCCACTTATTTACATGATACAGATGATGGTTCATGCCCAATAAATATAGATAGTCGAACACGACAAGAATGTCAACAATCTTTGTTAAATAAACCGAATGCTCATATGTTTGAAAAGGCTCAATCTCAGATATTCCAATTAATGAAATATGATTCTTATAGTAGATTTCTTAAATCAAATATGTATAAAGATTGTATTATGAGCGAAATGGAAGGTAAATCTATACCATATACGAAGCAACAACTGCAGCAACTGCAACAGCAACAACAGCAACAACAGCAACAACAACAACAACAACATCAGCAGCAACAACCACAAACTCCAACAAATTATGAAGAGAGATCAAAAATACTTGATTCTTTTGTACAAATCGAATAAAAATTAGTTTTGTATTTTATTGAAACTTTTGTTTTGCTTTTTGCTTAGACAAAATTGAAAGACGATGACAAGAAAGATAAAAAACGAAGCCCACTGTTACCTTGGACAAAAGGTAAAAATAAAGCCTGTGACTTATTTATATGTTCTCTTTGATTCATTCTTTTTAGCATTCATTAAATGGAAACGTCTATCAGGTTTGTTAATTTCTAATTATCTTATTTATTATTGTATTCATCTAAACACGCTTCTTGATTATTTTTTTTTTCTATTCATGCTTAATTTTTCTAGCTGCGTCGGAAACAAGCAAGTTTCTTTTTTTTTGTTGTTGTTTTGCATCTATACACATAGAAAAAAAAGTAGTCTGTCTAATTAATATTGAAAAAAAGTGTGCTTTCCCCATCTGTTCGTGAAAACTCGACAGAAATCGAGCCACGAGTGGATAGAGGAATATGATAGCAATCATCATCATAAGCTTGTGCTCTTGTTACTACTAATCGTTTCGTTTGTTGATAGCTTCGTGTCAGCTGTTTGGTGTTCTGCATGCGAATGAGGTGTGAACGTAAATTAATGATTGATAGATTTGATATTTTCTTCTAGAGAAATGCATATTTATATATATATATATACATACATACAGTATGTAAAAACACATAAAGTCTTTAGTTAGACCGGCCAAAAAAGAGCATGCCACTAATCATTACTACACAGTTTTTATACCATGATCAGAGCAATATATATATATATATCGAAATATTCATGCACATTATAATTTTTGCTTTTTATTATTCTTAACTTTCATTATTGTACTCTGCATATACAAAAAAAAAAGACAAAAGTGAAAATTAATGCTTATTGTAGAACTTGATTCATTGTCTGGTTATCCACTTTATCTATAAACATATTCATATATCAATTTCGGTAGCTGTGCTAGATATACGTATACTTATCATACGGTTCTACATCGTGATAAAGAATCGATATAGATTCTCTCTCTTCGTTGCAGTCACAGCCTCGGTGCGTAATACGCTCAAAGATTCCAGTGACGAATAGTGTACAGTATGCCCATTCTTTCATTGAATTTTCTACTTTCATCAGGTACATAAATAAGTATTTAAAGATTCAAACATGATTATTCTATACTCATTTTTCTTTCAAAACTAGGACTTATTTATCTTATTAAAGAATATATTTAAAAAAAAAAACTATAAAATAATTTTATTATTTAATATCTAGTTAAACGTGATACGCCCTCCTCTTTGTCCAATCTACATCATCAAACTGCCAATGCTAGTACAAATACTCCAATACATGAAAATTTATGTTTATCACCATTTCTAATATCACCAATGGCTAATAAAGCAGCTTCAACTGAATTAGGTGCGATATCAACAGCACTAAGACTTGCTAGTGCACCATCGTCATCATCATCATCTTCATTAACAGTAACAATCAATAGCGCAAATTTACCAAGTAAAATAAATAAAACTTCATCAAATATTACTCCACAAGATGCATCATCATTTAATTTCCTTTTACGTTCAGAAATCAATCAAGAGTCAGTTCTATCTGTTGAAAAGAAAACTCTAACCGTTAGTTATTCTTATTCAGATTTTTATAAGAAAAAAAACTAATCAAATGTATTCATTGTGTAGGAAACTTCATCATTATCAATCGACACATCTCGTTTTTGTCGTTTCATATTTCCTGATCAAACATCCGCTATACTTCTAACATATAACTGCACCAATGTAACTGTTCAAAAAGCAATAAATCATTTATTTGCTAAACGTGGAATAACATGGTATCGAACAGAATTATACACAATATCGCCCAACGACCAAGTGAGTCGAAAAGAAAATAGTTTTATTTATTTATCCAAATTATTATATTGAGCAAGTGCTAATAGCGTAACTGAATGCGTATAAGGTTGTGAAGACCAAAAGGGGAATTCTGCACCTGGTGAATTATATCCGTTAAATGTTGTTGGTGTCGAAATGTTAAAATGTTTTTCGGATATCATACGTTCATATATAGTTTCATCAATATATCCACTGACACCAACAATAGAATCGACAAGAGACTGAGTTTTAGTATCGAAATGATCTGGATCTAGAGTAGTTCCATTTAAATATTGATAAAAATTTGCTGGATACCAAAATGGTAACTGATTAAAACCTTTGACAGAACCTGAAAAAAAGCAATTAAACGGTTGATATTTAAATACATTATCAAGAAGCCATGATATCGATTTGTTAACCATAATTTTAATTGTATCGATTTGTGGTCCATCAGTAATCCATTTTAATTTTCCTGTATTGCCATCAAGATAAGTAAACGAAGCAATCAATATGTTGACAGTTTGTGCTGTAGAAAATACTCTATCTTCACCACTTGGTTCTGATTTTCCAAATATATTTGTATCGTTGACACCCAAAAAATCATCATAAGATGATTTATCAGAACGAACATTATCTTGAAAAAATTTCACAACATCAGAACGATAAGTATCAGATAATAGTGAATAAACGCGATTGAATACATCTGGTATGGCTTTCTGTTGATGACGTGCTAATTCAAGAAGAAATAGAGTACGAGATCCATACCAAAGAAAATTATAATGTGATGGATAATAGACTTGAGCTAGATCAGGACGATTCTTCATTGAGTTTTTTATTGACCATGCTATTAATGATGCTGTCGATAAATATAACGTCTAAACATAAATACATCATTTATCACTATCAAACTCTATAATTAGAAATTCAGATGTAATCGTTAGTAGTTGATAAATATTTCTTTGATGAGAGAGATAGAGAGAGAAACAGAAACAGAAACAAAAAAAAAGAGCTCCAAAAAACAAACCGTAATAAATACATTGTTTTAAATATTAGTGTATATTTAAATTTTTCTAGCTATTACTAACTACGTTTTTTTAAAGATGAAGCGAAAAATGTCATCCTTCTCTTTGCAAATATTATAGTGAATTATATCTTAGTCTCATCGAGGCATGTAGGTGTATGCGACTTAGATCATGGAAAAGAAAAGCAATTATTTTCATAAAATCCTATTGCTTAGAATGAAACCAATTCTATTAGATTTCACGTTGAAATTCATTCGAGATTTTAATATAAGTTCTTTGTTTTTATTACAAAACTACTTCGATTGTACTTTATTATTTTGATTTTTCTCCTACATAAAAGATAGTTCAATGTGTCAACATATTTCAGTGTTCATGCATTATCTCAGTTCGATAAATATAAGTGGGTTCGTCAAAATTTCATTTTAGAAGTACTAGTTTTCATATAACAACAATGATTTAAAGACTCGAAACAAAAATATTTACTTGCATATCCTGATTAAAATAATCTTTAAAATCAAGTAAATCATACATAATAGCACTTGTAATTCCATATAAAACATTAGCACCAACAGTAACATCAACATTATTTAGATTGAATGGCATTCTAATGCATTTCTGCGCTGCCGTTCGAACTTCAGTTATATTTTGTGCCCATGTTGTGACAATAATTGCTTGTGGATTATCTCGAATAAAATCTCTCATCCAAAAATATGTTCTTGGATCGATCGTATTCTGATCCAAGTATGGACTTGAAGGTCTATAAGCGTAGCGTAATGTTAAATCAATTAGTTTTTTCATATTCGAATTAGTTTGTAACCAACGAAAATAAAGTGATGGATATTTATCTTGTAATAATTTTAATTGTACACCTAGACCTATATTTAAATATGTATCATCGAAATCAGGTGGAATTTCAAAAGCATTTTTTAATCCTTCGCTAATTGAACGAATTTTATCGATTAATTGTGCAATGTTTTTTATTCCAAGGGCTTTTAAAATATCTTCAAGACGTTCAAGATTATCATTTAAATCTGTAATTAAATCACGTAAATTATCTGGTGTTGATTCCCATGCATTTGTTGTTTGATTATATGTTTGAGACCAAAATGTCATCAATGGAACAGAAGATTCATTTTGATTATGATCATGAAAGGTTTCGATTGCATCGACTGCTAATGACAAATGTTCATTATCGATTGTTTTTGGAGCACGACCATACATATTTGTTTCTAATAGAACAGAGGCTATCCAACTATGACAAGAGAAAATTTTATTTTGTTCTGATTTGAAAATGAAAACTATTGAAAACATACCCAGTAGCAAACATATTGTTATCAAAAACGTTAATATATTTATTTTTACGTAACTCAGCTTGAGCTGGTTCCCCAAAAAAATTTAATCGAACTTCAGACCGGTAAAGACCTAGTTTCTTTTCCCATTGTGGAAATTTATATTCAGCCGGTTTTAAAACCTAAATATAAAATTAATCAATGCATCTAGAAAACATATGATTTACTTGTTCTTCACTGATTATTTTAATTAATTTATCCATTACTTGCTCAATTGGTGGACTTGCATTTGTATAATAAATACAGAAGCAAAGCAACAGATAAAATATTTTATGTAATGTCATCATCATAAGAAAAATATAAATGTGTTGTTTTTCAATATTTTGCTTCTTTTTTATATTCATATCTTATTTTATCTATATCTATATCTATATCTATGTATATATTACAGCTGTTTATACTTGAATCATAAGTTTATTATTTTTGTTTTTATCGTTCTATTTCAGCAGCCAATTGATATTCAAGAGCCATTATCAACGTTATCTGGAAAAGAAATTCGTGTTGAAATACGTGTTCTTATACGTATTGATCTTCCACAAAAAATTCTATGCGTACGATGCGATCCGAAACGAACACTGTTACAAATGTTGCAACCTATCGTTGATAAATTAAAATTATCTATTGGACAATTTGTTTTTTATGCGGTATGAACAAGAATTCGTCGTTTCTTAATATAAAGAACTTTTTTTTTAGAATGATTCGCTGATACCACTGAATCTCAATGATTTAGTTTGTACTTATGATAATCAACGAATTTTTACATTAACGAAAACAGCTTCTGGCGTAGGTGAGTTGAGAGAATCGATACAATGCATAGTATCAATATTTTAATTTTTTTTTTTTTTTTTTGTAAAGATATGTCGAGTAGACAAAAATTAAAAGTAATAAATGATATATTTGAAATGATATCAGAAAATGATGAAGATATTAAATTTGATGAATGCGGAATTTTAAAACCAGTTACATTATCGAAATCAACTATTGTTGTTGTAGGCTAATTAATTTAGAATTTTTTAAAACACGTATGTTTATTTTGTTCATAGTCAAATGATGATTATCCTCATGCATCTACACTCGATACCTCATCAACATGCGACAGTGATCGTATGGAATCTTTTTTTAAAACTAATCACTAGTGTCATATCTTATTTTTTAGAAATTTATTGTGGTCCCAAACGGTGATTTAGCTTGTTACTTTAATATTCGTGATGATTTTAACTTAACACTATCCGGTGTTATCTTATTTATTTTCTCGGTCATTAACAAAGCTTTTTTTATGTAAGAACAACATTTGTTTAAATGGCTCGGTAGATCTTCTTTTTTTTTCGTTTGATTTTCCTAAAAATCAATACCTATCCCACGCAACCAATGGTGCTACGTTGTGTAGTCGTGTTGGTGTCATCGTCTTTATGCGTGTATTCATATCATCAGAGAATTTCTTTTTCTTTTGTCACTTTTCCTATTTTTCTGTCGTATCCATTTCTGTGGTACAAGGTTTTTTCTTCTTGTTCATTATCTGTGTGTCAGTATTTTTCCAGATTTTGACATTGTGTCAGTGAGTGTGGAAGTGATTGCACGTGTGACAAAACTTGAACAATACAAACTAAATAAAAACACATACAAAAGAAATATATACATATATATTTATATATTTAAAGATATATTTCAACATTTTATATAAATAGAATAATCACATTCCAAAAATATGTTTCTATTGAATAGTAGTTATTAGAATTCTCAAATAATAGATGTATCTTCATCCTGATTATCATGATTGTATTACGTTGCTTCATTATTATACTCTTCTACAGTTAGTTGAAACTAGTATCTAAGGAGTTTTGAAGAATTCATTATACTAAACTTTCTCGGTCGAAATCTATTCAGTTTTTGAGAAATGACAGACTTATTTGTATAATTTAACTAAAATTTTGTCAAAAAGACGAACGAACTCAATTGAATATTTAGTCACACTTCATTAAACAAACATGTGACTCAATCCTTAACATAACGTTCGGTTAGGATCTGATTATGGAAAAATCTATTTTCAATTGATATTTCAGCATAACCGATTGAATTTTGATTAGCCAGGATTTATCCAATGACTATTCAATTAAGTTATTACCGTCCTCCACAGGCCATGTGAAGTGAACTGGAGTAAGCGTCATCTGGAGTGCAGTCCATCGTTCATACTTTATCTGTGCACTATTTCACAGATGTTTTTTTCGTATCTTGATTTGATTAAGTAATGACGTAATATTTTTAGACGAAGATTACTTGTTAGTATTGTAAAGATCTTCTAAACTTAAAATATGTAATAGTTTTCATAATCAGTAACGATTCATTTCTTAAGAGGTATGGATGTGAGTGTTAGCGAAGTGTAACGGATTTCGAAACCATACCCTGGTTGAGCCGGGGCCCAGAGTAGGAAAACAGTATTTTTTTTTTGAATCTCTCTGTAGAATGAAGAATATGATAGACTTCAAGAAACGCCATATGAGACTTCAAAGTAAAAGTCTTTGTAATATCCATCTTATGCGTGGATCTAAATGCACAGGAGATCGATGGCTACATTGACCTGCGCTTTAGTTAGTTTCATTTTTTGTCGTGCTTGAAATATCGGCGGTGCGAATTGATTTCGTACTCATCGTTCACCAATCCACTTCTCCTATATTCAAGGTATGCTGTTGATGATTGGAACGTCAATTTAGATTGATGAAAACTAAAGAAGATCGAGATGATTGTGTAAGCTGTCTCGTGACTTCGAGACTACCTTTTGACATATTGCACTCATGTATGTATATACGTTTATGTACAAGTCTCATTGACATTCAAGTTCTCAGGTAGTTTCGGATTGAAATTAGACGACCTGAATCCGTTCGATAGTGAACTGTAAAAATAGTATTCCAAATGCAATTTTATTTATTTTCTCTGAAAATTTTCATCATAAAAGGTTACAATACATTCTGCTACTTCTTGAGGTTTATCGATAGCCATAAAATGTCCGCATTCGTCCAGTATAATTGATTTTGCATTAGGAAGCAATTTACAAAAGTAGTCTGCCCCAGCAGCGATGTACACCTATAGAATGATATTTGATATGTAATAAAATTGTCAATCTTCTAACTATACCTTATCTTGACGACCCCATAGAACTAATGTTGGGCAGTGTGCATGTTTCAGTTGTAGATGTCTTTCTGTGGTGAACATTTTTTCATCTTCGATAAGAGAGTTGAGTACTATTTATTGATTACATTCTAAATTAGTATTTCGATTTTGAATAGACAAATTTTTCTTTACCTTTTTTATGTTCATTCAAGCGTCGCAATCTTAAATCAAGAAAACCATTTATAAAAAAGCCAGGCATATTCACCTGTTTTACTGTCAGCTCATTGATCATATCACGCAGTTGTTCAGGAGTTTCTGGAATCAGTGCAGTAGAATCACCCGATTTTATTTTTCGGATTAAATCCGTTTCATACTGTTCATTGGCTAATATAAAATAAATGCGTATATAAAAACTTGCTAAATAATTGCACACTATAATACCAACTTACCAGGTGGAGCTAACAAACACATCATACTAACATATTCAGGATATTTGACAGCAAACATTGAAACGATGACACCACCCATCGATGCACCAATAATACAAATATTTTCAGTCAAATGCATTTTGTCAAGAAACTAAAAATAATACATAATGTAAAGATTATAAAAAAACGAAACTTGCAACTTCTTTCAGCATTAATCTATCTTACTAATTTAAGTTTTTCGACAAACTTATCAATTGAATAGCGATCCTCATTTAAACCCACCGTTTCTCCATGACCAGGTAAATCAATAGTGATACAATGATAATGATTTGGGATATACTAAAAATTATAAAAAGGAACAACAGCAAACGATCAGTGATCTGAACATTAAAAAAAAGGAATCGATACTGACAAACCTTGATTATAGGTATCCACGTGTCTTTATTTGATGAAACTCCATGTACAAACACAATACTCGACTTTCCTTGTATTCTTGAACCTTTTTCACTGTAGCTAAAGGCAGCTAATCCATGCTCGTCGACAGCTAACGAATGCTTAGCGAGACCGGCTCGACATGATGAAAATCTTGATAGGCTATCTTTATGGCATGCGGTTTTACATGGCATTCATCACTTACTTGTAATAAAATTGAACGACTAGTGCTTGCCTGCAATGAATAAAATAATTTAGAAATTGAAAATTAATTACAAAGAAACCAATGAATCATACTGACATGGTTTAAAATTGATATCTACGTTAGACAACGTAGAAAAATAATAGTGAACTAATAAGAAACAAAACTCATTGAGTTATTCTGTAAGCATAAATATAGTTACGTATGCAAGTTTACCGTTAAGTAAACAAAAACAACCTTGTTGTGATGAATGGAAAGAGCGAATCATTGAAGTTCACATAGAAAACTCATTGTTTTGTTAATGATTTTTTTCTGTTCTGTTTTCTTTCCGCCAAATTGTAAACTGACAAAATTGACAGTAAAATGAAAGCCAAACAAAGAAAAACATGCAAATTCCACGAAAACGAGAAGTGAATTCAACATAGTCGACCAGTAAGGGTAATAAGTCTGCAGAATTGTTTTTAGCTAGATTGTAAATTCTTATTTCAATAGAAAAATTGACAGTAAAATTAAACTGTCCTGACATATCAAAGGACTGTAAATGGGAACATTTTTTGATTTTTTAATTTCTTAATAAAAATTTATTCAGAAAATTTACAAGTCAAAGAAAAAATAAATTTTAACGGGACTTTGTGTATATTGTAAAGAGCAATTAAAGATAATGTATAATTGAATAATGTATCCTTCACATGCTATTTGTCTTTCATTTTGAAAGAGGCCATAAATTTATTACATGCTTGTTTCAGTTGCTTGAAGTTCTATTTCATTGATCTCTTAAAATTTCTTTGAATTGGACAAAGTTAATATTCTTATTGCTTCTGATCTTTACCATTTTATTAATTAACTTCAACAATGATGCTGTAATTGTCATAGATATCTGAATTTATCATTGGATGAACCTGATTGTGTATAGACGATGTCTATGCCATTTTAACTTTCTTGAAAATCATTTCGATTGATGGATGTAGTCGAATATTGATTGTCAACTTGAGATAGAGTTTGACAGCTATTCGACAAAATAGTACTTTGATGACTTCACCAGCGTAACTATGCTTATAAATTGAACGCTACGCTCGATAACTACCGTTAGATTATGAAATTCTATGTTTGTGTATATCAATGAAAACAAAACCTATTGGTACGTACGCTAGCTCCTATTTAATATTTGGGCTCTTAGAATGGAAAAATAATAAATTTGTTTTTGTCAAATACGATTACACAATTTTCGTGAAGAAAAAATTACTAATAGAATAAAGAAAACATTCCTAATTATCTTGAGAGTTCTTCTCAATCACATGATCTTTTTGCATAAAATGAAAGAAAAAAATCTTTAATATAATTCTAAAATATAAGGAGAAGTAACATGATAAATATTTTGCGTATGGTTATAACACGTTGAATACTTCAGTTCTCGTCCAATTACTGAAGTTAAATAAATTTGAGTTTGGTTAATAGTTGAACGAATGACTGCCTCGTAATATCGAATGTCATAAGAAGCTTTTTATTTTCTTCCTATCCTATGCATCAAAAATAGAAATTTCAATGAAAAATTTTATTGCTAGTTTAAAAGGAAAACACATAAATGAAATGCACGAAATCGCTTGTATGGATTGCAAAACAGTAAAATAAACAATGATATTAGCATATATACACACAGTGAAAAGAATAACTAGAAAGAAGAAGACAGATGATTATTGCGAAATGTATATGCAGTGCGATGCGCTTTATTCAATTTATGCGCACATTTCACTGGCTCAAATCCACATGAATATTTTCAACAATAACAAAATACTATCATTTAATTGGATTTCCTTTCTTGAGATAAACAATATGTAACACTTATGACAGGAATAATTCAATGATTACGATCATTATTCGAAGTATACTTATATAACATCAATGAACCAGTAAATAATGTTAATATACCAATAAATACCGGACGACGATATTTCGTTGTCAAGAGTTTGAACAGCGATGTTCCATCATTATTTGTGAACATAGAAGAAGATTGTTCGCGTAATTTTGTTTTCATCTCATTGACTTTTTTTCCAATAGCGTCATTACGTGTTAAACGTTCCTGACGAAGGCGTAGAGATGTTTCTACATCATGTCTAGATGAGGAAAAAAATTATTCTTATTCATTTTAGAAAGAAAATTCCTACGGAGTAACAATTTTTGATGGTGAAGATAATTGTTTTAAATCTTCGGATGATAATTTTGATCCCGACATTGATTGTAAACGACGCGTTGATTTTGGCGAAGGTTGATAACTACTTGCATTTGAATCAACTCTTTTGATTAATTCACAATTGATATCTTCAAACACGTCACTTAAACGGCCATTTGGCATTACATTATCTTGTCTGCGACATACTTTTGGATATCTTTTAGAATTAAAATTATTTTTGTCATCATCATCGCTTTCACTGTCACTTGATAAATTAAAACTACATTCTATAAATGATCCTTCTGTTTGTTCGATTTCATTGAGAATTTTCAAACCAGCAATAACAGCAATATACGAAAACCTTACATCAATTGTTTATAAGTAAAATAAATTGTTTTGTTTTCTTCCGAAAATATTTTACCTTAATTGTTCTGGTGTTTGAATTAATCCATAACGTTGCATACGAATATGAGCGAGAACATCCATTAATGATACATCACTAGGTGTTTGTGTATGAGGCAACTGTAAAGCAAATTATATTTCCTACATTAAAAATTTGTTATTATGATTTTTTACCATTTTTAAAATTGAATCAACAAGTACAAATGTACCCGATCGACCAATACCTGAAGATATTCATAGGAAATGTTTTGCTTGATAAAAGAAAAATTTTACCAGCACTACAGTGAAGAATCGGTGGACCATATCGAACATCAAAAGCACCGCAATGACGGACATCGCCAAGTAATTGCAAAAATGGTTCTGGATTCTTTGGAGCACCATGGTCTGGCCAATCAAAATCGGACCAATGAATTATAGGACGAGATTCACCTGTCTTTTATAGAATTCTTATTAAAAAGTGATCCATAAACTTTGTTTTTTTTTATTTACTGAAAGATTTATTAGTTCGAATTTTCTTTGAGTATAATATCGATACTGTCTGTCGGATATGAATGTTACTTTCAAATCTACATCATCAAATTTTATTTCACTATCATTTTGATAATCCGGATAATATAACCAACATTTATTCTAAAAGAAAATATCAGAAAAAAAAAGAATTTTAATAGTTGTACTTCGAAAAATGAAGCATGCGAAGAATGTTTATTATTAAAGATTCTTAAGGCTCATTGATTTTTATTGATATTTTATCTGTTTCATATTATTTCAAATCTACTAATATGAAACTTAGTCCTAGTGAAACATATTAGTGGCGGCATAATTTATACTGTAAGAGAAAATTTTTTCAAACTTTCATAAAAATGCTTCACAGTAAGCTAGAAAACAACCTGAATCAAGTTTTCTAGTGAATCTAATTCAGCTGAATTCAACTAACCAATACTTTATTTGATTTTTTAGTTAATATAATTCATATATTTGAAAAGCAGTTGTTCATTTTTAATAAAAAGAATTACAATGTGTTTGATGATGCTGATCTCAGTTATTTTTCTACTGGCTTGATTTATTTCAGCAAGGCTATTTTATTTCATTGGATTCTATAGAATTATGGTTTTGTAGGTGCATAAACTGTTTATTTTCTACAGAAAAAAAGGTCCAGGTATCAAATTTTTTTTTTTATTGAAATGGTATATGTCGTATAAACAGTTTATTCTCATCTATTGACTGATAGTATAATACTTACACATCCTTTTTCTACTAAATGAGTTAACATAATAATAACGCGACTATTTTGTTCCCAAACCATTTGCCAAAAATGCCCTGATGTTGTTTGAAGGGGTCCCTGGTTTTCGGAAAAGAGAAATATATATATATATATATATATAGATTCAAATCAATGAAATTAATCAGAAATCAGAGATTTACTTGTGTAAGAATGTATTTTCGATTGGCAGCAGGTACTTGAACATAACTTGCGTTGATATAATCATTTGAACCTTGTGTTAAACAAACACGTGTATCATCGTCTAATTAAATAAAATATAATCTATATTTTTGTCTGTTTCCCAAAAACAAATGTTACATGGTAAAACATCACGAAATCGATTTAATGCACGGTTTACATTGAACAGCGCAGTATCATATTTTTTGTGGGATGTTTTCATATAATGATCATTCGCAATTTTCTATAAAAATAATTGAAAATTTTGTTAAATAAATAAAAATATCGATAATCTCACATTAAATATTGTATTCCAAGCACATTCTTTTTCGATCTTTAAGAATTCTTCTTCAATATTAGACATAATTTTATCTAGAATTTAGAATTCTTTGGCTTGCTTCTTTTTCTTGGAATTAACTAAAAGAATGGACGGATTTGAAGAAAACACTACCGCACGCACACACATGCATAAGAACGAAACTTGAATAAAAAAAAAGTGAGATTCGATTTAAAATTTAACTTTAAGTGAAATAGCTGGTGGTGCATAGGTGTTCATTGGCCAATCCTTTCCATTGATTTTTAAATTCTTGGGTGAATCAACGCGTAATGATGAAATAGAAAATTTCTAAAGATGTATTTATTTGAATTTATAATTATTTGCAAATCAATGTTTTAATCGAACCTCTTTCCGCCATTCGATATTCATTAGACGATAGACTGGTTTTGCAATTTCAATAATATCACCAAGTGAAACAGATGTTGATATATCAATGTAATAAACAGTTACAAGAACACATCGTTCTTCTGTATCAGCTAATATAAACATTCTATATAAACAAAATAAAAAAAATATCATCTTTTTATTCAATAGGAATAAATAGGGTTTTTTTACAATTTAACATCCTGTACACCAAGACTAGCAACAACTGTACCACGATAAGTTACATTTTCATTTTCTCCGGTATGAAGAAATTCAAGTGGAACGATATTATTATTCAATGTCGGAGCCTCATTCAGTACAGAAATTAATGTTTTAAATTTTTTTGGTTTGATTCGACCCTTAAGGAATGAAGAATATATTTCTTTTTGCTTTAATTAAGAAATGACATGAACAAACTTTGCATGCAATAAGATCAGCGATTGTTCGTAGATAGCTAAGTAATTGATCTTGATTATTACGTGCATCCTCATTTTCAGAATCAAGTTCAAGTGCACATTCATAAGAAGCTAGAGCTTCAGCATAATCTTCATGATATTGTAATGCCTTTATTAATAATGAAACAAATAGAAAGACTGGTGACACATAGACAGAACCGGTTGTACAAACTCTTCAGAACCATTGATTTATTCAATAAAAACGAATAAGAAACTCATATAAAGAAACATAGTCTTGATTTTTCTTTAAGTCTAATAGATTCCAAAAGTAAATTAAAAAAACTACTTGAATGTAATAATAGTAATACGGGATTTGAATTTATTCAGATGAATATTAGAAGATATTCCTATTGTTAGCAAACTAAACAAATAGAATAAAAAACTTTGACTTCGTAGTTTTCTCATAAGTAGAATATTTACAGATTAGTGAACAAAGAAAAGTATCTGAATACGTGTGCCATCTAACTGAAAATTGAAGTCTTTTTAAATTTTAATCCAAGACTTTGTCTCAATCGAAATTACCCAATACGTCATCATGTAAAGATAATTTCAAAATCTTTTGAGACAACTTTTTTGAGAGTTAAAATTTTGAAAGCACAAAAGGTTTTTCATGCAGATCATACATGAAATGCATATTTTTTAACAAAATCAAAATTTATGCTGTACGATTTCACTAAAAGAACATATCTATCTCAATAAAGTAGTAAAGCAAACTCATAAGCTTTTATATCGCTATGAATCTTGATCTAGTGTTCACTGGCAATATGATAGATTGTGAAAATAAACAAATCTATTTTTTTCTATAGCAGAATCTGAAAGAATTGTTGGCTTAACTAAATAAGAATACGAACTATAACCACTTTACAGACTACCTATAGTAAATATGGTAGTCTATAATGTTTTAGATATACCCTTCGTATTTTTTAAATTTGATGAAAATTATTCAATACATGTAACATTTCTTATAGCAATAGAATGACATTTCATTTCTCGATGAATTCTACGAAAGTTTTTCTATCATATCTACAAGAATCGTTATCCTTTCTAATTAGTTGGAATCTAATAGGTATTCTAAAACTTAATCAAATGTGAAAGACAATGCTAGGAATTCTATCGTTTGATGCTTTCACAAAATAATACTAAGCAAAAACATTACTGCACTTTTTCTACGTTTCACTCTTGAAACGATTTTAAATTTGGCATCATTTCTTGTTCTCTTAAAACAAAAATGTATTAAATACCACGCCTCGGCTATAATGTAGATCACCATCATTCTCGGATTTTGCATCTTTGAGCTATTTAATTAAAAACAATAAAACATATTTCAAATGTGTAACAAACACTAACCGCAAGATTATAAGCACTGAATGCTTGTTTTAAATTTTTTGGATGGTTTTCAACCATGAAATAAAAACATACATAAGAGTTTGCAAGGGTATCTTTAAATGAAATGTCAAATACATTGATACCGATTAAGAAATAAGCTTACACCATGATGCTCCATCTTTAACATCAAGTTCAACTGCTTGTTTAGCATATTGAATACTTTCTTCAATCATTCGATTTCTCTCTGTGCGATCAGTTACTTTTGATGCTAATTGTCGAGTAACAATTGATAAATTTCGTAAAACAAATCGATTTTTTTCCTAAAAAACCAAAAATATGTATTTCAAAACAAGAGAAGGGGAATTTTCGTTTTATTCACTTTGCTATTTGCATTTCTAAAACAATTAGCAGCCATCTCGAATTCTCCATTTTTAGCATAGCTTTCTCCGAGTTCATTCAATGTTAACACATTTGATGGTTGAAGAAGTGCTGCTTTACTTAAATAATCTGTTGCACGTTTATCATATTCCGGAAATATATTAAATGCTCGACCTTTCCAATATGAAAATAAAGCACGTTGGCATGGATCACGAATTTGTTCTGTTTGAAAATAAAATTGATAATATTTTTTAGGGAAGTTTTTAATAAACATATAGATTTACCTTCAATTTCATTGTAATTTGAAAGAATTTGATCGAGTCGTGTTCGAATTAATTTATAACGATTTTTTGACGATTCAGGAAGTTTTGCATTCGGTTTAAATAACTCGTCGCGATATTGATAAAGATTTTCAACATCGCTCTAAATAATATATTTTTCATCATAAAATTTCCCAATCAATCTAGATGATTATATGCCTCGAAGGGATTTTTTTTCCAATGGCAGCTACCTGTGTTAATGAAGTCATTCATATGATGGTAAACACATTTAGTATACGAGAGAAAGAAACGAAGAAAAAATAATAATAGTATTGCAAGATTTACATGAGTCAAGAATTCAAACAACAAAACAGCAAACTATTTATAATGAATTCATTTGAATTTGATAGAACTGCATGTGTTATTTATTGAATATAGAGTTATTCAGAAGATCTCTCATAAAATATAGGACATATGTAAGTCTGAACAAGTTGTACTACCCCCCCCTTCCATAATAGAAGCCCCCGGGGGCTTCTAATTTGTCAACCGCGCAAAATTTTTTAAGGGGGCTTCTATTAAGGGAGAGCTACTAATGCGATTTTCGGACAGAAGTTTTAAAAAAAAGTCAGAGAAAATTAAAAAGTCAATGACTCGATCTAACTAAGTAAAAAATTTTTGAATTTGTTGTCCAAAATATGAATTTAGGCTGAAATAGATCTTTTTATTTCTGTATTTTTTTCAAGGTTTGACTTTTCTAGTCTTTTCAGCGTTTTTTCTGATTTTTAAGTTTCTAAAATTTTGGAATTTTTAAAACTTTTAAGTGTTTGGTAGTTTTTTTTTTATTTTTTCAAATGTTGAATCAATTGATTTTTTATCAAGAAAATAAGAAAAATCAGATTTCAGCTGTTTTCCCCTTGTAAGAGAGTCATTATTTCAATGAACTTGACTATTTCTTTTGCGGTAAGTTCAAATAGTCTCACGAAAATCTGTGTAATAATATCTTGAGAGAAAGAAAAAAATATATTATTCAATAAATACAAGCCCAGGGCTTATAATCCGTTTTCATATCGACCTCTCTTGAGGGTGCTTCTCTTATCGGGGGGGGGTTTACTTATCTGGAATGAAAGTCAAACTTCATTTTACTACTCTTTAGAACAACAAAACTACTACGTGATTATTTTTAAAAGCATGCAATTGAATTTCCACGAAAATTTTCTTCTAGTTATTTTATTTGAATTCCTCAGAAATAGGAATTTACCATCGCATGATTTACTCTATTCATTTTGTTTTGGGAAGGAAGAGGGATCACAAAAGTGCAATAAGAAAAACGGTTTTGTTTTCCTCATAGCAATGATTTTTTTTTGAGTTTTTTAGGAGTAAACTGAACATTAATTGATATTCATGAAGCGAAACTATCACCAAGAAAATCAAATGACATTGATATTGTTCTTGATTTATGTGCACCATTTCGACAGAAAAATTATAACCAATTATTCATAATGTATATGTCTTTGCCTCAACGTGCTTGCTGTTTAGTTATTTTTTCCATCGATATTAATACGAAACAAATGATTCAGATTTTCACTTGGGGGCTGATTTTCATCAAAATTATATGTAGGAAGAAAAATTTGTTATTTTGCCCCCAGATTTAATCACGCACTGTTAATTGATATTGTTACTACTACCTTGGCTTATAATTCAAACGACATTTGTAAACATCATCTAACGTCATTGGGTATCATATTCAGGATGAGCCAGTGCCTATTATTAATTGCAAAACAAGTCGCTCAAATTTTGATAAAAAAATGATACCGAATAGCCAACTGTTTTTTCCTTGAAAACAATCAAAATTGTATTGCATCCGGATAGGTTGGAATTTTTTTTTGAATGCGATAGTCATTCGTCTCTACTTCCGAATCCAAGCAAAATACAGCAAACATGTGGGCATTATTTTTTATCTGAGAAAAAACAAGTCGTAATTCTTTCTTCGAACCCGAGTGACGTTTTACGTGTTCACTTTTCTTGTTTTTCTATATTTTAATTTCTGTGAATATAAAATAAAACAAAAAAATTGAATTTTATACTAAGACTACATATAACGATGCACCAAAGTTGTAATTTGTATTCTATGAATATAGTTAAAAGCATGTTGAATATACAAGATGAATTTTGAGAAAATAAAATATTTCAATAGTAACTTTCAACTATATTCTGCGAAATTGAAATATTATCAACGATAACAAAAAAAGTGCTGGTCTCTTTTCTTTGTTTTTATCGACGAAACGTTGTGTATGTCACAGTCTTATTGACATTCTCTCATACACATACGAGCAAAGGACAAGAGAAAAGAAAAGGCACCATTATCGTATTTCAAGCAATCACATGCGATATCGTGACGTTCTCTTTTTAACTTATCATAACAATACTTTGCCAATTTTCAATGCATACATGTTTTCAATAAAATCAATCATTTATTTTAACCTGATATATCTCGTTATTGCTCAAAACGAGTACAATGATCATCAGACAGCCGAGTTTCATGATAACAATCATCTCACACTTGGTTATTATACTTTTAACTACATCGTTGCTAGATATTATTGTTGTGCTTTTGTTTCATTTAGATAAGTTTGAATTAGAACTGAATTCGACAGAAACAGAGGGTATATTTCATTGTTCGAGTCCTGTTGAATTACATAAGCAACGAGCGAAACTCACCGTTTCAATTGAAAGACCAATTGTTACTCCTCCAGCATTTCAATTACAAACTGAACAAGTTAATTCTACTACTATTCGTATTCATGTTATACCAAATGGATACATCGGTGTTAATCGTATAAATTGTCACTGGGATGATAAAAAAAAATATGCCCAAGTTGTTGATCTTATAATCGGAGGTAGGAAAGAAAAGCTTTTTTTCTAATTACAAATTTCACATCATAAGAAACAAAATCCTCTGTAGATAATTTTTATTTATTACTATCCGTACTATGTTGAAAGTCTATTTTTTTACTTAAAAAAAAAGATTAGACATTTCTTTTCTTTCCTTTCTAACGATAAGATCTAGGGCATGAAAGTGTATTTTGAGTACTCGGCCAAAATAGTTGTGCAGATGTTTTCTCGCTCTAGTTTCAAATTCTTTTACAAAAATATTTTCATTTGTCTCTCGAATCTTCGAAAATACTTCTTTTATGTTAATTACGAAAAAGAAAAGAAATCTTTTTATTCTATTGCAAATATATTAAAACCATAAATCTATCAGTTTTTTTTATTACATCATAATACATCGTATGCCTGCGCTATCATCGCTATTATAAGCATGTACAGATATAATTCAAAAGTGTTTTGGTGTACTTGCCATGAAATACTTGAGCTGTGGTAAAAAAAAGAAATGTCATCGAAAGAACGCATAGATAACGAATTGTTTCTATTGATAAAGTGAATATCGAGTGTTCGTTTCTAGAAAAACCTGGTCCTATACAATTAAAAAAGTCATGCGAAGCTTATGATCGTCGATATGTGCAATGTACACTTCTTGCACCAACAGTGGCACGTGCAACCCAAAATAAGTTTACTCCAACTTATGAATTTGTGGAACAGAATACTGAGTATAATTTCAATGATTTTTTTTCCAATGAATACTCTTTATTTTATTTTTTCTATTTAGAAATTACTATAACATTAAACAAGTAACTGTGAATATCACGGACGAAAATGAGCTTGCTGTTAATTTTATACCATTTGATAAAAGTCGTATTCCAAAAAAAGCATTTATGCGTGTCAACATATCATTAAAGCCGTTTGGCTCAGAAAATTATACATTTGAAATTGCACCGAGTAAAATACATGAAAATATTCATCTTTCTCTAGATAATTTGTATTTTATTTTTAGTACATTTAACTAAAGTCGATTTTCGAGTAGAAAATATTTCGGCGGATCAAGTAACTCTTATGATTGATCATAACAGAATAGGAACGATCAGTGAACGGCTCTGCACTGGACATGTTACACTAGTAGATAATACAAAGCAATTGATTGGAGTTCAAGTTCGAGTTTGTTTAGTGCTGAAAAGTAGAAAGAGAGTTTTCCTCTTTTTGTAGGATATTCCTGAAACATCCTCTCAAATGATTTCGATCAATCGTCTTCGTCCATCAACAAACTATAAGATTTGTCTTCACTGTTTCTATGAACGAACTGATGAATCGTTTACTAAAGAGATATGCCGTTCGATTACAACTAAAGGTAACTTTTTATTGTTTGTATCGAATACATCTATTGTAGGAAATTTAGAAGCGTCGCAATTCGTTCTATGGCTGGTTGGATCTGTCTTTGGAATCGGAGGTTTCATATTAATCGTGATCTTGTACGTATGACAAAAGTGAAAGTTGTCATCAATGAATGATTGCTTTGTTTCAGATGCATTGTTTTTAAGAAGATATGCAAGAAAACAGACATTCCAAAGGTTAGTAATTTATGCGTATATTTTTTCAGACTTAAACTAAAGAAAGTAAACTATACGAAAATGTTTTGCTTTATGTTGCAGAGTTATTGCAATGCTCAGTCAACTATATTCATGATATCAGTATAGAATAGTTAACAGGGATGTAGGTTAAATTTCAATCATTTTCTAATGAGTCTGTCCGAGCGTGTAAGTTAATATTAGGAAGAAAGTCGAAAACATACTTTTTAGTGATTCAAATTCGGTAAAATATGCTGTAACCCTAGATTTTTGTATAATCTACTATTTCTTTTCCTTATTTATTAATCATGAATGGAAAAACATAAGTAATAAGAGAATTTCGTATCATCTGCAGTTGTGTTTCTTACTTCTTGAAGGTAGGCGTCCAAACCTGAATGTTTCCGAAATATGATTTATCACATGAGCTATTTCTAAATTATTTTGAGTTAACAGTCTGCATTTTTAATAAGAAAAAAATGGATATGTTTTCATTGTGGTTAGAAATACAATCTCACACTTCTACTGATAAAAATCATAAATATTGATTCATTCGGTTGTAAATTCTTTGCGTTTCGAAGTATTTGAAGACATTGTACAATGAATTTACTTAAAATATTGTCTTACATAAAATGTACTCGCACAGTTGTAAAGGCTGTGTTGCAGTATCTAAATCGAAGCGGTCCTAAAAACAACTCTCTCGCTCTCTCTCTCTCTCTCATACTTTCACGCCTCTTAAATTTTCTATTTATGTTTGGCTAATATATCTTCATTTAATTTATTTTCTTGTTATAGGTAAAACGATCAAATCGCTCCGAAGAAGTCAGTTACAGCAGCTCATCAGAGGTTAGCTTTTTGAAATTAGTAGCTATATTGATTTGTACACCAGTTAAATGGATGATTTTGTGCGAATGTAATTTAAAACTTTGTGCGATTTGAAAACGTTATAGTTTTTATTACTAATAACTAGTTTATCAGAAATAATAAATAATAAAGTTATGCTTCTGAAAAATATTCAAATATGAAAGAACAAATAAGTCTTAGACAGAGATTAGCATGCCAAAATGACAGAAGAAGATTTTGATTTTTGCCCTATGCTCATATTTGTTATCAGGTAACTTTTCAGAATAAATCATATGTATTCAATAGCGATTATCACATTTGGAGTTCTGTTTAGGATGATCAGCATGAACCTATTGCACGTTTGACTGATAGTAATCGATACACTAATGAAGTGAATATTATAATTCATGGCTTCGCTCTTTTAAATCATATTTTTCTCTGTATTCTCCTCTAGCCTAGAAATACTGTTAATGATTCAACAATTTATCATTCTCCACCATTCGCACATGGTGACTACATACTAGAGAATGGTGAAATTGATGAAATTGATCCATTTTTAGATCCCAAATATCAATATATAGTAAATATAAAGCCATACTCAAATAAAAAATTTAACGAATTCTAAATTTTTATTTAGGAAGGTCTTTTGAATGATATCACAGATAACAATATAGTGAATCCGGATACAGTTGATCTTACAAGGTCAAAAAATTAATGATATTTGTATTCATATGTCATGATCATCGTCGTCCGCTAGAATATTCTAAGCACGGCTTATGCACAAATATATAAAACTCAATGACTGTTATTGAACGTGAGCTTGGTGGAAAAAAAAACTGGCGTGTATTTCATTTTGATAGTCTTTATTTATATATGTATATGTTTTTTTTGTTGAATCATAAGCATTCGTCGTTTTTTTAAGACGATGCAAAGAAAAAAGAAACAGATCCAATTGAATTTCTTCAATCGATATAAATCGTTTGAATACAAAGTAATAATTTGATGTATGAGAAGTACATGGCCATACATATATCCGTACTTGTTAACATAGGTGCAGTTACAAGAAAAAAAACTCAAGCTGAATTTTTTTATGCAGATCAGCGCGTTTTTTTTGTGTTAAAAGAGAGAACATAAGAAGAATCGAACCAATGGAGAATAAATATTTGTGTACACTTTAGTATAGCTGTACATATATTACCAGCATTTTACGTGTACCTCCGCATTCATACATACATACACATACATACGTTTATTCGTGTAAAATCATGATAATGCTAAAAGTTATTTTATTAGTTCTAATGATTTCAACGACCTGTAAGTTATCTGAATTGATTGTTTTTGATTATGAATACATGTATAGAGTATATTGAATAGTTGTGGATGCGCGTGCACGTCGTCGACGGCGTCAATTATCATCAGCGAGTTATTATATATCGGATATAAATCCTTATTCGAGTTCTTATTCTGCTACAGCACCTCTAACATACCCATCGGGTTCATATTATAATGGTCCTAATTATGGTTATCCAAATATGGGTGTTACTGGAGATCAGCCTATGTATTCAGCGGATAACAGTGGTGTTCAGAATCAATATGGTGGAGGATATCCATCTAATTATAACAATAATAATCAGTATCCGTTTGGAACAAATCAGAATTATCAGCTTCCTAATTTAGGAAGTACCTATGGTAGTGGACTATATGGAGCATATGGATCACTGTTGTATGGTTATGCACCTGTAGGATTTAACAATCAATATCCCAATTGGCAACAAGGAAATATTGCTCAATATTATACAGGTGGAACCGGTAGTGGTTTATCTAATCCTGGCTTTCAATGGTATCGAAAATTTCGAAATGTTCCTATTCAAGGACAATTAAATGAAAATTTCGATCGTAAACCTATGGGTCCAAATCCACAATTGCCTATGGAAAACCAGGCCATGCCCAATGTTCGAGCTAAACGAAGAGTTCGATCAAATTTACAGATATGATCTATTCATACTCATATTTGCACGATTTATTACACTCATAAAATTGAAATGACATAGACTTGACAATTACTGGTTTTTTTTTGCTTATGCAAATTGTAAAAAGCTTTTTCTGTTTATTTTTATTTCTTTATTAATACTCAGTTGAGTTTCGTTGGAACCGTATCGATTTGATTAGATTTGTTATTCCTATCAGCCAACAGAACGAGAAAAATAATAAAAGATGATGTCTCCTAGTTTTATTTATCATTAAGAAAAATTTTCCTTCGGGATATTTGTTTTGACGATTACTTATTTAACTTTATTATCGAAGGAGAGCGAATGACATATGAAATCGTTTTTCTTTTTCATCTGTAAAACAAGGTGTATGGCATAAAAGAAATTGTTGATTCTGTACAATTAACTTCACTCTCTTAAAGAAATAAAGAGCCCAAAAAAATTCATTAAAAATAAGAAAAGAGTCCCATGAAGAACGAAGAGAAAATTGTACAGATATGAAAGATCTCTATAATTACGTTTATTATTGCCTCGCTCTCAGCCAGTTGAAGGTGAAACATTGGCGAACAATATATATATATATATATATATATACGGCAGGCAGTTAGCAGCAATTGCGTTGAATGCATATTCTTGACTGCGTGTATAATATAAAAGAAACCGAAAGACTCCAAAAGAGAAACAGAAGAAAAGTTTGTTGTCATACATCTTGATAGTACATAAGAACTAACGACAAGGACTAAGACGAGAGAAATAAATATTTGGAGAATACAGGAAGGAAAGGCTTCTTTCTTTTATGTAGTTACTGTCAATGTAAAGCTATTTGTGTACATGGACTTTTATTTGAATAGGGAAAAAAGGAAGTAGAATTACCACGAAAACTATGATATAGCAGACATTGTTAACAAAGTATTTCTAAAATTTAGAATCAAATAATATTTCTCAACATTTTCAGATTATCGAATTAAGAGAATATTCTAAGTAAAAAAAAAGTATACAATGCAGTGGATTAATAGAATAATGTTTCTAGTAGTTTTGCAATTACTACTGATCACTGGTAAGTATATGGCTTCTATAGGTTATGTAATCAACTTTGTTAACTTCATCTTTTATTTAGATACTCATAGTAGTGCTAGTCATCGTCGTCGTCGTCGTCGTCAAACATCAGGCTCATTGTATGGTACAAATGCTGGCTTAGGTTCAAGTGCACCGGCAGGTTTTAATTATCCTGCAAATACGAATTTTGATGGTATACGTATGAATAATCTCGATGCACGAGATCTCTACCTGAATCCATTGATTTCATCATCAGTAAACCATCATCCATTACAGAGTGTTAATTTATACGGTCTACCACGCCAACCAATAGATCAAGTGTTCGGTACAAATGAGCAATCGTCATCAAATGCTTTATTTAGTGGAAGTGCTTTCTATCCTGGTTAGTTTTCTACGTATAAAGAATAGAACTGAATATTAGTTTCTTTTTTTCTATTATATTTTAAGGAGCCGCTGGTGGTTCATCACTCTTCCATTCAAATACTCAAATGGCTTATCCAGCCAATACAAATCAAGTGCTAACACATAGACATTTTCCTAGTCCAACGTCGAATATGAATAATAATCCATTTGCGAATAATAGAGAACCATCAGCAAATCGTAATACTTATTTCGGATCGATGGATGGCTATCCAAATAGAAATTCATGGTCAAATACAAATAGTGTTAATCGATACAATCAAAATGCTGCCAATGGATGGCGTGCGAATAGAAACAATAACAATCAAAATTCGAATGCATACTATTATAATGGTAGTTATCGATTAGCGATATCATATTTTATTTTCGTTCTCTCATTGTCTGTTACTATGTTCTCAAAATTATAAATCATACGGTCTTTTTACTTTTATCGAACTTTCGACCATCTATAGCTTTCGACTGTTTTTTTTCTACTGTGCGATGTTTTTCTTTTGATATACATTTAGTAGTTTATATAAATTGAAAAAATGTGAAATGCGCAGTTACCATATTCGAAAAGTGCATTCATTATAAATGCATAGCACGGGTAGCTGTTTATTTCATGTTAATGGACGATTGAGTCAACATTGCATTTTGTTTTTTGACAGCGTCTTCCGATATTACATAGATTAACTAAACAACTCGTCGTTTGTCATGTTGATATACCCTTGAGTTCTGCTTTTCAATCAGCAACAAAAAAGAAAAAAGAAACAAAGTCGATCGAATGATCCACTTTTATGAAAAATAACTTGTGATAGAGGAGTATATGGCTAGGTTAGTTTCTATGTAGAATCTATTAGCAAAGTGCAAAAGGATAGATCTTTTGAGTAATTTGCTTATATGTACTTTTATCGTAGTTGTTGTCGTAGATATAAATAGCAATAATTTTCATAAGGACGTCAGTGGTTTAATTTTACCTTTTTGCTGAAGAATCTTCATTAGTATGATTTTTTTAAACGTTTAACCGCATGATTTATTTTTCGTTTCTTTGAAGATATATATATATACAGGTGAATAGTTGACTGTTGTTTTGTTGAAACATTTTCTGTCTCAGTAAGTAGTCTTGATCGAAATATTAATCGTCCGCTTTAAAATAAATTTTTGATGATTCTTTGAATTCTTTTCGACAGAGTTTTTTGTTTTGAAAAAATTTAATTATCAATTTCAATTATAGAAAACAAATGAAGGTCAGGTGATATCTGTAATTGAGTAGCAGTTTGTTTTGTATTATTCAAGTCAACGTTTTGTACTTGAGAATTTGTTATGTTTATCTGCTGACAATTGAATTAGGTATCCATCTCTTTTTTGTGTGTATAGATTGTGTAGTTTTATTTGTCATTCACCTGAAGATTGTCATCTGTTTGAAGAATAAGAAAAAAAAATGAAACGAATTCTTATGTGAGAATATGTTTGCCTTTGTGAATGAGAAGCCAGTTGCTCTTATCATCAATTCGATTTCTCTGCCATAGGCACGAAAATACACTTCGGCATTGTTGATGTTACTCTCAAACTTTTTGTTGTATTCTTTTTTCGTGTCGTTGAATTCGAGTGGAAAACGATGTTTGTTTCGTTCTTGCACACCTTCTTTTTCTCTTTGTCAATCGTTTAGTGATGACTCTGTCAAACATACAAAACGTAAGAAAAAAGAGAGATTAAAAAGTGGTTTACCTGTTGTGTCAACGAAACGTAAAGCAACATCAGTAGCGACGACGGCAACGCTGAAATTTGATTACAGATAACAAAATAAAATTTGTATATCAGAATAATTAACATCTATTGCTCGGTAACGAGCTGTTGTTGTAAGTAGAAAAACATCGATAAAATCTTATTAGCAAGTACGACCTAACTTTTTTTTCTCTCCGGTGTCAAAACGGCATATGTAAATATATATGCGGAGTGCGTATTGTAATCTGCTAATCATAAAACTTTTTGTTTTTGTGGCGAGCTCCTCAATCATCTTGTTAACGAAAGAAATTAATACGTTTGATATTTGTTTGAATTTTAGTGAGACGTATTATTCTGTAAATCTCGAGATTTATTATTTTTTTGCCATTTTTTTCTAAACTCATATATTGATGATAATGTAAGTATTTTTGTCATTTAAAATTCGCACGGAATACATACTGCTGCATTAACAGTATTTGTCATTCATTTCTTTTTTATTTGAGAAGAATTAAATTCTTCATGTGAATATACAGAGAACAAAACTAAAAGAATGCCTGCCAATTTGTTTTGTCGTAATAAAATTTTAATGCGTCCAATATTGATAAAAAAGTTTTGTTTTCAACTTGCATCAAAACTATGTTTGAAGATTTATTTGCTTTTAGTTTGATAACATTTTTGTTGTTATACCAACTATGTCAATATCTCTGCACTGCCATGTTCCTCGTGATAAATCTCGTCAAAGCAATGCATTTCGTTCGAAAAGTCAACCGTCAGTCGAACAGCGCTCTAGCATTTATCAGCCATTAAATCCAATCGTTGCACATCCAATGAAAACTTATTTCGAAAATATTCTTCACTTAACGCCTTATCGTTTTATAACAGTATCGAATTCATTTGTTAACCGAACAAGAATATCGCCAAGTTCAAGTATATTTGTGCAAAGTGATCGTTCAACACATGGAAAAACTGGACAACCATCCGCTGTTTCAGTTTATAGTAATCATTCAACAAATGTTAATTCATTCTATGAAAATCGAGTAGATTTATTAATGCTTTGGTCGTCATTGATTTCGATCTGTTTCTTCTAGTTTTTGCCAAGTAAATTGACATTGAAGTTTCGTCGTGCAGGTAACTTAGTTTTATTCGCAATGTATTGGTGTAAGTTTGCCCGGAAAAAGTATGAACAAAAAGCAGTAGGGGAAAAAAATGTCATTTCCTTTCTTTTATTATCATAGAAATCAGCAACGTTCAGTTCTCTATCAATCCTATTTACAAACAGCTGGTCCAACAGAAAAGTACATGTTCGATAAGTCGAATTTTAAAATTCAAGCCGTAAGAAAAACAATAACTTAATTCTTTCTTATTATTGACTTTCAAAATTCATAGTTCGAAATTTTGCCCGTAGTGCAAAAGTTTTTTAAACAAACAGCCAATGAACGCATCATGGATAATGCCGAACAGGTAAGGATTATTATAAATAGCTGCGATAGATGCTACATAATTTATTAAAGCTTTTAATCATGTTAAACCTATTGGTTGTTTTGAATTTTTTATCAAAATAATTATCTAAAATTTCTTTTAATAAATCTTCATAACTACTTGAAGATTTGATTTCATAGTAGAATAATTTAAATTTTTTAATCAATTCATCTACTTGAGAATAGCTCACTTGACGAGAATAGCCTCGATGTTTAATTCCAATTAAAGAATATGAAAAAATATGTTCGCTCTGAATTAAAGGTAGGCAACGATCAATAAGATGATTAAATGACATTTGATTATTGATGTCATAGACAAATAGAAGACAATCAGCAAGTGAACAAATAGACATAAAATTATTTTCAGTTTGATATGTTAGATTAATAGAATGAAATTTTAAATGAAGTTTTTCTTCATTGGACTGTTTATTTCTTTGATAAATAATATTAAATGAATTATGGTGGTTTTTAAATGATTTTCTCCGTTGAAATGTATTTTCAACGAAATTTTTTATTAATCTTGATTTACCAATATTTTTATCGCCAATAAGAAATATGTTTATAATCAATTGTTTATGTAAATATCTATTTTCTTCTGTGTGAGATTTATTACCAATTGATGCATTATTATTTTGATTTTTTACATGAAACGATGCTAGTTGAAATTCGGCATTTTCATAAAACATTATTTTGTGACCTTGATAATCAGTGGTATAAATTCGCTTTAATTTAGATTCGAAAATGTTTATCTGATATTAAACCATTTACACGGTTACCAATACAATTTCAAGATGACTTATTGCGCCTAGCTTGGTATGAATGGTAAGAGAAAGGTCTTTGTTTTTTGATTATTCATGTTGACACAAAATTTTCCCAAGGATAATTCAATTACATATATAGACGTCCGTTGTAGAACTATTCAATAGAAAAAAATGTTGTTCTTTCATTAGATCAGTCGAAGAAAAGTCGAAAAATTTTGTGCTCTCTTTGAACAAAAGAAATTCTTAAGTATTTCTAAAGGCGAAAAGTTTTTATTCAAACAGTAGTAAACCTACAGGAGGAGCCGGAAAATCAATCACAAAGATAATAACAAAGCGAACAATCACGAAATGTCAGATTTCTGACAGTCTAATATATTACTGAATCGAAATTGATAGATCATCAAAATTTATTATTCTATTATTAGTCATCTTGATAAGCGCACAATTGTTCGACAAGGTGAACGGGCTGCTTATTTTTATATAATATTGTCTGGCTCAGCCATTCCAACATATAAACGAGCAGCTGATGGTAATATCGAAACATTGGATGTTTTAAAACGAGGATGCACATTCGGAGTAAAATATTTCGTTGAAATTAATCTAAAAAAAATCTTTTTTTTTTTGTTTTTTTTTTTTATTCAAGGAAAAAGGTATAATGGCCAATTCAACACAAAGTTTTACTGTTACATCACAAACCAAGATTGAATTATTAGTTTTATGGAAAGAAGTAAACAGATAGGAGTGTCACTATTTTGAAAATATTCGTTTTTTTTTCCCGTAGGATTTTAAATCAATCTTTATGAGTACGGATCGACATTGCAGTAAAGATAATATAGAATTTTTGAAGTAATTTGAGTTTACTTTTTAATTATTTAAAAATATCGGATTTTATGGTTTTAAAAGAAACCATGTGCCATTTCTACATGGTTTTCCAGTTGAACGTTTAACTGAAACACCGAATTCAATTCAGCATTGTCATTTTAGGTAAATTGACATATTTTTTTACCAGAATTTCGAATTATTTATTAATAAATATAGACAATTGGAAGTAATTGCAAAAGATAGTCGCCGTATGCAACATTTATTTATAGTTAAAAAAGGTTCACTTGATGTATGGAAACGTCTTGATCCCAGTGATTCTGTTCGAACAATGACAAAAAAGAATTCTGTTCAAGTCGAAGAACAAAGTTTGTTTCTTTAACTTTTTTTTCCAAATAAAAAATCTTTTTTTTTCCCTTTATTTAGCCCTTGACGATGAGGATGAAGCAACGGGAGATAATCGTACATTATTTTCAGAGGTTCAACTCAGCGGTGATATTAATGAGTCTGCGTCGCATGACAGTGGACTCGAGGCTGATTTTCGATTGAGTCGTTTACGTCGTACATCAGTTGAAGATCAACGAATTTCATCTGCATTATCGGCAGCAACTCGAATGGTTAACAATGATGTTAAAGTAATTGAATTTATTCAACAATTTGATTTCTTTATTTGATTTTATCTTGTAGAAATTTCCTGGTTTAGTTGATAAACGTGATCGACTGTTATTGATTGATTATGATAAACTATCAGTTGCTAGTAATACGACAAAATCCACATCAACAAATGCACATGCACAACCAAGACGATCAACAATCAAAGTAAACGAAAAAAAGGGAAAATGTTTTGATAATAATATTTTATACTTTGCATTAGACACCTGTAAAATCTAAATTAATCAATCCCGATGCAATGTTTTATGTACATGTTAAAACAATCAATGAAGGTCAACATTTTGTAAGAATCTTTCCGATCGTCTTAAAAAATAAGATTTCCTGTCAGAATAAAAATTCGGAATGCAATAAATCGAGGAGAACTTTTCAGTCTATCTCACTTAATCTATTATTTTAATATCAGTTTTCGACTGCATTAGAAATAAAAGAAAAAGCTGACGATTTGAGTATCAAAAATTTATCCGATTCGAATTATGCGAAATAATAATGAAGTTTATAAACGAAATCGTATTTACTTAGGGTTTAACGGATATGTTATTTCCAAATCAACCAGTATTAACCTTAGTTAGTAATGAATGTGAATGCATTTTATTAAATAAATCATCGTTTATACATCTTGCATCTGATCCATTCAAACAGAGTATGCGTCGAAGTGAAATTCCATTTCCAAACGATACGGCCTTCTACAAAACGTATCATACAAATGAACTTTGGAAACGTTTTTCAAAACAAGTCTATCTCGATGCATTCGGACGAATTAATCAACAGCATCCAAAGAATATAAAACATTCAAGTAATATTAATGAACGAAAACATCATCAACAACAGCAGCAGCAGCAACAAAAAACGATTCTTATCGGTGCTGCTTAAAATTAAAAATGCATTGTCTTTTTTTCTCTTCTTCTTCTTCTTCTTGTATTTATTTTTATTTAATACGAAATATATGTTTGCAGGAAAATATTTAAACAATTTGTTGTGTTTTAACGTGAAACAAAAATAGTCAGATTAATTCAAGAGGATTAGTCTATTGATTTAAAGCGGTATCGTTTTTCGTTCCACATTCTCTGATTCATCGTCGCATTGCTTTCTTCAATTTCAATCAATCTATTTTTTAAATGACAAATGTGAATAAGCGACCTCTGCGTTATAAAAAAATGACTGTATTACTTGGTTAGTCAACCAAAGAGTGAAACATACACTTTTTTGCTCTTTGTTCTTACTCTTCTCTTCGTTGCTTTTGCATTTTTTCACTAACGAGATTCGAAACATGTAGAACTAAATGCAAATAATACAAAATGCCGTTCGTTGTGTTTTCGAATACGGTCACATCGCTGTTGAAATTCCATTGAATACTTATTTTTTTTGTTTTTCTCCCATTTTACTTGTTATAATAGTGTTTTATACAGTTCTTTTTTCGTTCTCATTCGCATACATTCATAAGCATGAATCATTTCGTTTGCCACTTCCATGACCAACATATGTCTTTAGATTTGAATTTTTTTCACATTATCACGGCTTTATCGTATTGGTTAGAAAATGACGAGAAGTCTTCTCTCTTGAGATGAATGACCTCTCTACATCTGCTACTATAATTAATTCATTTGAATTTTGTCTTCTTTAGATATGGAAGATCAATTGAAACGTCTTGAAGCTGTAACAAATCGACTTGAGTCTGTCGTTCATCAGCTATCATCGACTGGTGGTTCATCGCATACAAATAATGATTCGGCAAATAATGTTGATAATACTCCTGTAGTACGTGATTACGATACCATAATCAATGAATCGGTCAAACCATTTTTAACGATTTCACAAAAGATTGGTGGAGAATTAGCGACTATGAGTGATCATGTTAAACGTCTATTTGATGCTCAACAACAATTTTTAAGACAAGCTGTACAATCGACTAAACCGAATGATCAAAAAGTCGTAGAAGCAATTAAACCCCAATCAAGTGAAATCGAAGCTATAACAAGTAGGAGAGAAGTTTTAAGAAAAAAAATAATAGTGAAAGATAACTTATTTGTGTGTGTGTGTGTGTTTTTGCAGGCTTGTCAAGCAAAAATCGTAAATCAACATTATTTAATCATCTATCGGCTGTTTCAGAAGGTATTCCAGCGCTAGGTTGGATTCTTGTTACACCAACACCTGGTCCACATATCAAAGATATGACTGATGCAGCACAATTTTATTCCAATCGTGTATTAAAAGACTTTAAAGAAAAAGATGCAACTCATGTCGAATGGGTTAAACAATGGATGAAAATATTAAATGATCTCTATACTTATGTTCGGCAACATCATACCACTGGCTTAGCATGGGCTTCGCAAGGTAAACGTGAGTTCGGTTCAGTGAGCGCACCAACGGTCAAACATGTTGCAGCTGCTGGTGGACCTCCTCCACCACCACCACCACCACCTCCTCCGCCACCACCACCGCCAATGTTCTTCGATACTAGTTCTAGTGAAGATGTTGATAATAGTCGAGCTGAATTAATGAGCTCTATAAATGCATTGGGTCAAGGTGTAACATCACATTTGAAGAAAGTACCTGATGAACTTAAAACACATAAAAATCCGCAACTACGACAAAGTGCAGGTAAAAATCAAAATTTTTATTTATTCTTCTTAAATTTACTTCTTTTTTTCTCTCCATTTAGAGCATGAATCTGATCCTCATGGTAAAAAAGGTACATCACAATTGATTGATGGAAAACCAGTTGTTCCACCTAAACCTGGAAAAACTTCACCATCACAAACAACTGTTAAACCACAAGTAAATTACATTTTATTTATTTATTTATTTATTTATTTATTTATATTTTGTTTAGACGGCTCGTGAACCAACATCAGCCACTGGTGGACCACCGAAATTAGCTCTCGAAGGTAACAAATGGGTAGTTGAATTTCAAACAGGCAAACATGATCTTCGAATAACTGAAACCAATATGCGACATTGTATTTATATATTTAAATGCACGAATTCAACAATAACAGTTGAAGGCAAAGTTAATTCAATTGTTCTTGATCAGTGTACAAAGGTTGGCCTTCAATTTACATCGGTTGTATCATTAGTTGAATTCATTAATTGTAAAAGTATGAAAGCACAAGTAACTGAACGTGTACCAACAATACAAATTGAAAAAACTGATGGTTGCCATATTTATTTATCGAGTACATCACTTGATACACAATTCATAACATCAAAATCATCGGAAATGAGTGTTAACATTCCAATAGACGATGGCGAATATAAAGAATATCCAATAGCAGAACAATTTAAAACCTGCTTCAAAGATGATAAACAATTGGTAACTGTACCCAATGAATCATCTGGCGTTTGAGTGCAACTATTAAATCCTTATTTCTTATCTTATCTTTTTGAACTTAAACTAACACATAATATACTGCGCGATTCGATTTTTTTTTGTTCTTCATTTGCCGATGCTCGTACTCATTAATTGCTTACTATCTGTGCGATTGAAACTCTTCTCTGTGTGTTTTCTTACTTCAAAACTTGTAATAGTGATTGTTCATGGTCAGTTTATTTTTACCTAAACTTGCATGTGATTACTACTCAACTACTGACATTAAAACAGACTTGATTTGAATAGAAAATACAACACAAAAAATAGCATTGTATATATTGTTCTATGTATAACTAATCTGCTGATTAGTGGTGGAAAAATCATTGAGATATGAAAAATTAGTCCAAAGAGTGTATGGAGCACGTGCTTTTTATAGTGAATATAAAGGGTAACTTATATAATCTAGCGATATACACAGTGATCAATCAATCGATTATGATCAGATTCAATATAGAACGACAGAGAAGGGTAGGTAAAAAACAGCAGGTGATTTTTAAAAAAACGCGTGACTGTTTTTTTGACTAAGCAGTTTATATTTGCACCGGTTCATTTTCAGATGACTGACTGGTGGAATTAAAAAGGAATGTTTAAATAAAGACGTCGAAAGAAAAAAAACTAAATTTCAAAGCAGCTGGTTTTTAGATCGAAGGCCGAAAACCGTATCAATGTATGTTGAGTACAAACGATAATACTTACAGTTGTGTCGAATGTTATCTTGGCAAAACTCTTATGTTCTACATAGTTATGCCCAAGAGGGCTCTGTTCGTGTCGACGTCTATATGATAAAAAGTCGGCCATTTTTTATGGCAACTTGATGCTGAAGGTTATTGGAAATTTAGTACGATGTAAGGCACAAATTCTAAAACTACTAAAAAACTATTTTATGTGACGAATAATACGACTTTTTGGACAAGCAGTTATTTTAAAACTAGTGGTAGATTTCGGAAAATTTTCTGTTTTCCTTAGCAGTAAATCAACACATACGATACGAGCTGTATAGTACGACTTGAAAACATATTTTGTAGCTACATATCCCCATTGCATAAAATTTTAGATTCGTCACTATGCAAAAAATTAATTGATATAGATGAAAATGATTGTTTTTCTTCATTAAACACATTGGAGAACATCTATATGTACCGGTTCGTTTTCTATGAAAATACTAGCTACAAAAATATATCAGTGGAAAAATAGCAAAAATAGAATAGATGAAAAATCCAGCCTGTCTCAATATGTATGACAAGGAAGAAAAAGAAAAAAGAAGATCTACACGTGGCAAGAGTAGCTACATATCGAGAAAAATGCCACTGGAATACGTCCTATGACGTATGCAGTACATTTCAAGATGAAATATGTTTACGTAAATAGGAAGACTTGCGGCAAAATATTATTAAAAAAAAGCAGACGATGAAAGACGTCTTTCGTGAATGACTGAACAAATCAATAATGCAATTCGATGATTTCTACGAAATTGTTGGAGTTTTTGGTCGATACCAAAAAGTCAAATATTTGATGATATGTTTGGCGTACATGCTTCCTCCAATAATGGTTTATACATGGGTATTCACAGCTGCTACTCCATCGTTTCGTTGTCGAATCTTAGTAGAAGAAATGTCCGACGTAGAAATTCCTAAGAATATTTTAAGTCGCTATATTCCAAGTGAATCTCAATGCCGTCAATACAAAAGTCAAATATCAATAAGTGAATGCCAAAGGTGTTATCAAAATACCAATCGAAGTATTTTTAATGAAGGAATCAAAACACCATTGAAATCCTGTAATAGTTTTGTTTTTGATCGAACATATTATCAATCAACATTAGTTGAGGAAGTTAGTTATTTCGGATGGAATACTAAAATACAAAAATTAAAATTTTTTTAGTGGTCTATGGTTTGTAATCAAGTATCATTGAAAAGTTTTGTTCAAACTATTTTCTTTTTTGGCTATATGATTGGTTCACTTGTGTTCGGCGTTTTGTCTGATCGGTAAGTTTAACTTATAGCTATAAAAATAATCGCTGATATCGATGTTAAGATATGGTCGCCGGCCCATTATGGGTATTTCGTTTTGCATTATCTCTGTTGCCAGTTTCATTTGTGCGATTGCACCACAAGAAAATCTTGGTTTTCAATGGAGTTATGCATTGTTTATACTCGGTCGATTTTTACTTGCATGTGCAAGTCGTGGTGTGGCTCTTACAGGTTTCGTCATCGGTAAGAGTGGACTCATATACGAATAATCAGTGTTCATATTGAGGACATGGTGAATCTCGGCTACGGAATAGAGCGCTTTTTTTCATGAAACTTGAGAAGAAATTTGGTTAAAATTCTTTTTCTTAAACTGTAATCTAGATATATCGTAGGCGAAACTTCAATTTCTTTATCGATGTTTCGAAGGCGTGAGAGAAAACAAGAATGATTTTAAAACTAGTTTAGGCAATAAAGAAAATGTCTTCTCTGATCCGAGACTGGTCATTATCTTATTTTGAATACTTCTATATTTTTTGTTCTTTTTAGGTGTAGAAATTGGTTAGTATTTAAATTGGATTCCTTTTTTTTGTAGTTTTTATTTTTATATTCTCTCTGATTTCATTTATAGTTGGACCAAAACAACGCTTATTTACTGGCATTGTAGTTCAATACTTTTTTGCTATAGGTCAATTACTTCTTTTAGTATTTGCTTTTGTAATTCGAACATGGCGTTTATTACATATGGCTTTAGCGATATTATCAGTACCATTTCTATTTTTCTATTTGTAAGTTGAATGAAAATGAATATTTTCACTGTTTGAATTGTTTGACGAATTGTTTAGCCTGCTGTCAGAAAGTCCTCGTTGGCTTATTTCGAAAGGTTATTATGATGAAGCAGAAAAGATTCTTCGTCAAATAGCTAAAACAAATAACAATAATTTTGATTCAATAGCATATCAACGTTTAGTCACTGAAGAGAAAAAAGTAACTTTTCGTAATAGAGAAAAACAAAATCGATAGGCTAAGTTATTATTATGTTTCTTTAGAAAGAAGCTGCCGTTGCCGTCAAGGGCCACGGATTGAAGCACTTACTAAAATCAAAAGTCATGTGTATCATTTCAATCAATATGTCAATTCAATGGTATGACAAGAACAAACTTTTGTCTTTGTTCGTTCTAATATTATATGAATCATAGGTTCGTACAAAATCTTGTTTATTATGGTGTTTCCCAAAGTACAGGTAAAAGAAAATTATATCAATTTAGGAAATACAACGGTAAACTGTTGTAAACAAATGCTATTGGTATACTTAACAAAGATAGAATATTAATACTATCGAGCATGTGAATTTCTAGAAATAAGACGCGCAACGTTTTTTTTTCTAGGTGCTTGGTTAGTTAATCCATACATATCATTTGGAGCTGGTGCTGTTATAGAAATATTTGCTTATTTTATTGCTCACTGTGTTCTTAAACGATGGAGTCGGAAAAAAGCATACAGTTCGTTTGTAATAGGATTCGCAACTTTTGCATTTCTTGTTGTGCCAATACAAATGTTAATGATTAAAGGAAGTAGCAGTAATTATTGATTAGAAATTTTTAAACTATTTTTTTTCTTAAAATTTTTCTTTATTTACTAAGGTCAACATGCACTCATGTTCATAGCTCATATTACTATGAAGTTTTTTGCTACGGGCTCTTATGCTATAATATACATTTATGCGAATGAGTTATTTCCTACAAATGCTCGTAATACCGGTATTGGTATTTGTTCAATGATTGCTCGAACCGGAGCTATTGTCGGAACGTTATCGAATGATCATTTGGTAAAAACGTTTTTTGTTTATGCATATGATAATTCAATTTTTTTAGTCACGAGTATGGCTACATTTCCCCGTCGTTGTCTTTGGTTTTACATCCATTCTTGCAGTTGCATTAATTGCTATTTGCCCAGAAACATTCAATAAACCATTACCTCAAACAATTGAGGACGTTGAAGAAATGGGTCTTTCTTTGTAAGACTGACATTTTACTATTCTAGATAAAGATAAATTTTTGTTTTTAGTCTATGTACAAACTCTAAACCATTACCGTGTCCACATGTCGAAGACAATGATGATATGGATGAAAATAAATTGCTGAACAAGCAATCTAAAAATAACGTTGTTTAGTTTTATTCTAATAGCTTATTATATCTATTGCTTCTAACAGTATATTTTTAGAGTAAATTAGTTTAGAAGATGATCTGATTTTAATTAGCGAAATGATTTGTAATTTAAACAAAAAATCTTATTTTAATAAATTTACAAATTTAATAAATCTAAATACAAGTCAATCTATTTTTCACTCTAATATATACATTACTTCAGGTAAGATATTGTTGAAAATTTTCGTAAAAGAAAAAGAACTTATTTCTATTTTTGAATGCGTTTAATGAAAACATTTGAAATGTCATTGTCATGAATTGATTAAATCAATAATTTTCTTTCATATTCATTGATCATTATTATGATTCTATATCTGGCCTCCGATTGCACTTTTTTAAAAATATAGGAATCCTTAAAGGATCAAAGTTGTCAAAAATGTAGGATTTCCGATAAAAATGAGAAAAAGAGAGGACATTTTATACACCGCTTCTGTTCAATTGTTTTGGTGTTTTTTTAACTGCTCTGCTCGAAAACCGTTTTAATGAAGCTGTGATAAACTGTTCAACTGTAGCCAAGTTCCTTATGTAATTTTTTTTACTGAAATAAGTCGCTAATTCGAGGATCATGATAAAAGTTTTTCACAAATCGATAAATAACAATAAAGTAGATCATAAGCTTTGAAAAAACAAATACATAAAAAAGACAAATACTATTTCTCATAACTAAACGAGACGTTTCAGATTATGGACATGACTTCCTAAAAAACTCTCAACCTAATTTTATTGTCCTGATAATCGGCATTCATCGTTTATTATTTTCCACAAGTTTATTTTGTAGTTTATCATAACTCAATTTTTTCTGGTAATAAATAAGTGTAAATGAAAATGCATATACGCAGAATGGCGTAAAACTTCACGGACTTTCAGAAGGTGTCGTTACTTTTTAAAAAATATTTTCTTTTGGTAACAATATCCTCAAAATACAGAGCGAAGCTTATTTTTTCCAGGGGCATATACATACAGCTTTTATATCTAACTAAAACTTCAATAAAAACCCGAAACTAGTACATGATCATTTTGTGACTGTTTTTTTCTTTTGAACTATTTTGCATTTTGTACTTAGTATTAAACAATTTCTCAATCAGCCCACTAAATAAGCGAAAGGAAAAATACTGTTAAAACAGATGTTACTATAATACAAGAATTTGTCCAAAACACATGATTATACACATTAAAAGTTTGTTTTGGTCTAACGACAATAGCAAAATTAATTAGAGGGTTTCGGAAATTTTCTACTTTTTTCGATAAAAGCTGTTAGCGCAATCCCTTCGGGATTAAAATGTGAAACACGATGTAACCTTTAATTTCTATCACACAAAAGTATTGTTCTATCTAGTTCTGAACTCTTTCTTTCGTTATACTTTAATGCATCACCCACAACTAAAAACGGAGCAGCTCATAGATTTTCTCTATATTGTAGCGTTATCTGGTTGTTGTTTGCACAGCGAAAAGGCCCATGGCAATCTATAACGACGTCCACAGGTATTTATTCAGGTGCATCATAGTCATAGCTTCACCCCTCTATCCTCGCTGCATTTATAGTACCGTTTGTGATGAATCCAAAGCCTGCCTCGCAGTCTCTGTAAAGGGTAAATAATTAATTAGGCTGTAATTAGCTATTTAATTAAAATTCCTACTTTTAAAACTTAAACTAAAAATTCATCTACCTGTAACGGTCTGCGGGGGNAAAATTTCTACCCTAAACACTTCAACACTCCTTTCAGGTCGTGTTTCACAAAAAATAGAACAAAAATAGGACTTTTTGGAAAATATAGGAAATATAGGTCGAATCGCAGCCCAGTTCTATATTTAAATTCAATCTCTTGAAAGTCAGGAAAATAAATGTTATGAATGTGATTTTCATGATATATTTAATTAGTACAAAAAAAAAATAACAATCAGACACGTCATTTTCCTTACATAACAAAATGACCCTTTGAGATACATATCCATCAAATGTGGAGTATCTCAATTTTTGAAGTTTTATTTTTATCTTTGTTATTCCATCACAATATCCGGCTTATTATAATAATATTCATTTGACATAGTAATTTTTTACCTCGATAGATATCTTAAGCTTTGATTCTATCAATACTAAATTATGTTTTCTTAATTGAGTATATTGAATGTTCGTCTTTTGATTGGTTCCAATTACATTAGTTTTCTTGCGAGTGTCAAATATGTCTTCGGAAAATACGGAACAAACAAAATTTTTTAGTTGTACTTTACACCATATTTCAAAGCACTATAATAGTACAGATTTGACAACAAGAAATGATATGACAGAAAGAGTGCCACTCGGCAGCAGTTTTATGAATGTTTTCGAAAGATTCTAGATCTTCTTTTTTCAATGACGTCCAATACCAATGTCTATAATTATTGTGCGTTAATGAATTGCAATTCCTTTTTTTGGAAATACACATTAAAGGATTATAAATTCATCGCTTGTTATTCATAAATTAAGACTTGGCAAATATTGATCGGTAGATTTACGTTTGATTATAATAGTAGAATCAAATCAATCAAGTATAATTTATTTAGAGTGACTCGATGTATTGTTGAAAACAAAATTCACTTTTACACACTAAAATTTGTCAATTATTACCGAAAATTCTATTGATAAAAGACTGAATTTTTCTACACGCACATTTTACGGATAGCATTTAATTGGCAGCACAGATATGTAGTTTGCAATTAAATGAAGACACGGTTGCCGAATGTCTGCTTTGACACTGTTAGATAGTACTTTAACATGTTAGTTAGTTAGTTATTCTTATACTTTCTTGTTTCGTCTTTGTACGTGTTGTGTTTCTTATATGTGCAATTCAACTCAAGATGTACACATACATCAACCGTTCTTTTTCATTCTTTCTTTCCTTTCTCTCTCTTCATGTCTCTCTATTATGTCTTTTGTCCTTCCGTGCGTGGCAACGTAAAATGGCATCGTTTCTTCGACTAGAATTAAGTGCATTTATAGAATGATGCACCACCATCTTTACATACAAAATAGTCTGGTCGAATAAACATGTCTTTTCTTCCTTTGTTTCTCTCTCTTGCTCTCTTGTGTGTATTTGTTGTACAGTATAGATAGGAAAAAACGAATAATAAGAAGGAGAGCTTAAGATTCAGATTAGGAACCGAAAATAGGAAATTTGTTGTCGATTGATTAAATAGAAACATAAATTTCTATTTTGCGAATTGATTTAAGTTATAGCGGGGCCTCTGTAAGAGACACGAGCCTTAATTAAACGACTTATTATCTACGCTCTTATTGATCTGTTTTTGTCTTGTTATTTTGGTATTGATTAAACTGGTGCCCCTGTTCATGTGTATAGTGTTCCGGTTTACAGGATTTACTGTCCATTGATTGTTTTTCTTAGAAAATTGTTTTTTTTCTACAAAAAGTATAATCTTTGTTGCTGAGGATTTACTGTCCATTGGTTGAATAACTTTTCTTTTCCAATTAGCGTTTTTCTCGTTTGAGGATTTACTGTCCGTTGATTGCCTCGAAGAATAGGCATGAACAGAAAAATATTTTTCGCAATCAACTATGTATGTTTAGAAGAAAAAAAAAGAATTCAAACAAATATATGAGGAAATAACAAAGAGAATAAGGAATTGATTAATAAATAAACCAAAAAAGACGAATGAATGTTCAACTTTTTGGTGGACGCTGAAAATATCTAAGTCCAGCAGCTTTTCAGAATGATGGAATATCGATAATCGAGGTAGCAGAATTGTCGTTTACCATGGGTAGATTCAGTAAATATAGCAGACATTTTTAGCAAGAGTATGATCAGAAAATTATGTTCTTTGAATTTATATATATATTTTTTTCATATTAATGACTATTTTACTCCCCAATTTGCCGTGTCGTAAACGGTTACTAACGGCCGTAATGTGGTCGGATATTGCAGTATTCGACTGTATACGATCGTATATGGCACGATGCCAAACGACCGTAATACGGTGTATACCAAACGGCCGTAAATTGTGGCCAAACGGCCGTGTACGACACAAGTTGATCGACCTGGGATATATAATTAATTTGGAAATAAAAATAATCACATCAATAAATTATAGAAAGATAATTAATCAGCGTTTTAAGTTAGCAAGGTAAGTGAATATAAAACACTGATCATTTTTGACATACTGTATAAGTTAAAAATGTCAATCGCTATTCCCACAAACAGTCGACAATTTTATAAAATTTTGAAAGATGAAGGTCTACTGTCACAGTTTCTACGTGAACAAAATCTTATTCAACGGCATGACCAACATAAATATCATTGCGGGTCTCTGATGACCGAAGGTTCGCGAAAAAAAAACTGAAGGATGGAACTATAAAAACATATCCTACGATGCGCTGCGTAAATCGAGACTTTGGTAATCAGATAAGCGCTCGGAAAAATACATTTTTCTCGTATACGGATGTGTTGGGACGACTTAATTGCAAGTTAGACATATCAACTATTTTCGAAATGATTTGACTATGGTGTCAAGAAAATCCTGCACCAAAAATTGCTGCGTTAGTTCAAGTTTCGCAACCAACTGTAGTGGATTGGTTGAATTTCTTACGTGAGGTAAGATTCTCATAATCTTTTTTTAAAGATTAGTTGCAAAAGTATTTCAGGTATGGCAGGAGGCTTTCAATGATGCAACACAAATGGGTGGTGTGGGTAAAATAGTTCAAATAGACGAGTCTTTGTTTCGAGATAAACGAAAATACAATCGTGGACGTTTATTACTTGGTAGCCTAAACAACAATAACAATAATAATGTTAACGTACAAAATTCGAGTTCATCTTCAGACAGTGAATATGATGATTATAATAATACTGCACAACGAACTAACAATCGCAATTATGGAAGACGAGTCGAAGGTAACATATAATTCTCACGTATTCTCACATTAATCTTTTTATATTTATCAGAACCATGGATTTTTGGCATCGTTGAACCAACAGAAGAAGGCCAAGAAGTGAGATTCTTTCATGTTGCTCGTAGGGATGCTGCTACGCTTATTCCCATCATTTGGAAGCACGTTTATCTTGGTACAACAATCTGGCCCGATCAATGGAAGGTCTACTCAAGACTTCAAACAGGATATGGCTATGATCATGAGACAGTCAATCACAGTCGGAATTTCGTCGATCTTCGAACGGGATATCAAACCCAATTAATTGAGTGTTTGTGGTCTCACGCAAAAAACCAAAATCTTACGAGCAATGCGTGGAACCCCATCACTAAATTCGCAGTTAACAGAATACTGGTATCACACTACTCATCAGAATATCTTTCCATCGATTCTTGATGATATGAAATGGTATCGCATGAAATAGTACGAATCTAAGTCTTCAATTTTTTTTGTGACTACCCATGTCGTCTCATTTTTATCAACTGTGCCGCAGTTACGCGCAGGGCCAACTTTTTGTCGCAGTTACGCGTAACTATGGCGCACTGATCGTAGTGAAGATTTCTATAAGAAACTACACTTACTGTGATGCAGATCAACGCAACGGCGTCCTAGTGATCGCATCCTACGATCCCTTGTAGGTATAAATGGCCAATTATAAATTATTCCTCCTTATTTGTAACTGGCTACACTCTAAGAATAAAACATAGTCACAAAAAATCAGTATAAATAGCAGTGTTCGTCACATTTTCTTTCATAAGTCATTCTACTATAAGCAATAGAATACATATTTTTTATTTTTTTTAAATTTTTCTAGATTTAAATCTTTTTAGTTTTTCAATTTTTTGTAATTAAATATTTTTCTTCTATTTATTAAATTTTTAAAAATTGTTTTTGATGTTAATATTTTTATTTTTCTAGATATTTATTTTTTATTTTCCTTAATTTTTAGCATTAATTTTTTTTTTTAACTTTTACTTAGTAAATTTTGAAATCATTTGGGTTTTAATTTTTCAATTACTTTTTATTGTGAAAATTTTTAATTTAAAAATATTTTTTCACTTTTTATAAAAATTTTTATTTTATAGCTTTAAGTGTTTTATTTTGTGCAAAAATATTTTAAATACACAATAAGAGTACAAATAAAATGAGAACCTAAACTATGTCACCTTTTGTACCAATTGCGACGACACTGTGACCCATAATTGCGAAAAACTTGGACGCAATTATGTGTAACTGGGATTTTTTCACCGTAACTACCCGTAATTGCGATTTTTTCATCGTACTTGCGCGTAGTTACGTCGCAATTTTCCGCAATTACGGGTCACAGTGCGATCGCAGTTACGCCGTAACTGTGCCACAGTTTCATCGTAATGAAACACATGGGTAATTTCTGTAAATTATCATAATATTGATTAATAAATTTATCTTTTCTCTTTCTCTCCTAAGAGAGAAAACTATTTATGCTCACGTTATATATGTACATTTCAATTAGCGGTGGAACGCTTAACACATGCAAAGGAACACCAGCTTAATCAATGCCGTTATTTTAATTGAAATACTTATTTCAGTTTTTGTTTTGATAAAATTCATTCCTGCACCTCTTTAGTTATATCAAAGTCAGTTTACTTTGATATTTAAGCTATTAATTAACGTAATTTTCATGCAATGCTAGTGTAACGATAAATATGACCCTTGCTGGTTGATCTATTAGGACGAACCGGATAGGATGGAGTAGCTTAGCGCCACTCTAGGCAATGATGTTTATTCGCTTCTTCACATATCCAGAGTGTAACAACTTCATATATAACACAAACACACGTACATGTATATATAGGAGATATATATATATTAGGACAATGGAAGGAGGACCATCGAAGCGTACCATCAATATCGGCAGAGCTAGGTGTCGTTTTTTTCTTTTTTTTACGGTCTGCGAAGTAATTGTATCACAATTACAATGTAATGTTGAAGTTTATTACAACATAGAAAGTACAAACAAGTAAAAAGCAAATTGAAAATGCGCATACAATAGAATATTTATATTAATAGACAGAATCGGAAAAGCAAAATAATTGATCAGAGTAAAGACCTAGGGATATTTTAATTTTCAAACCATTGTGTTTCATTCTAAGCGATTTAATTGAATCGTAATGATGAAAAAAAAGATTCTTTACAAATTAAATTGTTGATAAGTAAATAATTCAATTCCATTTTGCTAAATATTTTTTTGTTTGGTAGCTAAAAATGCTTTGAATTTTGAACACTCTAATAACATTTCATCGAATTATTTCTTATTTTCATTAGAACAACATAAAGAGATCGAAATTAAAATATTACGAGAAAGATAACACTATTTTCGATTTGATGGTTTATGGAGAAAGAATTTGTTATTGATTCTCATCAATCTTCATTTCAATTTTAATCATACTATAAGCACGACTTTTTTTAGTCATGCAATACTTCGTTGGATAGAATCGACAGTAATGCCACTACACGTAGTATTGATTTAATCTTGAGGGCAACAAGACATGGTAGACTTCCTTATCTATTCATTATGATATGTAGGATGTTCTCTTTTCTAAATAAATTACGATTGAACAAAGAACTAGTAACTACTCGATATTGACCGCAAATTGGTTTTACACAAATGAAAATGTTGGCTATCGGTTGATTGCATTCGATAGAGTTTGGTGCATTATTGCGTAACTTCGTATCCTGGGTTAAAACATTTCTTTTATTTAATTTTCCTTCAAACTCTTAGTACGATAATAGTAAGTGACAAGTAAAGACATCCATTATTTTTCATCTGATGTTTAGAAATTAATGTTCGCTATCGCTTTTAGCAGGTAAATTGACTCTAATTCACTGAGAGGAGTGTATTCAAATGGCTTAATTTCTTTAAAATGATAATTTTTCTATGTTAATTGCAGTACTTGAAGCATAAAAGGTTTGCACTTATTTTTCACTATGTGTGATCACGAAAATAAATGACCTGGCACCTTTTTTTCTCGTCGACTTTGAGATGACCTTGAATATTTAAGTATTATCATAATATTGAATTTCGTGATTTTGTTGTAAATAAATGTTCTTCAAATAATGAGTTGAACATCGATCATCAAGTGATTGTGTCTGTTCGATGAAGATTTTTTTTCTAGTTTTTACCTTCACAACTTTTAGTAATTTAATTGATACGTTTACACATATGAAAAAAGGAAAATATTGTCTGTTTTTCGGATTTAATTTTCAATGAAAAATCAAAATGCGATAAATTTTCTTCTTCTAAATGAAACGCATCATTGTCTAGTGATCTTTTTTGTTTCATTGTTCAAGTAAACTGAATACTCATTTGCGACTAATGACTGCGAGCAAAGTTTTCTTAGTCAATAAAAAAATTCATCTTCTACCCATTGAACTCAATAGGTATGATAATAATCAACACCAAAAATATTCACCTGATATCAAAGATGAAATATATAGGTTTATACAGATTTAGTTCTCGAACATAAATCGGATTATTCTTTTTTGACCTACAAAAAAGAACTTTATTACTGACAACTTTACTATTGTAAAGATAGCAGTTGATGTCTATCCAAACGGGATTTCTATTGTTTTCTTCTTTGAATAACTCGTCAATTCTTTTGAAATAGTGCTTTTAGAATATGAAAGCTATTACTGAATGAGTCTACTTTTTCCTTCCATGACCCCAGGATTCATTAGTTTTCATGCTATCACGCTATTTTAGTACTATTTTGCCTTGCAACTCTTGTTTTTATTAGAATTTTCTATTCGACAGAAAAATATTTTGCTTAACTTTCTGAAAAAAAAAAGATTTATCTTTATATTCGTTCAATAACGGAAGTGCTCGGTGAAAATTTTAATTGTTTCCTTTAGGAAAAAAACAAAAAAAATCCGAAAACAGTCAATTTTTATTAAGAAAAACTTGTCTTTGACAAGAAATTTGACTTCAAACTTTTGATTCTATAAGTTAGCTCTTACACTTTAAGCAAGTTAATTAATTCCACTTGTTTGATTAAATTGAAAACGCATCTTGAAGTGATCCACCTAGTATTCTGGTAGCATTATTTTCTACTAACGAGGGGACGTTTTCAATTGTGAAATCGTTTTTGAGTCCGGACTCTGTGCATAAGGTAGACCCCAGTGAGATATGGAAAACCTCAAAAGGACAAGTGCCCATAGGCCTTCTGTCCAGAGTTATACGCATTTTAGTGGAATTTTAGTCTATGGCATGGTATATATCAACAAATGGAATGACGGTATTTCGACCTGAGATTTTGCCCATAGATAGATCTATTTGTAAGTAGAATGTCTTCTTCTAGAGATATTGAAGTCTCAAAACACACTAAATTTTAGTACATTTCGTAGGTTATGACTGTTTTTTTGAGACTTCAATATCTCTAGAAGACGAAGACATTCTACTTATAAATAGATCTATCTATGGGCAACATCTCAGGTCGAAATACCGTCATTCCATTGGTTGGTATATACCATGCCATAGACTAAAATTCCACTAAAATGCGTATAACTCTGGACAGAAGGCCTATGGGCACTTGTCCCTTTGAGGTTTTCCATATCTCACTGGGGTCTACCTTATGCACAGAGTCCGGACTCAAAAACGATTTCACAATTGAAAACGTTCCCTCGTAACTATAATTAATAAACTCAGAGCATAGCGAAAAGCAGCTGAAGAAATTGCTTACTGAAGTCTAATTGAAGAAAATATTTTTTTGCGTATCGCTACTACAAGTTAGCACGAGAGATATTCAATACAATGTTCCAAGTGCAGGCATTGCTACAATGAAATGGATTTACTAAATAACGCCTCTTCTATTTTCAATAGAAAAAGGTCAAGCTGTTGTTCTTATGTTCTTTCCTGAATTGCATATATATATTGAATTATTGAATTATATATCAAAAGAATATGAATCGGATGAAATTTTCAAGTTCTTCGTTTGCATACATTGATCGCTGATTCTATTGCAAATAAAAGTAATTACGAATGTGTGAGTAAGAAGAAATCGTTTCCGAAGAAAGAAATCCGAGTACAAAAAGAATCTTGTTCTCATTAGAGAGCAATACGTAAAAGCATAAATAATGATTTATTATACTGCTAATGATCTAATTTCTGAAGTTATTATGCACATTCAATATTTTTATTGAATATCTCTTCACTCTACTTGCAATATATATATATATATGAAATTATTGACCAAAAAAAAAGAAGAAAGATAACTATAAATATACTGTAGGAACATCTTATTTCAAAAGGTCGAAACTAGTTGTCAATCTTCTTTTCCCTCATCATAAACAATGCTAATTTATTGCGATTAGTGAAGTAAACAGCAGCTTATGGCACTATTTTATTCACGTTATAGGAGGTTTATGTTGCGGCAACAAAATATACTACTATATTAGCTGTCATTTGTCTTTCCCTTTTTTTCTTTTATTATCAACCAACTCTTCGGTTGATTTTATCTACAGCCGATGAATAACAATAACAAACAGATGTAGACAATAATAATAATAATAAATTATGTCAATACCAATATAGACGTTAGTAAATTAATGCTCTATGCCAGACACTTATAATATTTTATTTGAATAAAATATACATTAATATCTATATATGACTAAGAATATAATTTGAAATTTTAATGAGATATTTATTTGCTTTTTTTTCATTGACAGTTTAGTGAATAAATGCCTTGATTGTCGTATTCTTCCATGATAGCCAAGGGAAGGCATATTCTGATTTGCGTATCCCATGAATAAGTAAAACAAAACAATATGCATATCAATTTAAGAATGAATGAAGGATTTTGAATAATTAAGAAAAATAAGAATCACAACATGAAAGGAAGATATGAACAGGAAAGGAAAGCATGAGTCGATTTAATATATATCATGTGGCAATGATGGAATTTGTTTAATTGGTATATAAATGATGTTTTTTTTAATCTAAACTAATTGTTGATAGTTTATTTCAACATGAAATTTTTTTATATAAATCATGTAGAATAATTTAAGATAATTTAAACAGGAAGACCTCAATAAAATTAAGCATAATCCCCAACGGCTGATTATGTTAATAGAAGAATAAATTTTAAAACAAAGTTTCTCTGAGTGACTATCTGCTTAAAAGTACTAGTAATTGATAAATCTTAGTGCATCTTTCCTACATATTTACATGCAGGCATGTTTCTTTTTTATTTTCTTGACGCATCTATTGACATGCAAGTCGCGTATACACTTGCATTATTTTGTTTTCCATTTAGGGCTCATAAAAACAAGAAGAAAAATCCTAAACGGTAGCAGAAGACGACGCGTGCGTTGCCCATACTTATATATATATCACATTCTATTTACGAATTCGAAATGAGTTGATCATGCAGCGATTCATAGCGTGCCGGAATATTGTGTTGAAAATTTTTGTTTTCCTGTTACCTTAGCGCGTCAAACTCAAGATGATGTAGAATAAAAGTTTAATTTTGAACATAACCATTTGGTTGCTTGTCTCTGCTGAATTTCGTCTTTGCCTATCGGAAAATTAATTGAAACAGAACAAAGAGGATGAATGTCTGTCGACCTTTTTCTTTCTGAAAACTTCCGTTTCTTTTTTTTCTTCTCTTTCTGTGTGCGCCTCGCTTAGCGCTTGTTCTCCATATCGTTCTTCTTTCAAAATAAAGTAGTCAGAAAGAAAAGAAATCTGTATATATATATATTTCCTTGTGTTGAGGATGAAAAATGAATTTCGGAATGAATAATACAACAACAGCAGATCTGATTCATGTTCACATTCCTAGTTTACGTGTACTTATTGCATTTATTTGTCTTGCTCTTTATCTATTCGGTTATACTGGCTGCATTTTGTCAATTGTAACGTTTAGTTCAAAAAAACTTCGTCAACATTCCACTGGTTTTTTGTTTTTTGTTATGGCTTTTGTTGATATATTTAACTTAGTTGCTAGTTTACAATACTTTTTGGATGCTATCTATCAAATCAACGTTTATAATCTATCAATACATTGGTGTCGATTCTTTACGATGTAAGTTGAATTCAATTATTTCGATGCCATTAATTTGATTAAAAATGTTGTTTTTTAGTGTCAATTATGAACTTTATTTTGGATTTTCTTGGGTATTGGTCTTTATTTCTGTTGACCGTTGGATTAAAGTTGAATGGCCAACAAAAAGTCAAACATTATGTACCAGAAAAAGATTTATTCATTTATGTTTAATAGCGTTATTTTCAAGTCTTGTACAGAATGTAACATATACATTGTTATGTTTTAACGAAAAATGTGCACAAAAAAATATTCTTTGTGAAATATTAATTCATGTTATTTATATATCTATCTATATGGTTATACCTATTGTAATTATTCTTCTATCCATAAGCCGTACATGTTTAATAACAATGCATTTAAAAAAGCGTTTTCGTACAAAAACTCAACAACAAACTAATGTGACTAGCAATGCAAGACTTTTAAAAGTGGACACTGTTGTTCATTGTAACAATAACAATTCGGACGAGAATATGAATTCAGCAATTGTAACAACACATCTACCAAGTTCATTTATTAGTTCACCATCAACAACTACCACTAACGCAGCAGCAACAACAACAACAGCAATGACGAATAATACGATTTGTATTCAGAGATTGGATAGCCGAAATCGTTCAACAAATTTTTCAAAACTACGCCGACGACGCTCACGTTTAGACGCTCAAATGATTGTATTGATATCAATAAATGTTGCACCATTTATTATTGTTCATATAATAACGGAAATAGCATATTTATTTGAAAAATATTCAGCTTTTGTAGCACAATCAACAGTCGCAAAATTATTGATTGTAGTAGTTTATCTGTCATGGTATTTAATATCAGCAACCCGTTTCTATACGAACTGTCTTCTATCACGTATTTATCGTGAAGAATTTCTAAATCGTCTAAGAATGTTACGACATGGTTGTAAACCAAGAATTATTATAGTCGGTCAAACACCACCATATCGAAATTCGTCAAGATTCTATGTGGCAAGTGCGGCTAATGGCGTTGAAAGTACATTATCACCGATAAACTAATATAAAATGATTCTTTTTCCTTTTTGGAAAAAAAAGAGAAAAAAGAAATCGTCGTTTTCCGTCCGTGTTTTTCATCCTATCGTTGTCATTCAATGTTGTTTTACAATTTTTGTCATCCATATCGTTGATGATGATAAAAATGGTGGTGAGAAATCGACTATTCAACTAGTGAAGTGCGAGTTTCTCCATGGAACTAAGACATCCATAAGTAAATAAATGAAGTGGCAAATGCATGTGTAGATATCATGGAAAAGAAACCACAAAGGAAATTTGTTAGCGTTTACATCGCAAGTCTTCAATTTTAAATTATAGCTTCAAGCTATTATATTACTTAGCAAAAATATTAGTTACTAAATGATAACGATCATGCATTTGCTATAACATCAGTTAATATTTTTCATAGATTATTGAAGAGAATGTCAATCTAATTATTATGGACTATACACATGCAATAATATTGACATATTCTTATTAATCTATGGCGAAAAGGATATGTTAAATAGAATAAGACTATTCGTTTTGGTATTATGTGTGTGAACTATAATTAATAATAGTGACGTAAACCAAAAGGAAAAAAGAGAGAAAACCGAACTAAATAAAAGCTATCAACACATGGCTTAGAATTAGGGGTGGGCCATTAACATTAATTTTAAAATTAATGTTTTCATTAATCATTAATATTAATGTCAATGTTCTTAAATGATATTAACGGTTAACGGAAACATTCACCATTAGTATGAATAGTAATGTTTTCGTTAATATTAGGGATTATACTTTCATTAATCATTAATATTAATGTTAATGTTTTCATTAAAATCAATGACTTAATATTAATGGTTAATGTTTTCATGAAAGCATTATAACTTTCCATATTAAGTAATTAACACTTTCGGAGAAAACATTAGCTATTAAGATCAGTTAATTGATTAATAATTGTAGATAATGTTTCCTTAGAAAAGCCTAATTCAGTAATATGGAAAAATTAATGTTTTCATGAAAACATTAACATTAATATTAATGATTAATGAAAATATAATCCCTAATATTAACGAAAACATTACTATTCATACTAATGGTGAATGTTTCCGTTAACCGTTAATATCATTTAAGAACATTGACATTAATATTAATGATTAATGAAAACATTAATTTTAAAATTAATGTTAATGTTTTTCATTAATCATTAATATTAATGAATTAAGTTTTTCTTAGAAAACATTAACCATTAAGATTAATGGCTAATGAAAGTCATTAATTAATGTCATTAATTAAGTTCCGTTAAAAAAAATGGCCCACCCCTACTTAGAATTACACGAGGTGTAATAAACACAATAGAGAATCTATCGAAGATTTCCATTAAAAAAATATTTTCTTCTTTCTACTTTCACCGTTGGTTAATGATGACGTGAGAGAGGGACACATCATGGTTTACATATAAACATTTTTATTGAGAGTGAGAGACGATTGTAGACCGTAGATCAATAATTTGTCGACTTTTGTTTGCTTTCCGAACTTTTTTTGTTTGCCATTTATTAATATTGCTTTTTGATGGCAAATACATATCAGTGCATATTGACCTTTTCGTTTAGTTTCTATAGAAGCAATCGACAGTCGCTATGCTTATTGTTTTGATATCAAATTACATGGATGAAGTATGATATAGCGATGAAAGACAAAAACAAAACAATGCTATTTATTGTCAAAATAATCCTCTGGCAAGTAGAAGAAGAAATGAAAAGAAAACAAACTTATGACATGATCAGGAACAGGAGAAGTATACCCCCTCTCGCTTTCAAAAATATTGTTTTTGCACTTTGCTTCGACCTTGAGGTGATTTTGCTCAAAGTTCAGAAAAATCAGCTATAATATTCTTCCAAATTAAAAGTATCTAGCTGTAATTTTGTTCACATTTAAGAGATAATTCGTCATGCATGTTCTCTGATCCCAATGAAAGTTCATAATAAGATGTCTTTGAATAAACGATATGAACGCGTTGCGCTTCCATTTGAAGAAACTTTTAGATTTTCTATTTTAATTTTTTTGGAAGATTTCAACATTCTTGTTTCTCCGACTTGATTGATAAAATAGCAATAGAATTGACAATTCTATACTCAATGTACTGAAGTAATCATGTGGAATTGGCAATAAATAGTATAGCGGAAAAATTCTCACTTAAGTAGAACTGGCGATGCGCGGTGTGCATTTACTGAACACTGATGAGCACTGAGGATCGATGTGGGTGTCTTTATTTTAAGTCCGAGACTAACACCCCACAAGCACATCATCACATTCACGCCCTCATCGATTCTGATCGTAGCCACTTTCGAATAAATACAGTCTCGAGTATATTTCACGAAACGTTTATGCATTCAATCCAAACATGTTTCTGCTAGCGAAACTGCGCACACGAGGATATCTCTATATTTTAAGAAGGCCATTATGTTTGTAAAAATCAATAGAAGAAGATATAATTTTTTTTATAGTATTATATAGTTACGCAATTCTAGCTGACTTATTAAAATTTTCTTTTGTTTAAATGTCACGAAAATGTCGATTGTTCAAAAGGAAACTCACTCAAATGGCAAACTTAAGAAATTCTATTCAGAGAAAATGTATTTCATCTATTTTTAAAGTAATATCTTGTTAATTCTAATCAATATCGCTTCTCAATTAATTTTACAAGGTCTAGAAAGTATCTTCATTGTTGTACTCATTGTAATGTGTTTCCTATATTACTAAATGCTCGAGAATCCTATCAAACAGTATCCGGGTAGTTTATTACAGATGAATTTGTATTCACTTTGATATAAATTCAAAATTTTCCTATTTTTCTACGTTTAAATATGAAAAACTTTCTCTAGGCAACATAAATTAATTTTGCGGTTTATCTATCATTGCTGATAATTTAATTTATCAATTATTCTACAAATATCTTCTTAGACATTTATCAACTTAAATAAAAACGAACGAATAATTATTATATTGAAAAATATAAATGGCTGCAGTATTTACATGTGCATGTGTCGTAATGCAAAAGAATGTTTTCTCTTTTGATTGAATCATGTACTTTATATTAAGCATATTCAAAAAGAGCGAAATCAAAGTCGAAGGAAAAAAAAGCAAATGATAGCATCTTTTTATTGTTTATTCTTCTATAACGGTTATTTATAGACTTTTCTACTGCTACATGTTTTCGATGTGATGCTTATATTTAATCAAGAGTTTATTCTATACTACTTGAAAGTGAACAAAAGGACTTTGAGTATTTTCATTATATTTCTATTTCTGCTATATGTTAATTGAATTTGATTTATCAAAATGAAAAAATCTATTTTATACTCTAGATAAAGTAATTCAATGACAATTTTTCAGCTAGAATACGATTGAGAATAGAATAAATTCAATGATAGTTAAGCAAAAAATGAGAAATTTCAGGTGAATTCAATTCCAATTCATTGCCATAAAGAAATATAAAAACAATGGCTGCCTATTAATATATCATGTTACATTAAGACGCATTTATCTACAACTCATAAATGATATATTTGCTTAGATAACGATGCTTGTTGTCGTGTGAGACTTCCATCAGCTATTTGTATATCTCGTAATATAATACAGTAATAACAAAGCTTATTTGCACACGCCCTTGAGCTAAACTTCAAAAGTCGAATATCTTTTTTTCTCGGTTTAACTGCGCCCATTGAAAATAGGTCAAGCGAAAAATTTCAAGCAAATGCTAGATTCTTTTCAAGAACAATCAATCGTCCGACAAATGAGTCGTGTTATTTATGCCTTCATTCGAGCAGTCCTTTTTAATTACGTTCTTTTTTTTATGCGTTTCGCTACTCGTTACTGGTTATTTAATCTATTTTTTCCTCCTTTTGTTATGTTTTTTCTTCTGCTATTATTATGATCCTCTTCATTATTCTGACTATTGATTTGAGTAACAAAGAAAACTCTTTGGTACTTTCGTAGAGCGTACTAAAAACTCGTTAGAATAAGAAAAACAACAAGGGGGATGCTTTCTCACAAATCCAAACGATACGCTACATTAGTTTGTAGACAATACGTGAATTTTCAATCACTTCATGATCAGAACTATTGTTTACAAGCTGTATAGCAAAAGTCGGATAGAATAAGCCATCATGATCATTAAGCGAAACAATTCACAATATTGAATTCGAGTAGTAAAAGAGAATTTAAAAAGTGAGAACTAAAAATATTCATTGATTGAAACATTTAAAAGAGTTAAACAGGTTTTATGACATCTGTGATGGGCCGAACAAAAACACGTTAGCTACCGTCATTGACTTCTGTGATACACTTCAAGCACGCATCGCATAAATCAAAATTCAAGAAAAGTTTAAACATATTCTCCAGCCGTTAAAGTATTGATTTCACAATCTATATTCTGTCGCGAGTTGATGTGTGCGAGACCACATTTGGTTTTGGCTCTCGGAATCGGAATCTGGACTAGAGTCCTGCAGGGCAGGGCAGCAGTGTTTCCAATGAAAATCTAAAACAAAATGTACTGTACACTGTGTGCTTTATGAGCAAAGCGTGCCAAAGTGTACAAAAGCCCAATTTTCACAATCTAGAAAACAAAATATAATTTTCGCTATTTTTTATCTCATGAAACAAACATTTTGATCACTAGCGAACAAAAAAAAATCGCATACTCAATTAATTTAAAACTATATGCGGCTTTTAAGGTTCAGAGATCAAAGAAAGCAGCGTGTAAACTATTTTAGCAAAGTGTACATTGCACACTTTGTTTTTCTGGACAAGTGTATAGCAGAGTGTAAATCAAGACTAGCAAATGTTCTGTGCATTTTGCTTCTGCTGTGTACACTTGCCATTGAAAACACTGCAGGGCATGACAAGGGTACGAAGTTATACGATAGGGTTAGGGTACAAAAAAAGTCTTAGCCTGCAGGACTCTAATCTGGACTGGTTTTGCACATCTCTAGTCGCTACAAAACTTGAAAACGTCATTGTTCCGGAAAGCGCCAGTTGATTGTTGATCTAAGCCGCGAAATTCAATATCAAACACCATATCAACATTGTTTCTTTTTGAGAATCAGTATGGTATATGCTAAAATCTTTAAAAAATCTCATATTGAAAAGACCCAGAAAGCCAGTTCGTAAATTGTAAACAAAATGAAAAATAAACGAATGAAACATCTTACAGAGATCTTTGTCAATCAGAGCGAACAATTCTATCACTAATAGTTTAGATACTACTTCTTCAATCCGGAATCCCATCAGATTTTGTTGACTGCTAGGATTCGATAGGATTCATTCGCCTGGAGAGGAAGAGAAAGAATTACTTACATTTACTTTTTTTTGTTCGTCAATGGAAATTCTAGAAAAGTAAGCCATTGTTCTCATTGACGACCGTTGACAATGATCATAGAATGAGAATCCGAAATCGAGGGCAGTGCGACACTTCGTTCGCGCTGGCCTCGGATTGCGAAGCTTTTCTGTTTGAAATTTTTTCTCAATCGATTTAACATGAACACTATTTCAAGATTTTTATGCCTTTTTTTACTGTGACTACAAAGACTTAATTCAACTAGAACACATTTATTCTCATATCGACAAGCAAACAACATATGATTCATGCTTCGTTTCCATCGCTGCAATATTTGCTCGTGTTTCGGAATGTTCATATGTTGTTCGATTGCTATTCATCGTTGATTTTTAAAAGCAGAATCACTGGTATAACTTGAAAGGAAACTGAAAATAAGACTACTTTAAAGTGTACGCTTATTATTAATCTGATTTCTATCATTGTCTCTGTATACAAAGAAAGTAGGCCATTTTTTTAAAAAGAATATTTAATGTATGTGGTATCTGGTTCTCAATGTGTGCAGACATCGTGAATGCTCGTTGGTAGGGTCTACAATAATAAAAAGACAAATTTTGACACCTAATTATAATCATATCTAATTAGCGAACCAATATTTCAATTGCTGACATGTCCCCAAAACGTCGCTTTTAAAATTTCACTCACTGCTTTCTTCGAAGATATGGGTGAGTTTCATAAAAAAGAAAAAAACAAGAAAGTCTATCATTATCTATCTTATTGAAATTTATTTGTAATATATTCTTCAATTGTCAAAGATTGATATGATTTTATAATATGTCGAAATTTATTATTATAATTGCTTTTAATAATTAAACTTATTTCAATTTTTTGTATTTGCTTGATGTTGATATAACTGGTGAATAGTAAGAATCAGTTCATGAAATCTCGATATGAACTCGTTGACAGTGAATTCTACGCTAACTAATGAAGTTAACATACTCTGATTCAATAATATAACCTCACTATAAACATATCATTCCATTGTTTAATAATTGCATTTATCAATAATAAATCATCGAAATCTAGAGAAACGTCCACCCAATTCCAAAGGTTAGTAGTAAACAATGGTTGTGAACGATGGCCATTTGGACGTAGACGGTCGATGCGTAAATCTTCAAATTTATCGTAAACTTCTGTAAAAGACAAGCATCGTTGGTTGATTTCATCAGCATATATTTAAGTCTAACCTTCGATCGATGAAGAATATATTTCTTGAAGTGCTTCGAAAGTCATGATAACATGTGATTGTGGAATATAAGTTAACACTAGAAGACATTTTATTGATTTGTATTTAACACTATGTATGACGTTCTTGTGTAGCTATAGATTAAAAACTTGAAATTAAGAAAAAAAAATTTTCTTGAGTAAATTTACTAAGTTCATCATGTAAAAGTATCCAACATATCCTAATATTGGGTAGAATTGTATGATTACGAAAGAAAGTTTTTAATGAATTGATTAAAACTTCATCGAAATTTCTATACGAAATGATATTCATATTTTAATATCAGCAGAACAATTTTTTTCTTTGCGTTAAAATATATGTCGGCGTCTGTAATGGTAATAATTCATGAAATAATTTCATATAGAAAACACTTGTATTCGATGGTAAAAGGACATAAATTAGTGGAAGAAGTGTTTCATAATTATTTTCAAATATTTGAATAATTAAAAGACATTTAAAAGAGACATTTTTAATCCAAGCAAAATACTATTCATATAGAATATCCTGAAGGTTTTTTTTTCTAAGACGTTCCTATTATGAATAACAGCTTATCTCTATTTTGTTTTTATAGAACTCATCGGGTTACCTGAATCATTGTTCTATTTGACATAGGTTAGAAAAACGTCGACATAAACTGAGGTTAGCGTGCTTTTATATAGCAGGAACAAAGTGTAACAAGAGGAAATAGTTTTTCAGGATCGAGAGTATAATTAAATGAGGATTTTTATTATGTAGATATCACAAAAAGCTTCATCTAAAATCTCTAATTGTCAATACGCTACGTCATGAAATGTAGTACATAACCACATTGATGAATTGGCTAGTCTGTTCTGGTAATTCTGTTCACATGTTAATACTAACATTTGACTATATTGAAATATCAGTTAAATGTAATGAAGAATTGTCATTTATTGAATGGTAGAGAATTTCGATATCACTACTGGATAAATGTTCTTCATGTTCAATGGTCATTAGAAATGCATCGAATGATTTTTGTTGTTGGCGTTTCCGTTGAATACTTCGTTGCACTAAGGGAAAAATTAAAAAGGAGCTGCTTCACTTTGAATAAAATCTAACTGACTTGCTGTAATTGAAGGAAGTTTAGCAGCGATTTTGTTTTAGAATGAACCTTAATAAACGATGAATGATATCTTTAGGTGATTCGTGTTGATTATGATGAGCACTTGTTCGTATATGATCAATAGCAAATAGCAGCTTCACATTGCGCAGGCTCCGGTGCATGTGAATGAGATGAAACTAATGTAATATCGGTACGATCTATTGTTGATGAAAATAAAAATGAATTGTACAAATCAATTCGACCACGACAATTTTCTTTTTGAACATCTCGATTGCTCGATACCACGATCATTAGATCGATCCAAACGATAGATATAACCATCAGGTAGAAGTTTGCATTTACCTCGTTGAACGCTTACGATTTGAATTGGCTATTTATATGAAAAATGCATCGAGATTGAATGAAAAAACAAACGATTTTTCTACTTCAGATATTGTTGAATCGCTTGATTTCAAAGTTTCATTGAATGATGTCGTACCCATATCAGTCAAAAAATCATTTGTCAAACTTGTTGTAGCATCTTCAAATATCATTTTATTTTCCTTGCCGAAGAAAAATCCGTGCTCTTGTGTTTTTAGACAAACTACACTAATAATCAATGATAAGATGATTAGTAAAGAAAAAGTGCGCGCATTGAGTGTCTGCATAAACCAGCAGGAATCAGATCACTTTCAATGACGGCTATTTTTGTTTCTTAGTAATTGCGTGGTTTAAGACTATTTAAAATTTTCTATCCCACACACAGCCAGCAGTGTTCAGTTTTTCCGTAATTTGCTTTTTCGGAAATCTGAACACATGTCGTTGTGATCAATTATTATTGGCTTAACAAGAAAAGGACCCAACTGTGACAGCGCGCCATTGAAATTGATTTGACTTTTTCAGTTTCACAATTCAGAAAAGTTTTACTCTAAGCATATCCAACCGGCTAAGTTTTTAATCGATGATTAATTATTAAAAAGCAAATTTTTTTATGCCACTTTCTTGAATATATATATATATATTAATGTTTTTTATTGAGTCAAAATAAAAAAAAGTGATAGGCACACGTATTGTTTTTTTTTGTCATTCAGAACTGTGCATAGTCAATTTCAGCAACAATAAACATTACATACATAAACAGAGAACAGAAAAAGAAAGAATCAATATTTAGTTATGACCAAAAACGAAACCGTGATTTGGTTGGACGCAAACTATCGTCAGCTGATGAATCTCGAGATGAACTTCGTACAAATCTTGGTAATGAGGATTTACGTGATGGAGCAAAACGACGTTGTGACACTAGAGGATGATCAATAGCTGTACTCGTCGTTGCTGACATTATGGATTGATTATTACATTGTGAATTACTCGTTCGAAGTATAGCTGATATTGAACGATCTATTTTTAAAAGGAAAATTCTTCAATTCGAAAAACAAAAGATTTTCGCAAAGATTTTCCTTACTTGGTTTTGTTATTAAAGGAAACGAAGTTGCTGTCGTTGATCGTGACAGTGGTGTTGGTTGATCAGCAAGATATTGTTGCGTTTTCAGTGTTGCTAATCGTGTGTAAAGTGGAATTTCTAAACCTTTCGATAGATTTTCTTCTACATAGGCACGTTCGTATTCTAACGCATCGATCATTTGCATTTTATCTAATGGTGTACGATGTGAAAATAAATAACTTTTATTCTGTACACTATCAAATAAACGCCAAGCAAATAATAAGTGCACAATGTTTTCTTCATCTAAGCGTGATACTTAAATGGAAAACAAAAACATTTTTTATAAGAATATTCATTATAAGCTTTCGCTTACCTTTGCCATCAATAAGATCCTCAAATTCTGAATTATCTAAATCAGCACGTCCAAAATAAATTAAACAATTTCGTCGGTCCTATTTTTATAGAAAAATCTTTTTAGATATTTAAAATTTCTTTGATTAAACCTACTTTTCTACAAATAATAAGTACATGATCAAACAGAAATAAAGTCACTTGTTCTTTTTTGCCATTCTGATATAAATAAGCATCAGCTCGGCCAAGACCTTGTGTACTTGTTTCTATCAAATTTTTTCCCTAAAATAATAAATCAAAACTTGTATTTTAAAACGCATGCATTCAATGGCATGTTGGGTCTCAGTTTTGTGCCAAATGCTGGCAGCGACGTAGCCGGGATTTTCTGAAGGGGT